GAAAAAAAAAAAAAAGCCTTCTAATTCCTCGCTTGTTTGCTAAACTACACCACAGTGGACATGAGCATCTTGTAGTTAAGAATTTTAAGTGGATCCTCAGTAACCAGAAGACATATTTTTAAAAAGCAAAGTATGCACAACTCACAAGAACAAATAAAATGATCAATTGTGTTTATAGGTAAGCTAAGTAGATTCTACTGCAATACAGACAAAAAGAGAAATATTGGGGCTTATATATTTTTTTAAGATTTATTTATTTTTATTGGAAAGTCAGACATACAGAGTAGAGACAGAGAGAAAGATCTTCCATTTCTTGATTCACTCCCCAAGTGGCCACAATGGCCAGTCCTGGGCCGATCCGAAGCCAGGAGCCAAGAGCTTCTTCCAGGTCTCCCACGCGAGTGGCAGGGTCCCAAGGCTTTGGGCTGTTCTCGACTGCTTTCCCAGGCCACAGGCAGGGAGCTGGATGGGAAGCAGGGCTGCCGGGATTAGAACAGGCACCCATATGGGATCCCGGCGTGTGCAAGGCGAGGACTTTATCCACTGGCCTACTGCAGTGGGCCCCTTATATACCCTATCTACTATTTTATACCATTCCCAAGAGTCCATGGGTAGGTTTTATTATTGTACAATGGAAAAAATTGAGGCACAGGATGATTAAGTAACTTGCTTCAAACCCCACAGCCAGTAGGCAGCAAAACAGCCCCCAGAGCCTGGGGCAGTGCTCTCCACCCAACACTGACTTGGAAGCTGACACTCTCTTTCTAATCCATTGTACTCCATGACCAAGAACCCTAAATGCCCTCTGTTCCTGTCCACACCCTGCTCCAAAAGCTTTAAGAGACACCCAGTAGACTATGGTCCCTGTTCTTTAATTAGCATTTAAGCTCCTCCCCAATGTGAGGCAAACCTCTTTTTCTAATGCCCTGGCTCAGTTTTCATGACAAGTTGTTACCTTTTCACACTCAGTCTCCTCCACGACAATTCACCTCTATTCTTCTGCCTATTGTTGGCCCCTTCTGAAAGATCCTCCTCCATTTATTATTATCTTTCAATAATCATTCAAATCTCATGTCCAACGAGTCTTTGAAACTGCTCCACTCACTGTCGGCCTGAGCTGAAACTGCATTCGGAGCAAGTTGAGGACAGACTGTCATTTCTATGTACCTGTTCCTTTCACCTGCTCAAATTATAAAATACTTTGGGGCAGGATCGCAGTCTCTAACTTCTGGATCCATGACAAGTGCCTGACACAAACACACATTTTCAAGGACTGCTGGTGACTCCCAAATCTAGCTTGAAAAGATCAGATTTCCTCAAAGGGTTTCACTTCTATTAAAAACAAACAAACAAAGACCGCATCACATATTTGAAGTAGGATATCAAGGATAGGCAACCATCTTCAAGCAGGGCTTTAGCCAGAACAGATATGAGTTGATAAGTCCATGTCCTTTATAGGAGATGTGTTTGTGTGTAAACAGCTGCTTGCATCCTGGGAAATCAGAGGCCCTTAAGAGAGGGACAAACGGTGTGGTTGGCAGATACTTTCTGTGTTGCCTTGTTTTTTTATGAAAAAATTAAAACAGATGGTTGATTTAACACCTGAGAACTGGAAAGTTTCCTTTTTATTTGAAAGGTAAAGAAAAAGAGAAACACAGATAGGCAACTTTTAGCCTCTGGTTCACTCCCCAAGTGTTCAGAATACTCAGAGCTGGGACAGGCTGAAGCCAAGAGTCAGGAACTCTACCTGGTTCTCCCACACACGTGGCAGGGACCCAAGGGCTTGAACCATCCCCTGCTGCCTCCCAGGGTGTGAATCAGTAGGAAGCTGGACTCCGCAGCTGAGCCGGGGCTCGAACCCAGACACCTGATATGTGAGGCAGGCATCCCAAGTGGTAGCTTAAACACTGTGTTGAACACCTGCCCCAAATAACTTGGTCTCAGCATCATTCTATTTCCAAATGACTCACAGTAAGGACAACAGAATAATACACATTGCATACTTAACGATTATGTTTGTATTACAAAAGATACAACTCAACACTGTTTTGTTTGTTTTACCACAAGACAAAACAAAGTGCAGTGGAATAATCTCCATTTTAAAAAAAAATGAGTCATTTGATTACATTTCAACATTTATCATCATTTTTCAAGATTTTGATTACTATGTATAATTCCAAAAGAGACCCATTTTCAGGACCAGTGCCATAGCATAGGGGGTCAAGCCTCCACTTGAGGTGACAGCATCCCATACATCATGTCACTAATGACATGAAAAGCTTTAAAAAAAAATCGCACTGTGGGGGGCCAGTGACAGTCTGTGGTGCTGACACCTCCTATAGGCACTGGTTCTAGTCCCAGATCTTTCACTTCCAATTCAGCTCCCTGCCTGTGGCCCAGAAAAGTAGCAGAGAATGACCCAAGTGCATGGGCCCCTGCACCCAGGAGGGAGACCCAGAGAAGGCTACTGGCTCCTGGCTTTGGACTGACCCAGCTCTGGCCATTGCTGCCATTTGGGGAGTGACAAGACTGACTTTCAAGTAAGAATAAATACATCTTTTAAAAAAACTCATCATAAAACAAATGTCATGTTCTAATCCTTGGTTGAGCTTGAAAAATAAAATCCAATTTCCTAACAAATATGGTCATAAGGGTTGTTGAAACAGTGAAACATATACAATGGTGCAGAAAAGAAAGACCTATTGGGTTAAGAGATAAAAATTCTTGAAGTCATATTTCTGAAATAAGTCAAATTGGGCAGAGTGAAACCAGAATTTGTTAATAGTATCTACTATAGCAGACTTATTTAAAGTCAAAGCAAAATAAAAAAGAAAGCAATACTGAATTCTTACTTGCAAATTATCCTGCTTTCATTGTTTGCATTGTATTCAGTGGCCTTAGCGCTAAGTCACAGAGTTTTATATCAAATCCAACAGCATTCAACAGGATTGGTTACATAGCATAACTGTTCAACCCAATCATGTCTAACCTAGGATTAGAACCTAAAGAAGACTGACAACAGCCCAACAATAGGAGACTTTACTGAGGGCTCCTAGCGTTGAGCTGCAATCCAACGCCACGGGCTAAACCTCGAGCTGGACAGGTAATCAAGCAGAGGGCCACGCTGACCCTCAGCAGGCCTGTTACTCAGACTCTGCCTGTAAGCGTTCTCCTTCTAAATCAACTTCTCAGTCGATGCTGGAAAAGGAATGGACACATGCAACTTGGCCAAAGACTCTCTGGTAGCAGACCTAGCTGGAGTTATGGCGTCATGTCCTCTAGCTTAAAGTTTTTGGGGTGTCTCAGTGTGCTTTGTCTTTCGATTTTTAATAATTTTACATCTTTAAAGGCGTGCCCATCTGGGAAAAAAATATTTCTATCCATCCCGATCATTTCATTAAGAGTTTGTCACACCATAGCATAGTGGTTAAAGTCCTCGCCTTGAATAAGCTAGGATCCCATATGGGTGCCGGTTCTAATCCTGGCAGCTTCACTTCCCATCCATCTCCCTGCCGGTTGCCTGGAAAAGCAGTTGAGGATGGCCCAAAGCCTTGGGACCCTGCACCCACTTGAGAGACCCGGAAGAGCTCCCTGATCAGCTCAGCTCCAGCAGTTGCAGCTGCTTGGGGAGTGAATCATCAGATGGAAGATCTTCCTCTTTGTCTCTCCTCCTCTCTGTATATCTGCCTTTCCAATAAAAATAAATAAATCTTAAAAAAAAATAGTTGGTCACACCAAATTCAGTGCCACTAGCCTGGCAAGGGCACCAATGCACTTTATAACTGGGAGGGAAAGAACTCCTGATTCACAAGATCCAGGAAGTGAAGCAGGTCCAGCCACTCAAGTCCGGCTTCCAAATTTCAGCAAAATGATTTGTTTCAAGCTGGATCCCTAATTCATTTCAATTACACACCAACAGACTGACCCTTTTTTTAATTATTTATTTTTTATTGGAAAAGCAGATTTTACAGAGAGAAGCAGAGACAAAGAGAAAGATCTTCCATATACCGCTTCACTCCCCAGTGGCCACAACTGGCCCTAAGTGGCCGGAGCTGAGCTGATTCGGAGCCAGGAGTCTCTGCAGGGTCCCAAGGCTTTGGGCCACCCTCAACTGCTCTCCCAGGCCACAAGCAGGGAGCTGTATGGGAAGTGGAGCAGCTGGGACAGGAACCAGTGCTCAGATGGGATCCTGGTGCGTTCCAAGCGAGGCCGCTCAAGGCACACCCTCGGAGCACTGCTACCCTCCTTCCTCCATACCTGACCCTAATCGGAGGTCCACATAAGCCACGCATGCCTCTCCACTATGTAAACAATATTAAAAAGCAATAAAAAGTAAAAAAGGAACTGCACCTATTACACCAGGCGCATCTTCCCCTATTTCCGTGGAGATGAACAAGTCAACCAACATTATTTCTGACGTTACACAATTTTCCTTCAGATAACGAGTTGCTTTGATTACTGCATTCGGTTTTGCTTTGGGCTCTACTGGGGGCACTCTAATTCAGTCGGATAACCCAGGTACCGCCCAGTGCCGGACGTCCGACGCCTCAGAGGTCTGGCCACTTCCTCTGCAGAGCCGTCCCTGGGCCCGGTGCGGTCACAGGCCTCACGACCGGCCCAGGGGTCACCCCGCGGCCGTCAGCGCCCCAGAGGGCCAGCCCGTGCTCCCACGACACCCCAACAACTTCCGTGGCCCAGATCGCCCAGCCGCAGCTCCTAAGGGATCGAGGGGAGAAGGGCGACCGAAATCCGAGGCGCTCCCGGACGCGAGCACCCCAGGAGCACCGCGGTCACCTGACGTGAAATCGAGCCGCCCCGCTCTCACGTCCCGCTCGATCCGCACGCGAGAGCCGGAGCCGGGAGCCCCGCCCGCCAGCCGGATCGCCGCCAGCCAATCCGGAGCCCTCCCCGGCAGCCCCGCCCACGCCCTCGTCCACGCACCCACCCGGCCGGCCCCGCCCCGGCGCAGGACCCTAGCCTCTGATTGGCTGGGTCGGGCGGTGGGCGGGACGAGGAGACGCCTGCCGGACGTGCGGCGCTCGGCAGGACCAGAGGCCGGTTGGTGTGCGCGGTGTTCATCCCTGTCGGTAAGTGAGGCGTGCGGGGGCTTGTGAGCTCCGGGCGCCCGGCTGCGGGGTGGGAAGACCTGGGGCAGCGCTCGTTCAGGTCGAGAGGACCTTGGGAGGGCGCGGGGAGGCACGAGGCCGGCGGCGGGGGATGCTTGGGATGCAGGGCAGGAGGAGCGGTCAGAGCGGCCCAGGCCCGACCTTGACACCCGGGGAGGATGGGGGCTCGGGGACCGGGCTTGGGGCCCCTCGGGGCCGGCGAGGAGGGGGAAGCAGAAGCCTGGGGACGCAGGGATTCCCGAGAGGGGGAACTCGTGGATGGGGCCGGCCTGGGAGAGGCGAGGGAGACGGGGTGTTGCTGGGGCCGACTTGGGGGAACCCGCGGCCGGGTCGTGCCTGCAGCATGGCTGCTGGTCAACACGAGCGGGGCCGAGCGCTGCGCGAGGAGGGGTAGAGGAGCGAGGCTGCGGCCATGAGTCCCGACAAGGTCACAAGGTGAGGGCAGCGAGGAGCGAGGCTGCAGAGGGCCCGCCGGCCTGGTCCTCTCCCCCGGCCCGGGGGAGGGCAGGCATCTGCGGCGGGGTGGACAGTGCAGAACTGCGAGCGGCCAAATGTTTCCGCACGGACTGGCCTCTCCCCTTTGAATTTCCGGGGGTGGGAAAGTTTCCCTGGAGGGTCGTCTCCACTGCAGGCTCTGGCCCCGGACCCGGAGCGTTGGGTGGGGGAAGCGATGGCAGACCGACCCCGAGCTCCTGCGCCAAGCACACCAGGGTTTCTTAGTTCCCCAGAATCACGGCCCTGCCCCAACACCAGGCTGGGCGTTGACAGCCATTTTAAGCAGGGTGACAGGTGAGTGATGCAAACTGTTGTTTTACATGGCAGTTTGCATGACCACAGTGACGGTGTGTGATGGGCCTCCCGTCCATCACAGAACCGAGTGCTGGGCAGCCTGTCGCTCCCCTGCGCCTCTCCTAGGCGCCCGTGCGTTTGGGAGAGCCCTCATCAGAATCTTAGCTAAACTTTCAGGATGACTGCTGTTCTCCCAGGAGACTGACCTAGTTATTTGGGGCACCTTTTTGCTTCTCTTTCTGACAGGGATGTGGGTCATTTGCTGTGGGCAGGTGAGAAAGGAATCGGGAAGTAATGGAAAAGCTTTTCACATCAGTTCCTTTAAGAACAGTCCTGTTACTTTTTTTTTTAAGCATTCTTTTTAAATTTGGTTTAAAAATCTATTTGTTTGAAAATCGTGTTTACAGACAAAGAGAAACGGATTAATATTTTGCATCCACTGATTCGCTCCCCAGATGGCTGCACTTGCCGAGGGTGAGGCAGTTGAAGCGGGAGCCAGGAACTTCATCCTGGCCTCCCGAGTGGGTGCAGGGCCCCTAAGCACATGGGGCACGCCGTGCTCCACGCTTCCCCAGGCTCCCAGGGAGCTGGATGGGAAATGCAGCAGCCAGCGCAGGAACCAGCACCAACGCAGCCGGTGGCTTCACGCATGATGTCACTAAGTCAGCCCCTCCCTTTAAACACGACTTAGATGACCCTTACACTGCAGAGACTTGTGGGCCTCCACTGAGGAGTGGGTTTTATATTTTCATATGAAGTTTGCACTAGCATCAACAAATAATTTGTCTACCAAAAGTACCTGGAACTGTTTTAAAAACCTGGAGAACTGGGTTCTACCTCTGATTCTAATTCTGCTCTCCTGAAGAATGTTCCTGATGGTGAACAATTCATACAAGCCCCCAGGACGCTTTCCCCACCAGTAAAATTAGGCTTCTGGTATGGACTAGCCTTATGGTTCATTTGTGTTCCAAAATCTTGGTGATTATTGGCCCCAACATGCTAGAAGTTAACCTTTTTCAATTCAGGTGGCTGTGAATCATGAATACTTGGGAAACCTCTAGGTGGTAATTAGGAATGAAAATATTGCCTCTCGGCCTTTTGGCTACAATCAAGTGTAGGGATAAAATTTATTAAAATTTTATAGTGAGTGTCATTATAAGATATAAAGATATTTGAACTATAGCAACTCTAAACAAGTTATTTTTTGAAGTACTCTACCAACTCTGTATTCTATACAAGAGACAAATTTCTAGCTCTTTAAAGGAGTAGTAATCACAGCCATCCCCACACCCATTCCTACCCCAGCGGCTGCTGGGCCACACGCCTACCCGTGCGCCACTGGGAACCTGGATCGGCCACTTCTCCTGTTCTCGTCTACATGGGAAGGGCACTGTGGCCTATCACTGTATTTCTTGGGTTTGCAAGAAACAAAGACCTGCTCAGACTGTTATGTTTCACTTTTCATAGGTGCAGCATACAAATCCTAAACAAAATAAGCACATGCATACATAGTTTCTCACTTCTCTTACTGGGGCATAAATTTTTTTTTTTTTAGTAAATGCTTAAATATCTGATAATAACTTTAATTGCTTAGAAACATAACTTTTAAAACTTTTCAACAAACATTTTGTGGAATACTTACCAAGTAAAGGGCATTATGCCAGGCAATGCAGACAGATACAGGCAAGGCAGGTATAGGTTCCGACTTCAGGAACTTCTAGCAAAAGAGAGAGACAAACTCAGTAGGCTATTAGGGTTACTACAGACAAGTGCTGGGTGCTGCAGTCCCAAAGCACCATGCTATCATAGTAACTTCCCAGAGGACCTGGGGAGGAGAGGCTGCCCGCAGAGCACAGGCCGTGGGGAAGGGGAGGAAGGCTGTTCTTGGCAGAGGCTTGTGGGGAGCTCAGGGAGAGAGAGGAAGGAAGGTTTGTGATAAACACAGTTGTATCTCTGAGAAACTTGTGGTCAGGTGTGGAGGCAGCGAAGGAATAAATGCCGTGTTTGATCCCTCCATCCAGTCCATTTATGCAGTTTCCTCAAAGCCCATCTCAAGGCTTGCTCTGCAACTTTCCAGACCTTTGGCTAGAAAGCATCACTCTAATTTCAGTCCTTGTTTTGTTACACTGTCAGAGTAGGTTTTAAAAATGCCTAATTTTGAGTCACTGTTGATGCCATTGTTTTATTTGTATAGATTCTTAACACAGTGGAACTGACTGCTCACTCAGGGTGGGGCTCCAAAGCGTGAAGTCACAGCATTAAACCTGCCACTCTCCCACCTCTTGATTTGCATTTGGTTTGGTTTGACAGCCTTATCTGTCACTGACTCATGGAATAGAAGGGCATCGAATGACAGCTTCTCTCTCTTTTTTTTAATTTTAATAATCTTAGTTGATTAGGTTACAAAGGGTAAAAGGCTACAGGAAAGTGGGTAATACAATTGTTTCCAAACTAACATCACTGCTTTTTCCCCTGTATCTATCTGGGTTCAGGGGAGAAACAAAAGGAGAAGCCCCACCCAGCCTCCCACCCATCCCAGGTCCCCGATGTGAGGCACACTCTGAGGGTCCTACTCAAGCAGTTTTGTTAGTTCAACAGTTCTGACTTGCTGCCAATCTCGCCATTCCAATCCCGATGAAATCTCTTCAGAGTCCACTGGCTGACAGTCTCTTCATGGTTGGGGTTCTGAGATCAGCAGTTCATTTGGAGGGATCCCCAAAGAAACTTCATCTGAGGTGATCCCAGTCCTGATTCCTGTGTGATACTGGCAGTACAGGGTCTAACATAGTCCATCACCCCAATCAGCTTATGCACATGCTGGTCTTTGCAATTGCTGGGCCAGTTCTGTTTCCAGCCCTGTCTTCCACAGGAACCAATGGGTGTTGCAGTCCAGCCCAATCGTGCCCTTCATACTCAGCCCTCATGCAAACCAGTGGGAGCTGCAGCCTAGTTGGGGCAACTCCCCATAACCCCACCATGCCTGCTCCCTAGCCTGGTTTCAATGCTTGCCAGTATGTGCCACAGACTTGTTCAGTCAGTCCCACATCCCATTTAGCTCTCATACATGTCAGTGGAGAGCTGCTCTTTTTATTGGAGGGGGTAGAATGAGGATGAAAAGCCCAGAGGGGTGAGACTGTACAAGATGGGCAGTTGACTTTAACACTAACCACAGGTTTTTGTGCACTTAAATTTGACTCCCTTATTTTATCTATGCATAAAGTTTACAATCAGTTCGGAATAGTTTAGTGAATAAGAAACTATATATACACATTATTGTGACTGAGGTGAAACTGAATTTATTGTCCTTGTGATGAAATGCCTAGTAACTTCCTGAGAAAAGATGACTAAGGAGGAAGGGACCTTTGTCCTCCGTGATAAGGTCTGCTCCTATTGCATAACTCCCGGCCAGTGTTCTGCCTTCTGAGGAGCAGCTAAAGAAATCCTATGCAAAGAAGGTAGATGGTCTGAAGACAGAATCTACAAACTGGAAGGCAGAGCTGAAGCTCAGAACAGCCCTTCCCGAGGCCGCAACATTAACGCAGATAATTCTTAATAATAAAAGAAGCCAAAAGGCAATCTTGCATTGAGTGGAATAATTGAACATAAATTGTGCTTAAAAGGAATTTCAAGGAATATTCTTCAGTTGTTACCTACATTTTAAAATGCTTAGTAGGATTTCCAAAATGATATGGAAGATGCAGCAAGGCACGTTTTTGTTAAAAAGTTGTCAGGTTGAAGTTGATTTAGGATGAAACAGCCAGGGAATTAATAGCTACTGTCTTCACTGATAAACCTAAAGACTTGAGTGTTTCTGATGCTGTGGCAGGATCCAGCATTGTGATCTTAACAGGTTAAGCTGCTGCCTGCAACGTGACGTCCCATATTTGCATGATTTGAGTCCCCACTGCTCCACTTCATATCTAGCTCCCTGCTAAGATGGACTTATTTTTATTGGAAAGTCAGATTTACAAAGAAAATGAGACAGAGAAAGATCTTCTGTCTGTTGATTCACTTCTCAAGTGGCCACAATAGTCACTGCTGAGCTGAAGTCTGGAGCCAGGAGCCCTAGATTTTTTGTTTTAACTGGGCCTGGTGCAGTAGCCTAGTAGCTAAAAGTCCTTGCCTTGCACACACCAGGATCCCATATCATCCCAATTCATATCCTGGCAGCTCCACTTCCCTTCCAGCTCCCTGCTTGTGGCCTGAGAAAGCAGTCAAGGACATCCCAAAGCCTTGGGACCCTGCACCCGCATGGGAGACCAAGAAGAAGCTCCAGGCTCCTGGCTTCAGATCAGCTCAGCTCCAGCTGTTGCAGCTGCTTGGGGAGTAAATCATTGGATAGAAGACCTTCCTCTCTGTCTCTCCTCTCTGTATATCTGACTTCCTAATAAAAATAAATAGATATTTAAAAATTAATAAACAGTAATGTTGGCCGGCACAGTGGTTTATCAAGCTAATCCTCTGCCTGCAGGTGCCAGCATCCTATACAGGCGCTGGTTTGTGCCCTGGCTGCTCTACTTCCGACCCAGCTGCCAGGTTGTTGCCAGGGAAAGCAGTAGAGGATGATTCAAGTTCTGGGGCTCTTGAACTCTCATGGGAGACCTGGAAAAAGCTCCTGGCTCCTGGTTTCTAATCAGCTCAGCCCTGGCATGTGGGGTCATTTGTGAAGTGAAGCAGCATATGGAAAATCTGTCTCCTTCTCTGCAAAAACTGCCTTTCAAATAAAAATAAATCCTTAAAGCAATAATAATGTGATATTAAGGGAATTGATTATTATAGAAACAACAAAAGTATAAGGGGAATAAATATATACAATTCTAAATGTATATCACCCATGTAAATAGCTACAGATGGAAAATAGTCAATTTATGAGAATATTTTCAAAGTTCATGGATAAATATTTGATTTTCAAAGAAACTAGGATTATTTTAACTATAGGTGTTAATATTCTAGATGCTTCTATATAGAGAATCTCATAGAATTTCTCTTTCAGGAAGATTCTTCAAGCAATCACTATGTCAACCAATACAGATGTTTCCCTTTCTTCCTATGATGAAGATCAGGGGTCCAAGCTTATCCGAAAAGCTAAAGAGGCACCGTTTGTCCCCATTGGTAAATGTGACTTTAAGCATCTAACAGTCGGCTCAGGTGGAAGTGTGAAATAGTAGAGGCATGGCAAGCTTACTCACCTAGCATGAATTTACTTTCAAATCTTTCTTACAAATCTTTTCTTATATTGTTAAAAATGTACTGCAACTGGCATGGTACGGACCTTACTATAAAATCGTTCTGTTTGTACTCTGTCTTATTTTTTGGACGATTTCACTGAACAGTGGATGCCAGGACTCCCCTAGCACTTGCCAGTAGTTACGAGGCTCAGGCAAGCCATGGGAGTCCTGTTGGGGTTTATGACGGTGTGAGGTGTGCAGGTCAGCAGAGGCTCCCACAGCAGCGCCCAGGAGACACTGCACACAGCTCCCGGGAAGTCACTGCACTTTCAGAACTCAGAATTTTCTTTGTGGCCTGCTAAATGTTAAGGCTTTATAGATACATAAAATAATGTGTGATCTCTGTTTAAAATTAAAATGTCTTAAAATATTTAGGAAATTTTGTTTAGTCATATTCAGTCCTAAAGCTTTAGACACATGTAATTCAGTGGTTTTCTGGAAGGGGTATGCTACATTTTGTTTTGATTATCTTAAGAGTTTGCCTTGCATTGCTCATAACTTTTTACTTAGTTTAAGGTTTAACTGTTAAGGACTAATCATTACTAACCATCCGATATTGATGAATGTTGCCTCTTGTGTTTTTTCTGAGTTGCCCAAGTCTTGGCCACTCTTTATTTAACCCCACTTTGTATCTCCCGTGCAATGTTATGTATCCAGGTTGTGCTTTTTCTGTTTTGTTTTTTGCTAACCTCTGGAAGAACTTAATCTTCATCTACATTTATTGTAGTGAGTGAGTTCTCTTGGCTCTTTTTCTTATCATCCACTTTGTCTTTATTTATACTTTGTTTCTTTGCTCTTTTATTTTTCTCCTAATGATTTGGAAATTCTGCAGATAGCTACAGTATTGGTGGTTATCTTTACATTATTATTCAGGGTATTTTTCTAAATCTAATTCCAGTATTAAAATGAATAAATTCATTCCCTGACTAAAGATAACTGCTAGCCACGTTTTGTAGTGGTGTAGTGATCTTCACTCCAATTCCTCCTCTCTTAAAGGAACTAAACAAACTCACATTTCCAAAGATAATCCTGACCTTTTGGACCTGCTACAGTTTGTTACCAATTAATAGACTTTTGGTTCTGAATAGGAATAATTGTAAAGATCTGTTTATATGTCAGCTACTTAATCTGAGAAAGCATCCTTATAAAAATAATAGAAAGGACGTCCGCTGGTGGTAAGATCACCTTGATCCCCGACCCAAGCAGCTTACCCACTCGGGCCTCTTGGCTTTCCAGGGATGGCGGGTTTTGCGGCAATTGTTGCCTACGGGCTCTACAGGCTGAAAAGCAGGGGAAATACGAAAATGTCCCTTCACCTGATCCACATGCGCGTGGCCGCCCAAGGCTTCGTGGTAGGAGCCATGACTGTTGGTAAGTTCTTACAGGGAATTTCAGAAAAACAAAACAAGGTAGATATTTTTAACTGACTGAAATGACTTGAAGATGTCACTTTCTTTCATTTTCATGTAAAAACTGAACACAAGTAATTCAAGTAATGACACAGTTTTACTATCTATGATGTATTCTAAGGCTTTAAAGAAAACAATAATCTTATTTCCATCACTGAGTTTATAAGTTCATTGAAGAGTCTAGATGTATAAATAGAATTGGTGGTAACATCCACTATTTATGAGTGATGTTTTGAACTGTGGGTATTATATACTTTCAGTGGCATTATAATATATTAATTTAACTGGTATCATATTGGAACAAGAGTGACTCCTTTTTAAGTTTCCAGCTAAACATTTATTTTTTTAAACTATTAAGGCAAAGGGTTTTCTTCTCTTTATACATATTCCATGTTAGCTACTTTATGAACTTTTAAAATTGTTCATATCAAACGTTTAACTAGTATTCTTTCTCTTTAGGTATGGGCTATTCCATGTATCGGGAATTTTGGGCGAAACCTAAGCCTTAGAAGACGGGATGCAGGCTTGGCTCTGTTAGACATCTCATATTGAGGTTACATTTTCTGTTGAAAATAAATAATTTGAGTGGATGTGGACAATAGTACGTGGTGTCTTCAATACTGACCTCCTTTCTTGTAGGTGTAATTTGCCTAGTAACCAAAATTATTTGTGACTAGTTCACTCGGGTCATTCAGAGGAGCCAAATTAACACAGTGTTACATCTGAGTTTCCCCCTTCTGAAACTTTTGTAGTCCTGAATAACAACAGGCCAACCTTGAAGCTACGCCCAGTTTGCTGCAGAGTATCACATGCTTTGCATGTTAGGAGTCTAATTACCCCAGTTAACTTCAGTTTTTTCCTGCCTGCCTCATAGACTGGTTGACTATTTCAATTTTTGGGGCTAGTTATCTTTTTTAAAAGAGTTTGTGGAATGGAACTTGTAAACCCTTCCCTAACTGAGAGAGAGTGTGTGTGTAAAAACAGAACCTTTTAAGGTAGCTGTGTAGTAGCATATTTCAGAATCACACCTGTAAACATGAGACTAATTTAATTATGGATTCCAATTTAGTTATAACTGCAGAATTATATTTTTGCTGCTGTTATACTAAATTCATTTTGAAATTGAAACTTGTGTTTTAACTGCCTAAAACAAAGGTAAATTAACATTTTTAAATGTGTACAGTATTTTTTTCCTTCTGTGCAAGACTTATAAATGTTAAATTATTTATAGTGGACATGATTAATAGTTTGTAAGCAAGTTGGTTGGTCAGACATTATACACAAACTTTGATATATACAGAATATGTAATTATACTTGTAAAATTCTCTTGTCTAACCTGAACTTAAATTTCATGGTGATAGTCTGATCTATATATTGCTATTAAAGTGAGTGAACACATTGAATGTCTTGTATTTATTTCAGTTTGGAAAGATAAGAGTAGCATAGAAATTAAATTCCTAGAAAATAAGTAGAGTGTTTTGTAACTTTGGTAGGAACTGAGGAGTATCTGTGAGAATTACAGTTTAGACTTACTGAGCATTTACCACATGCCACACATTACTCTAAGCACGCATGTACTGTGATACCGTGTCAGCTTCCTAACCGCAGAGGGAGGAACCGTGCACCATTTCATTTAAACTTCACAACTCTCAAAGAGCTATGGTCCTCAGTGCGGGTCTGTCCTGGGAATTTTGGATTAGATGAGAATGTCCCTTAGCCCACATGGGACCCCAGCATGTGCAGGGCAAGCCATTGTAGCCATTAGGCTATCATGCCGGGCCCCAAGAATGGCTGACTTAATAACTGTTTATATATCATTTTTGTTAAGTATTAGAAGTACTATAGATTTAAAGCATATGGGAAGATATGTACAGTCAGACAATGTCGTTTATACCCAAGGAACGAGAGGCTTGCTGGAGTCGGGAGGGTGGTCCAGGGATGCTCCTTGGACACAGAGGGCTGACTAGCAACTGCCCATTTTCTAGTCCGTGAGCAACAGTGACACCTGGTGGTCAGAGCTGCAATTTGACTCCACACACATCCATTTTGGAGTTTCTCAAAATTTTGCAGTGGCCCAACCGCTCAATTAGAATATTAGTCATGTGAGCCAGGCCTCCTTCCTCGCACATGAGCAACTGCTGCTCAAAGGGAGTTGATTTAGTTTCTATCCCCATGTAAATCCACAGCCCATCACATCACAGCTGCTAGGCTAAAGCAGAGGACACTCAAGCCATCATTCCTCTTCATCACTGTTAAATCAATCGCAGGTCGTGACAGTTTTTCCTCAACAGTCTCCTTTAACCCAAACTTGTCCTTTCCATTTCCTGTTGCTGCCACCTTGTGCCAGTGAGTCTTTGTTTTGGGCCTTTATAAAGAAGCCGAGGTTGCCTCCACAGTCAAACAGCCCTTGCTGTGGCAGTGATAAATGAAATGCTAGTCTACTCACAAGTCATTGGGGCCTAGTTCAATAGTGGAGAAACATAATTACTGGGTCGTGTGACTTTCATCGAGGTGATTTGAAAGATGGTGATAAAAGCCAAGGTTGGAATTCAGAAATCTGGAGACAAAATGAAAACCTAGTGCCACCCCAGCAGGCTGAAGGCTTGGTGGGCAGCCAGGGGAAAGCTGATCTTTCGGAGCAGTCCCTGGGAACTGATGAATCTTGGCAGAACACTGAGTTTTCTGATAAAGTCAACATAAGATGAGTAAGATCGCTATATACACATTTAGACAAAACAGCTCTGTGGGTAAAACAAGGTTCACTGTAGCCAGATGGTGCTATGCTAAAAGCACAGCGTGCTGGACGGGCTAGTGGCCAACAAAGCCCAAATCGCAACTCCAGCAAAAAGGGCCTTGAACTTGGAGAAAATGAAGTTTTTATCCATGGGGGTGGGGAGAGCAGAGAGGAACTTCTTGATAAAGAAGTGAGAAAATATACTAAGGATTAATCTTGGGTCAGAAATATCTCGGGCACTTGCTTTCTTGTCTCTGAGTCCATGCTCCAGTATCTGTGTGATGACAGCTTCGTGGATGTCCGAGTTTGGGAAGCGACAGGCTGTGTAGACGGGCCACAACCTCTGGTTATAAACTAGTGGCTTGTGCTCAGTCACATGGTACCATAACTGGGCATGTGTAACCCCCAAGTGACATTCATGGTATGACCAAGCTGAGCTCTGGAGAGGAGTTTTAAACCGCAACAAAACTTCCATTATTGGGCAAGTCAACTAAGCCTGCAGTAATACAAACACTGCTAAAATAACCCAGCTAGCTCAACAGCATCTCCGCCTCCAGAGCACATACTTGGTTGTCAGCACAATGAGGACACTGTTGCTACATGAAGAAAATTAAGGTTTCTGACTGACACATGTCAAAGCTACAACTATTCTCATTTTATGACTTGAGTTTTGCTTCTCAAAGTAAGTAGGATCTTCGTTGTTATATTTACCCATTTGTGAGAGGAGAAATCTATTTGGTGACCTTAAGATAAACATGAATGAAGAGCTTCCATTTTTAAAGCTGGAACTGTGTGGAACTATGCGAAGAATTTATTTTAGGGATTGGAGATTTATATCTATACGACTACAAAAATCATTATGGCAAATATATATAACACAAACTGAACATTGGGGTCATTTTTAAGCACCCAGTTGAGTGGAACTGACTACTGCCACATGCTGTGCAATGACCACCACCGTTTACCTTCACAGATTTCATCCCCCCGACCCAACCCTATTCCTGCTGCCCTGTGCCTCCCCTCCATCTCCTCCCTTCACTCCATAGCAACCTCTAGTTTACTTTCTGTCTTGAATTTGCCCATTCTAGGTTCAAAATATAAGTGGAATCACAATATTTCTCCTTTTATGAATGGCTTGATTTAGCCTATTTTCAGGTTTCAACCATGTTGTGACATAGATCAGAACTTTATCCTCCTTTTTAAAGGAGTATTTATTTGAAAGGTGTAGCAACATAGGAGACAGGTCTGTTCATCGTTCAGTTGGTCCAACAGACAGACCTGGAACCCCAGCCTGGTCTCCCTGGTCACCCAGGTGGGTGGCACGGGTTTAAGCACTTGGGCCTTCTGCTGCCTTCTGGGGTGTGTTAGCAGGAAGCTGGATCTGGGGCTCAAACCAGTGCTCTGATTTGGGATGCTGCCACCACAGCTTAACCTGCTATACCAGCCAGTCCCTCATTCTGCTTTAAGTCTGACTATACTCCATTATATGTGTATACATTTTGCTTGTTTGTTGCTGTGTACTTTGCACCTTTTTGCAGTTGTGCATAGTGCTGCCACGAGCATGGGGTGTAAGTATCTGAGTCCTTGCCTTCACCTATGGGTGTGTGCTAGAAGTGGAATGATTAGATCATATGGTTATTCTGTAATTAACCTTTTGAGAAACTGTTAAACTTTTCCATAGAAGCTATGCCATTTTATACATTCCCAGCACCAACACACAGTGGTTGTAAGTTTTCCACATCCTAGCCTATACTAGTGATTTCTTCCCTGCAATTTGCTTGATTTTCAATATAAGTTCAAAATGCATTCATTGGGACATTTTGACATTCCCCACCACCCAAAAACCCTAAACTTGACAACTTATATAAAAATTACAGCAAATACATCATGGAAACAAAACCCTAATACTTTTAAAAAGCATATGGGGAACATCTATAGGGTCCAGAGCTAAGCAACAAATTTCATAAATGTAACATAAAAATCTATAAAGGAGGGAAATTGATAAACTGAGCCTCATCAAAATTGAAACCTCTTCTATGAAAGTGTATATGAAAAGGACAAGTCCAACGACTCAAAGAAAAGCTCTGCAAGCCACAAAATACCAGCACACAGAAAGTATAAAGAATTCTCAAGACTCAACAGTTAAAATTTGGGCAACAGAAAATAACAGACACTCACCAAAGAATATACAGAGAGCAAATAAACTCATGCAAAAAATGTTCAATGAAAAAAAAATCTGGCAGAGGGGAGGGCAGCACAGTGGCTCAACAGGCTAATGCTGCACTGGTTCGTGTCCCAGCTGCTCCACTTCCCTTCCAGCTCCCTGCTTGTGGCCTGAAAAAGCAATGCAGAATGGCCCAAAGCCTTGGGCTATGCACCCACACGGGAGACCCAGAAGCAGCTCCTGGCTCCTGGCTTTGGATCAACTCAGTTCTGGCCTTTGCACACTTGGAGAGTGAACAGCTCCAGCTGTTTCTCCTTCTCTGTAAATCTGCCTTTCAAATAAAAATACATCTTTTTAAAAAATACTGAATGTTGTCTTATCTATCCAGATTAGAACCACAATGAGATATCACCGCACACTTAGTAAGAAGTCATGATAACTAATGTTATTAAGACTGTGATGAGATCAGATCACTTATAAGTTTCTGCTAGGAATGCAAAATGATACCGTCACTCTGGAAAACAGTGAGGCAGTTTCTAATAAAACTAAATATGCATTTATATGGCCCAGCCACTGCACTCTTAGGTATTTGGTCCATAGGAATAATAACAAAAACCTGTACATAAATGTCCATAGCGGCTCAATACCCTTCAGTGGATGGATAGCTAAACTGAGGGACATCCATATGTGCTGCGGCCATAGCTGTGACTGAGCAAGTGTCCAGCATCTTACATCCCAAGTCTATGATGTCACAGTCATACTGCCATCCTGAATCAATGATTTTATTGCTGGGTCTGTGATGTCATTACCGAGTTTATGGCAGACTCAGCAATAAATAGATCATTCATACACAACCACTTAGATAAAGCTCCAGAGAATTATTCTAAGTTAAAGAAAAAAGAATTAAATACTGTATTTACACAAAGTTTCTGAAATGACAAAATTTTAGAGATGAAGGACAGCTTAGTGTTTATTGGGGTGTTAGTGGCTGGAGGGGCGTCCTGTGATAGTAAGTGTTCAGTCTCTTGACTGGGGGTGGGTACATGAAGTTACACGAGATAAAACCAAGGAAACTAAGTAAGCTCCGTGGGTTTCATCAATATCCTGGGTATAATACAGGACTACTGTTACTGGTACACTGCACATGGGACCTCCCCACAGTATCTCACAACTGCATGTGAACCTGTCATTATCTCAGTTTTTCTGATTCTAATAAACAAACCACAACAAAACACAAGAATGCCTGCAAGTACTTCTGGTTGGAGCTATAGAAGGTAGGCTGGGATGAATAAACACTTGCACAGTGCTTAAGAGGGTGTACATCGAGACCTTTGCAGAGAGACTTCAGGGCTCCCTGGATGAGGAAACATCAAGTTACAGATGCCAGAAAGTTCCCAGGAATGGGCAGGAGAGTCTGAGGGGTGGAGGTAGAAGGGTGGCAACCCTAGAGGAAAATCGCCCCTGGCTTTCCGGGTACAGGTTACAGTACAGACGGTACCTCGGTCAAAGGCCATCCTAGAACTGCTGGTGCACAATGTCACCCCCTTCCCATGCATGCTCCCTGGAACGCCTGTCCTCGTTGTAGCATTCTATCTTGAGGGAAAGCTGCCTCCGAGGGGACAATGCTTGCTCCTGGTTCATCCCTGAATGCTGCGCTCCCCACAACTGCCACACGCAAGTTCCTGGGAGATGTTTACCAACCTGACCCCTTCCCTTGAGCCTGTGTCTCTGCACCACACACGGGTCTGCGGGCATCTTCCTCTCACCTGACAGACACACGGAGGCCAACCAGAAAGACGCATGCTTGCTTCATCAGCAGCCGCTGGGCTTACGCCTGCATCCCAGTGTTGCTCTAGGACTGCCTTCCTGTACATCCACGGGGAGTTCACCTTTAAGGGCGGGAAGAGACACAATGGTAGTATATGCTTGAAGACTACAAAGCCCGAGAGAACTATTTGAAAAGTTTCCCTCAACTGTCTTGTCTAAAAACTTGCCTCCCAGCTCCACGTAGCCCTGAAATATAGTGAACGCCTTAGGTTGGAAGGTGCTTTAAAAATTGGTTTTCCTCTATGAGAATCAACTATGTTCAATATTACCCACCCCCCCAAAAAAATCTAAAGTACAAAAATAAAGCATACTGCAATTCCATTACCCAAACACGAGGAGTCTTTAAAACAGCTGACGGAAAACGTGAGAAAACTATGCTTGGATTTCAATCATTTTTAAATTCCATTTTCCATGAGCCTTGGAAGTATTTTTTTCTTTTTACTTATTTGACACACATACATACACACCCCGTATGATTCACGCTCTGAAGCCTCGCCGAGAGCCGCGGAGCTCCAGCCAAGGCCATTCCCAAGGCCGTAACGGTCTGCCCCGGTAAGACGCTCGGCCCGGGCGCTGGGAATCAAACGCAGGTAGGAACTCCTCAGTGTGGGACGCGGGCGGCTTAGCCAGGGTCGCGGAACACCAACAACTCCGCCATCGCTGACAGGAGCTACGGCCTCGTGCCTTGGTGCCCCGCCCCCTCCCGACTCACCATTCCCTTTCCTCACATTAACACATTTCACAGAGACTCTACACGTCCGTGTCAAATGTCACGGCGAGGGGGTTCACCGTTCAACACCCCCTCGTGTTCCACAAGCCCTGAACCGAAGCCCTCAGCGCTCCTCACCGTCAGAGCTAACCTGAACCCTCAGCGCTTCTTAGAACGCCCGACGCGCTCTCGGCCCCCGTAGCGGCGTGGTGACGTCACGAGGGCGACGCTGGTTTCCCTGGTGACGGTTGCCAGGGCAGCGCGTGCCGGCGTCCGGAAGAGTTGAGGACTGAGGAAGCCGCAGCCGTGCTAGAAAGGAGGAGCAGAGAGACAGCTGTAAGTGCCGGGGAAGGCAGAAAGGTCCCGAGCCGGAGCCCGGGGTGCCTCCCTCTGTCCCGCGAACCTTCGCGCTCACCCGCCTCCTTCCCCCAGGCACACCCGACGCTTAGATCGTCTGAGCAAGGTCTTTCATTAGGAGGTGGCAGAGTACGACTCGTAGTCACGTCCCGTCCTCCCGGCTTCGGGTGGCCTTTCCTGGTCTCTAAGAGAGGAGACGGAGCCATGCAGTCCCGCATCTCGCAGGCCGCCTTCCTGGGCCAGCGACCACGGGACGAGGAAGTCCCCTCAAAGCGGGACGCCAGCTCCCAGCGAACCACAGGTGCCGTGTCCATCCCTGCGTGGGAATGCCGCCTTGGTGGGCCTTGTTCAGCGGTCTGTGGGACCACTCACTGGTCCCAGGCATGGCCTCTGAGCCCTCGAGTCCCCGCAGGACTCCCAAGCACGCGCCACACCCTGACCCCCTTCCAAGACTCGAACTTCTGCCCGAACCAGTTCTTTCCAAGCACTTAAGCTTTCACTTAAAAACAAAAAGCAAACGGTCGTTTGCTTACAGCCATCTCACATGGACATTATACAGCACAGGGTTCCCGTGTGCACACCAGCCCCAGCCCCAGGGCTTCTCTAACGTTTTGCACCGGTTTGATTATATGTGTTAACCATTAATAAGCCTATTGCTATGCTATCATGGACTGAATTCTTAGTTGACTTCAGGGTCCGGGTCTGTGGGATTTGATAAATGAATCATGCTAGGCATCCATTGTTAAAGTGTTGTGTGGAAGTTTCACAGACCCTGGAACCCCTTCAGTTCCAGGCTGTCCATTTCCTCCTCCTACCTGCCCCACACCCCGGCAAATCACTGCTCGTTTTACTGTCTCATTTTGCTTTTTCCTGAATGTCCTGTGGTTGCATGCTACATCTACTGTTTTCAAACTGACGACTTTGCAAGGTGCACTCAAGGCTTCTTTTTCTTTTCTTTTTTTTTTGGTCTTTTCACAGCTGGATAGCTCATTTCTTTTCCTCAGTAAATAACACACCCTTGAATGTGAGTACCCATGTGTCTTTTTGCCTGTGACAGTGTATCTTGCTAGTTTCTGATTTTTTGGCAGCTTTGAATAAAGCCACTATAGACACTTGGTGTGCAGGCTTTAGTGTGGACATAGTGGTCAACCATTTGGGTAAAGAGGATTGCTGGGTCAATGTAGTGTGTGGGGCCGAGAAAAAAAACCTGCCAAGTGGCTTTGCCATTTTGTGTTACCACTGGCAATAAATGAAAATTCATTTGCTTTATATCCTTGTCAGCAAGGATTACACGTATACATCCATGGCGATATTGGTGTTTTGAATTTTAGCCATTCCAGTAGGTATGGAGTGATATCTCACTTTTTGTTTTAATTTGCGATTCCCTGATGCCGGGATATTGAATATTTCAGAAGCATTTCATGTTTTTTTTTTTTTTTGCCATCAGTATATGCTCTTTGTTACAAAAAGAAGAAGACGACAAAGGCAGAAACCGTAGGTGCTGTTTGTTGCCTCGCTTGCCTGCTCTGGGAGTGGCTATTTGTGTAGCGCTTCTTTGCGTGAATTTTGAATGCAGTTCTTTTTCAGATTGGCATTTTGTGCAGATTTCTTTCCACTCCACAGTCTCTCTCTTCATTCTCTTAGCTGTGTCTTTCCATGAGAGGTGTTTTATTTTGAAGAAGTCCAATTTATCAGTCTTTTACAGACCATGCTTTTGGTGCTGCATTTGAAAAGCCCGCCAAACCCAAGGTCATCTGGACTGTCTCCCTTGTGGGTTTTTTTTGTTTTAAGATTTATTTTTTTTTTATTTTTATTGGAAAGGCAGATATACAGAGAGAGGAGAGACAAAGAGGAAGATCTTCCATCCAATGATTCACTCCCCAAGCGAGCACAACGGCCTATGCTATGCCGATCTGAAGCCAGGAGCCTCTTGCAGGTCTCCCACGCGGGTGGAGGGTCCCAAAGCTTTGGGCCGTCCTCAACTGCTTTCCCAGGCCACAAGCAGGGAGCTGGATGGGAAGTGGAGCTGCCGGGATTAGAACCGGCGCCCATATGGGATCCCGGGCATGCAAGGCGAGGACCTTAACCACTGCACCATCGTGCTGGGCCCAGATTTATTTTATTTTTATTGGAAAGTCAGATATAGAGAGAAGAGGAGAGACAGAGAGATCTTCTGTCCATTGATCACTCCCCAAGTGGCCACAATGACCAGAGCTAAGCCAATCCTAAGGAGCCAGGAGCTTCCTCTGGGACTCAAACGCAGGTGCAGCATCCCAACGCTTTGGGCCATCCTTGACTGCTTTCCCAGGCTACAAGCAGGGAGCTGGATGGGAAGCTGGGCCACCAAGACATGAATTGGCGCCCATATGGGATCCCGGCGTGTGCAAGGCAAGGACTTTAGCAGCTGGGTTATTGTGCCGGGCCCTCCCCTGTGGTCTTTCAGAAGATGTACAGCTCTGCATCTTCAGTTTATGCATTCAATGAATTTTGTGAGAGGCATTGATTTCTTTCTTTCTTCTTTTTTTGGCATGTGGATGTTTTGCCGTCCCAAAACCATGTGATGGAAAGGATTTCCTTCCTCCATTCTCTGTGGGATTTCCTTCACTTCTTTGTCAAAGATCGGTTGACTGTATCTATGTGACTGTTTCTAGGCTGTCCACTTGGTTTTATCGATTATTTGTTCGGTCACCAGGGCCACACTGTGTTGGGTGGCCTCAGAGGAAGTCTTGGGGTTAGCGAGTGTCGGTTCTTCACGTCTGTTGCTATCCCTCAAATGTTGGGTTGGCTGTTGTGGGTCCTTGGCCTCTCCCTGTAAACTCTCCGATCAGTTTGATATGCAGAAGATGATTCACTGGGATTTTGATTGGGATTGCATGGAATCTGTGGGTCGAATTGGAAAGAATTTGAACTGTTAAGTCTTTGGACATGCGTATGAGATACCTCTCTCTATATAATATTTATACATTTACTTATAAAATATATTTTATAGACTTACATGTGTTATGTAATATTTTGTGTGTTTACCATATATAAATATATTGTATTTATTATATATTTATGATATATAAAATATATTTTTATTTATCTCTTCTTAGCAGAATTTTATAGTTTTTCTTCTACAGATCTTGGTGCATATTTTGTTACATTTATGCCACATTTTCTTTAATGAGCAATAGCAATAGTGGAAGGCGTAAAAACTATTGCAAGCTGTTTTTAAAAAGATGGGCTTGGTTGCCGTCACTCGTGAATTAGCATTTATTGCAGGGTCTTGCGAATAGCTTCCTCACAGATGCGGCAGAGGCCTCACGAAGGCTCATGGACCAAGATGGACAACTTAATTCATTTGTTCCAGAAATATGTATTAATGTGTGCCAGGTATTTTTATAGGTGCTATAATACAATCATGAAGTAAACATTTAGATAAAAGTGGGTGTGAGTGTGTCGTAAAGTTGCCAACATGCTAATGGGGAAAGATGGATCATGTGAAGACAGGTGGAATATGCTCGAAGCATGAGGAGGAGAGAGAAATTTAGGCATGGGAGACAGAATGCGGAGGTCAGGGAGGGTCTCCCTGCCGAGGTCAGGCAGAGGCCCACCCCTGAGGAAGACTGACTTTAATCATGATGAAGGATGGCTTGCGAGGGGAGCCAGGTTACACTGGGCCCTGCTTTTGTGCTGGATCTGATGAGGGTGTTAGCAGGATGGCCCTGGCGGATGTACTGAGGCAGGATGCGAGTAGAAGGCACATGAGCCAGAGCCCACAGCAATGCTCTGAGTGGACGGTCGTTGTTGGTCTAGAGTGGTTGAGGTAAAGCTGCTGAAAAGTTTTCAGGTGCTACGTACCTTTTAGAGGTGGCAACGGGAAAACGTGCTGATGGATTCCATGTGGAAGAAGCTTGGAGGACACAGGTCAACAGGCATTGCCAGAGTTCCTCTTGTTGTTGTTGTTAAAGATTTATTTTATTTTTATCAGAGAGGCATATTTACAGAAATATGTTTCATCTGCTGGTTCACTCCCAAAGTGGCCGCAACAGCCAGAGCTGGGCCAGCTTCTTCCGGGTCTCCCATGTGGGTGCAGGGTCCTAAGGCTTTGGGCCATCCTCAGCTACTTTCCCAAGGTACAAGCAGGGAGTTGGATGGGAAATGGAGCAGCTGGGATACAAACTGGCACCCATATGGGATCCTGGCACATGCAAGGCGAGGACTTCAGTCGCTAGGCTATCGCACTGGGACCATTTCACTTCTGCACTTGCCTCTCTGCCCAGACTCCAGTTAGTTCCCACATAGGCTTCAGCCCTCACTCAACTCATTTATTCGGGGAAGCCCCTGAACCCTGCCATCTGTGTCAGACTCCTGGTAGGGGCTCTCAGCTGCTTGGACCTCATCTTGAAAACATTACAGTTAAGGCAGAATGCTTTCCAACCAGTGTCTGAACACTATGAGGATGACTCTCAGACAGTAGTGCTGGGGGAAAAAAAAAAGCCCAACAGGAAAGACTGGTCGAGAGTCTGTTACAGGACATGTTAGAAATGACTGTACTGGACAGAAGAGGGGACCAAGCAGTATTTGCACGTCACGGAGATGGTCTTCCGTGATAGCATTTGTATTCCTCAGATCTTGCAGCAAACTGTGACTCCAGTATAGAATGAGATCTGGGGATGTGGGGGAAGCAGCCGTGTCCTCTTAGGTGGTCCTGGCTCCAGGCAGCCCTGGGAATCTGCCCTGTGCCTAAGCGAAGGAAGGGCGACCAAGAGTCAGGGTGAGTGAGGGCAGCGGGGAAAGCCGGAGAGGTTCTGAGCTCAGATCAGCATGTGAAACGCTGTCCTTGGAGGAGCTGTCTGCTGGGCCCCGGCAGAGGTTCTCTCAGAGGTGTGCGTCGGTGGGAAGATGCTGTGCACGCAGGATTTGTGCACTCCCCTGCATGTACATAGTAACCCAGTGTTAAAAGCAGCAGCAGTCACGAAGTCTGAGCTCACTCCTAGAGTTTGGGATGGAGCTGGTCCGAGCACCCCACCCCCTGTGGGGTTTGCTTCAGGTTGCTTTTCTGACTTCCAGGGCAAGATGGAAGCCGAGGACGCACTGGAAGCAGATGAAGACGCTTCCCAGGATACCTTGCGGCTGCAGTTCAAGGCCATGCAGGAGATGCAGCACAAGCGGCTGCAGAAGCAGATGGAGAAAAGGAAGGAAAAGGAACTGAGCCTCCAAAGCAGAGCTGACGAACAGCAGGAGTCCCCGCAGGTGTCCGAGGGCCTCAGCCTTTTCCAGGCAGTGGAGGAAGACTCCAGGACCAACTTTGAGCGAGGGTAAGCAAGTGTTTGAGCACTGCAGAAGGCAGGGGAGAAATGACACAAACGCTGTGATTTAAGACCCTGGCATCTAATTGATCTGTGTGCCCGAGGACACAGTGTGATAGGAAGTGTGCTTTGAAAGCATTTAAAATCTAAGCTTTTGAATTCATATAGGCGTAATTTACTCAAGTTTTCTTGTGCAGTCTTCTCTTGCGAGAAAACCATGTTTGCTTTTCCTAGGAACTGGTTGGCTCCTGGGATGCGGGGAGGAGGTTTCAAAGGTGGCCCCTGCTCCTAATCTCATTGGGGGGTCTTTCTGCAACGACAACTCCTCCCCCCACCCCACGACAACACATAAACACTCCCTGAGTGTGTGTGTGTGTACGCTGCAGAAGCTGTGTCAAAACTTGGGAAGTGCAGCTGCAGTGAGAGAAAGAAATGTGTAGCCTTAATGAAAGCCGCATTTTACGAGTTTTGCTACAGTTTTAGTGGTGGTGCCTTTGTAAATGCTTCATGATGCACATTAGGCTTCCTTTTTTTGAAATGTAGATTTATTTTTTTTTCTTTGAAAGGCAAAAGAGAGAGAGAATATCAATTGTTCATTCTCTGGCTCACTCCCCAAAATTGCTGCCGTGGTCAGACTGAGCTCATCTGAACCCAGGAGCTAGGAGCTTCTTCCAGGTCTCCCATGTGGGTTCAGGGGCCCAGGGACTTGAGTCCGCCTCTGCTGCTTTCCCAGGCTGTAAGCAGGGAATTGGATCAGACCAAGATTAGAACTGGTACCCATATGGCATACTGCTGCTGCAGGTGGAAGATCAGCCTGTTGAACCATCACACCAGCCCCCATATGATGCTTTTTTTTTTAGCCCACAGATAATTTCAGAATGTGGGGCTTATTATAATATCAACGTATGACAGCATCTGAGTTTCTTTTTGTTTGTTAGACTTTTTTTTTTTTTTTTTTTTGCTTGGCCTTTACAGGCTTACTCCGTTCTTGTGTATGTCGGCTGCCTGTTTGAAAGGAGTGTGACTTCCCTGGGGTTGCGGGGAGAGGGGTTTTGTGCAGCTCTCTGTTGGGGTCAGCTAATAAACAGTGCTATTCATCCTTCTTTCTCGTGACACTTGCGCGTGTAAGTGTGTGCACTTAACCATTCAGCTCTGAGAACACTCGAAGTCCCTTACTTTCCGTTTCCTAACGCTGTCTGATGCCCGGCACAGGCACAGTAAGCCTGGACGCTGGGGCCCCTCTGGGCCGGCCCTCGGGGAGGAACGGTAACTCTGCCCTTGCCTTCTAGGGTGCTTGAAGATGAGATTACACAGCTTCGAGATGAGCTCAGGGAAACAGTCGATGAGAACGGGCGACTGTATAAGCTGCTGAAGGAAAGGGACTTTGAAATCAAACACCTGAAAAAGAAGATAGAAGAGGACAGGTTTGCCTTCACAGGTAGCTGCACGGTGGTTTGCGACTGTCCAGGCTGTGATGTCTGGGTGGGCTGGCCCAGCTGCCACGAGGCCTGCTGGGAAGGGTATACAGCGGGTTCCAGAGGACAGAGCCCACCAAGGGTCAGTCAGTTGGGGGTCAGACTTGTACTCTTGGGGTCCGGGAAGCCAAGGCAGGGGTAGAGGAAGGGAGCAGGCTCAGGGATGCCAGGGTGCCAGGAAATGGGAGCCAGCATCCTTAGCAAGGATGGCGACCCACCTGGGACTCATGACAAGCTTCTCTGGCCTGCTCACAGCATGTCCTGTGGGCGGACAGAGTCCATTTCTCCCTGGTACTCTGGCTCAGGCAAGATGTTGGGGCATTTAAAATAAACTCCCCTTATAGGGCAGACATTCACTGGACAGCACCTGCTGTCGCTGCTCCAGAAAGAAGGTGAGACAGGGAATGCGGCTGTTCGAGAAGAATTTCCTGGGACACAGCTGCGTGTGACTAGGCTGGGCCCTTGTCCTACAGCTCTGGGCTGGACCTTGGCTTTGCAGGTTGAGACCTTGGCCCCATGAATCCGGTGAGAATCTTGGTTTGGTGGGTCTGGGAAGGACCTCAACCCTGTGGGAGTGAGTTAGACTGCGCTCCGCTCTGTGTGACCCCATTGAGCAGTTCCCACATGCCTGGGAAACCAGAAAGTAGATGTCCCCAGTCAACAGAGAGGAGCAGGACTGCGCCAGCACCTGCCAGAGTGTCCCTCCCTGCCTCTGGAAGTGGGTACCAGCCCCAGGACCAACTCTCCTGTCAGTCAGTGCTGGATTAAAAGTCAAGGATTACATACTCACTGTACCTCATTCCTTTTTTTTTTTTTTGCATTTTTGCATTTTTTCTGTCGTTAAAACAAAAATAAAAACAGTGAAGACAAGGCTTGGTGCTGGAGGAACAGACACTCGCAAGCTGGTGTTGCCTTCAGCAAGTGGCCCGAGGGGCGAGCCCCTGAACTGTGAGGCTGCAGAGAAGCCACTGGGCTCTAGGGGGCGCAGGAGATCCACCTGTGCCCCACACTCTTGAGCGGCAGCATCTGAGGCTACCGGGTTCCCTGCCCTCTGCTGTTTGCACGAGCTAGTCCCTTGCACATGGTGCCTCATCTGGTTGCCAGCCCTGTCTTTCCCTGAAGACCACTGGCGTCCAGTCCTCACACCACAGTCACCGTTTTTGATTCGCAACCTCACTTTTTTCGGAGAGAGAAGTCTGAGTGGCCTGTCCTGTGTTTTAATTTAAAAGAGGCTATGGAGATGGGTGTTTGGCCTAGTGGTGAAGCTTGAGGCTAGGAGGCTCGCACCCTGCATTGTGGTTCCACTCTTGGCCCCGGCTCCTGCTCCCAGCTCCCTGTTGATGCAGACCCTGGGAGGCAGCTGTGTTGATGGAGTCATTGAGTTCCTGCAGCCCATGTGGGAGCCCTGGGTTGTGTTTTCCTACTTGCTGCTTGAACCCAGCCCGGCCCTGTCTGTTGCAGACATTTGAGGAATAAACCCACTGTATGGTGACTGCCTCTCCACCCCTTCAATAAACTGCAAAACAGGTCCCAGGGGAACCATTCCTGACAGCTGGTGGGTTACGTTCCACGTGGCTGAATTTTTAGTGATGCCTTTGGGCGGTTGGTTTTCATGTTCCTGTGTCTCTACATGTTTGTTAGTGACTGCTTTAATAGTTACAGATCACATAGGTGTCCTCAGTCCACTCAGGATGACTACTGGTAGCCACTGAAGTGGAAGGTAGACTCCATCCACAATCCCAATATTGTAGCATATATAGGTGTTATACCTAAGTCAGTTCAAAGACTTGATTTTAACCATTTTACGTATTTTGAAGAAGCTAAGGAGTCAACAAAAATATTGCTTTTTCACCCAGGTATCTTGTACGTCTCTGCTTGTTTTCACTGGGGTTGCAACTGCAAGAGTGGGGCTGGCCCAGAGACAGAGCAGCGAGAGAACAGAAAACAGAGCTAAACACAGAGTTTTTCCCCCTCTTCTTTCTGCACTCCCACTCCCTCTGTGTGCTTTTTTGGACTGGAGGTTTCTCTTGGACCTCTTTGTGTTGCCTAGTTCTGGGTTTTGTGTTAATCAGGGCTCGTGGAATGAAAACATAACCCAGGCAGCTCCCCAATGCACCGACTGTACTTCCGGCTGGGCTTTCCACCCCTGGCATACTTGCTGTTGTTCACTTTCAGAATCCCCAGCTGGTTGTCTTGCTCTCTGATCAGGGCTTTTGACTGTACCCAGTGATGGTATATATTTTTTTTTATTGGGAAGTCAGATTTACAGAGAGGAGGAGAGACAGAGAGGAAGATCTTCTGTCCATTGATTCACTCCCCAAGTGACCACAACGGAGGGAGCTGAGCCTGTCTGAAACCAGGAGCTTCTTCAGGGTCTCCCTCAAGATTGCAGGGTCCCAAAGCTTTAGGCTGTCCTTGACTGCTTTCCCAGGCAACAAGCAGGGAGCTGGATGGGAAGCAGGGCTGCCAGGATTAGAACTAGCGCCCATATGGAATCCCAGATGTGTAAGGCGAGGATTCTAGCCACTAGGCTAGTGCACCAGGCCCTCAAATGGCATTTCTTAAAATGCCAGATTGTTGGATGATCTTTCCTACTGACTCGTTAATCTCTATCCCAACCCCCACCTTACTGAAAGAGCCAGGGAGGTAAGTGTGTCATCTTGGTGCCAGATGATGCTCCTCTCTTACTTGAGCCTCCACGGCTTCAGCTCTGAGCCCTTTTACCATTATGCATCCTTGTCCTCTTGGGCTGTTCAAGAGCAGTTCCGCCCCCCCCCCGCCCCCCAGCCCCGTCCCCAGTTGACCCACTTGTCTTCCTGCCCAGGCCAGCAGCAGCAAGCCCAGGCAGAGGTGGCTTGAAAATCATCCCATACCTCCATTTGCTTTTTACCAGCCATCGCCACCCCTACCTCCCACCCACCCACATCATGGTCTAAAGCATGGCATGGCCGAGTTAGAAAACAGGAACGAAAAAATATCTCCACCATTACCCTCTGCTGCAAAATCAGCAGCACCCTGCAGATCCTCCCACAGGTCGGGGACTGCACTCCACAGGGACAGGGGCTTCCACGGTGGCTCAGCCACTCATTGGCCCTGCTGGCCTGGCGCCCCCAGCATAGCACCCATCAACTGTGCAGCCCCACACCCTGTACCTTCCCCCAACTCCATCTAAAATAGCATCACCCCCCCCCTTCCTCTTGCCCAGCCTCGCTTCATGTCAGCACTTATTCTTCTCAGATGTTATCCTACCTAACTTACTTGTTTGATCTGTCTTCCTTACTAGAGTGTAAACTCCAGTACACACTTTGCTGGTTTTTTGAGAAACAGGGAGACGCACACATACAGGGGGAGACAGGACTCCTACATGGTTCACTCCCTAAACGCCTGCAATGGCTGGAATTGGGCCAGGCCAGAGCCAGGAGGCGGGAACTCAATCCAGGTCTCCCAGAAGGGCGGCAGGAACCCGGTTGCTGGAGCTGTCACTTCTGCCTCCCAAGCAATTAACTTCCAGCCAAACACCCACCCCTTCCATGAGTCTTTTTTTTTTTAAATTTACTGCTGAATCCCTACCCCCAAAAGGATGCAGCACTTGCTAAACACTCAAGTAAATATCTGCCAAATGAATATATGCATTATATAGGCCAGGTGTGACCCCAAAATTCGACCTAAGAAAGAACCCTGGCAGCACTCAGCAGTAAGCACTGATTCAGTCCAAACATGTGGGAGTTCATTGGGAACAAGCAGATCCAGGCCGGACGTGGCTAGGGTGGTTCCACTTTGTTCATCATGGCTCCCTTCCTCTGCCCGGGATCAGCCAGCTGGCCTAGTTGAGCTCTTGTGGAGATGGCGCAAATGAGCTGAACTACGACACGTGCTTGTCAAGCCTCTGCCTGCCCCTTATCTGTTAGCATTCCATTGGCCACATCAAGTGACAGGGCTGAGCCCAGAGTCAGGCAGGCATGACGGGAGCTGAGGGCCCTGCAGCCCTGGGCTCGCCAGAGGGCTTGGCAGAACTGCAGGGCTGAGGGAAGGCTGTGCTACCCTGTGGCTGGAGAAGCGTCAGAAGGATCGGGGCGGAGAGTTGTCCTCCATGGAGTTGCAGCTGTGCTTCCCGACTTTTTTTTTTTTTATTATTGGAAAAGCAGATTTACAGAGAGAAGGAGACACAGAGAGAAAGATCTCCTGTTTACTGGCTCGCTCCCCAAATGGCCGCAATGGCCAGAGCTGAGCCTATACGAAGCCACAAACCAGGAGCTTCTTCAGGGTCTCCCACATGGGTGCAGTCTCAGAGCTTTGGGCCGTCCTCTACTGCTTTCCCAAGGCACAGGCAGGGAGCTGGGTGGGAAGTGGAGCTGCCAGGACAGGAACTGGTCCTCAAATGGGATCCCAGCCCTTGAATGTGGAAGGAAGATTATCCAATTGAGCCATCACACTGGACCATGGTTTCTGATTTTATGATTTTCCTGGACACACTGAGCCTTTGAGGCTGCACCTCCCCTCACTGAAGATGGTCCCTAGGCCCCTGGGTGGGTGCCTTTTGTGAGTGTTCATGCCAAGCAGCATCTGCTTGCAGCACCCAGTGCCATGGGCAGTGGAGCACGAACCTGATGCATAGCCCATGCTTTTAACCAAGCTCCCCATTGCTCTCATTTTCAGGGACAGCTGGCATGGCTGGAGATGTCATTGCCACGAAAATTGTCGACCTGTCCAAGAAGAACCGGCTGCTGATGGCAGAGTCGGAGGGTGCCAAAACCAGGGTGAAGCAGCTGAGCAATCGCGTCCAGGAGCTGGAGCGGGAAGTGAGGGCCCTGGCCTGTCTTGCTCTGCAGGGGATCCCCAGCATCTGTGCCCTGCCCCACCCCTTCCCCAACCCCATGTGCTAGGGGACTACATCGCTTCCCCATATGTGGCTGGAGGAGGAAGAGGACATTTCTCAATTCACATCCCGTGTGCTGGTGTTTGCCCTCCAGAACCTACCCCAGGCATTAAACTTAGCATTGACTTAAGGCCGTTTTAGTCTAGGATGTGCCATCTCAGGTTCTATGCCAGACCCTGGGGAGACTAGAGGGAACAAATTAGACATGGTTGGTCCCTGCCCTCCTGGGAGAAAAACCAATGCACTTAGAAACATGACAGAAGAATAGGGGTTGATGTGACAGCGGCGGGGGATAGGCAGGTGACAAAGGGAGGGGAGGGGACATGAAAAATGTGGGGGAGAGGCTCCCCCATGCAGAGGGGGCCAGCAGGTGCAAAGGCCCTAAGTAGGCCTAAAAAGAGACCAGTGTGACCAAGAGCAAAACATGGTGGAGTTAAAACAATGGGTCAGACAGTAGGCCTGTTGTCCATAGCCAGCGTGGCAAGCGTCCTTGGGCCTCTGACCCTGTGTCCTGGTCTGAAACCCCAAGTCCATATGTAAATAGTTTATTCCGCGCCCCCACCCCACCCCCCACTCCTGGCAATTTGGCTGCAGCATCATTACATATGAAGCTCTTAGTCCTGGGTCTGCTTCTGGGGTGGGGGCAGGAAGGAGCGAGCACACAGTCCAGAGAAGTTGGCAAAGGAGACCCCTTCCATTAACTACCCTAAAGGGAGTCGACAGAGCAAACCACCATGATACAGCCTCAGCTGGGCAGCACAGTTGCTGAGCAGGATTCAGTATTATACCTGAGGTTTGCTTTTTTTGCAGCTGCAGATAGCCCTGGCCAGGCTGCCAGCCAAAGGGGCCTCTGACACAGGAGCCAAGCCGCCGAGGGCCCAGATAGGAGACAACGCCTTGGTATGAATTCCCATCTGCTCGGGAGCCTGGGAGGCAGCTGAGGGCCTGAGAGTGTGGTCACCTGCGCCCAAGCTCTCCTGCCCTACTCCCACCCCCATTGCTGAGCCCGGTGCCTGTTGTCTGCACTGCAGCATCCTCAGAGCAGCCTGCCTTCCCAAGGCAGCACCGAGTTCATGGCCCGAGGGCCCTCGCTGAAGCCAGGCTGGGTCTAACTCAGTCCCCAGAAAGGGAGGGAAGGGAAGCCCAAGGACCCTGGAACCCTAGAGTTTCAAAGCCCAGGAGGGACATCTCCCCCTGTCTGGCCTCCTGCCCTCTGCCTAGCCACCTTCTTTATAGCACCCTCGCTAGGGAGACACTTGGCTCCTGCCCCAGGAGCAGGCAGCTCTCCACTGCCTGAGAGCCCGTACTGGGAGGAGCTCAGAGCCACAGAGCAACAGTGACTCGGGAATAAGGACTGTTGTCCAGATCCAGTAAGCAGTCTCTGATGGCACTTCATGAAATGAAAGGTGATAGGACGCAGTGGGTTGCCAGGGGCACACCGTTTGAGCCAGACAATGGGCAGCCCAGGAAGCCACACTGGGGGATTTCTTAGGACGTTGGAACAGCTGGTGTTGGAGGGAAGCAAACCCCAGATGGTGCTGGGCCCCCTCCGCCCCTGTTGCCTGCATGTCTGGATCAGGCCTCTCCCATGGAAATATCAGTCCTCCATGTATGGGGGGACAGTCCTGGGACTCTGGAGGCCAGTCACTCCTGGGCAGAAAAGTGCTGGACGGGGAGCTTCTTCCAGGCCTTTCTGCCCCAAAGATCTCAGCTGCCTCTGGTTTATCCCAGCCACCAAGAGCAGCTACACATCCTCGATTAGAACTGCCCCAGTGGGGTAACTGCTTCCTTGGACACTCGCTGGCCTGATGGCATGTTCTGAGCCCTCAGTCACAGGGAATCAAAATCAGAGTGCTGTGCCCGGGGAGTCCATGAGGAGAGACAAGGAGCCATCGCAGAGGCATACAGATGAGGCCTTCGGAGAGAGTCCGGGAGCCCTGGCCGTGCTCAGGGAGCCTGCCCTCCGTGGACGCTGGAGGAGGGAATCCTGGGGAAGCATCGGAACAGGTCAAGGTCAAGGTCCAGACCCGGGAAGCACTAGCATGTGCACATCCAGCTTGTTTGGGTGTTAACCCGGATCCCACTTGACTACAGGCCGGAGCCCGAGGAAGAGGGAAGAAAGGGCTCTACACTAGAAAAGGCTGGGGCAAGGTCACCCACAGAGGGCCACTGGCACAGGAGTTCTTTTTGACCACAGGAGGTTCCTGCCAAGAGAGTATGGGGGTGGGAGAGCGAGTGCTGCAAGTCTCATCAGCACCCCTGTGTGCCCCCTGGCAGCCTCCGATCAGAGCAAGAACAAAAGCAGTGTCCTCCCTCAGTGGACAGGGCCGCCTGAGCCTGACTGTGTGGGCCTCTCTGCTCCCCTGGACAGTCTGTCATTTATTCCCTCAAAGGAAACAGCTCATGTTGGAGGGGTGGGGAGGGGGCAGCCTGCTTGCCCCAGGTGCCCAGCACAGCCCATGGAGTTGTACTGTAGGCAGAGTTTTGAAATGGCTGGACGGGAGGGTGAGCCCAGCTGCCTAGGCCAGGAGGACAGGGACCTAGCTCAGCCCGCTCCAGAGCACCATCTGGCCCTCAGCCCCACTGCCAGCTGGGCACAAGCTGGGCTCAGTCCCCTGGTGAACCTGCTCAGACAGCAGCCTTCATGTGATTGGTCTCCCGACTCTCACGGGCCCAGGATACTGGCAGACATGTCCCCATTTTACAGATGATAAGGAGAGGGATAGTTGGCTGGGTTCTCGATCCAGCTCCACCTCCATGCTCTGGGCAGGATGGAAGATGTTTCCTGAAGCTCCCCACCTCGGTTTCCACTTCCCAACCCAGGGCAGGTCCAGGAGAGAAGACAGAAAGCACCTTTCCCAACCAGGGTGCCCAACCCCCCAGGACTCACCTCCCACCAGCCTCCGTTGTACATCTGTCCGGTGCTTAGTTCAGCAGCCAGTACGTGGCTGGGCAAGTGGGGGGCTGTTGTTAGCATCACAGCTTAGGCAGAAAGTGACCTCCTTCTCCACTGTCCTTTCCGAGCAGCTGGAGACCCCCGAGGTGAAGGCCCTGCAGGACAGGCTGGCGGCCACGAACCTGAAGATGAGTGACCTGCGTAACCAGATCCAGTCGGTGAAGCAGGAGCTCCGCCTGGCTCAGAAGGTCCTCCAGAACCAGGGCTTGGGACTCCTTGTGGAGCTGGGGTCGTCCCGGCGGGTTCTGTTCAGGAGCAGGCAATGTGCTCAGCCCCTGAGCGACCCAGATCGCCTGACCTTTGCCTGGGGCTGGGAGGAGGCTCCATGGATGGGGCAGGGGAGAGAGGGGGGTCACTGGCTGCCCCAAGGGGCCATGCCCACAGGCCTTTGTGGTGCCAGCACAGCTCTGGACTGAGGAACACGTTGCCGTCCACCAATACAGAGTCCTCGAAGCTTTCCCATGCTCCCAAGGAGCCAGAGGCCCCAACCCAGTAGGACATCTTTGACCGGAAGTCTGCCAAAACCTGCCTTCCGCCTCTGCTCTCTGTTCTGTTAGAAAATGAAGAGGTGGTTTGTGTATTCAAGGTCCCCTTTCAAAAGGAACACTTTCAGACTTGGGACATAGGTCCCCTGGCTGGTTTGTGACTTATTTGTATTTACATAGCAAATTCTCTGGCATTTGTCCCCCCCTGCGGGAACCACTGAACCCAGCCAAGATTTCCAAAACAGTGTTCTATTGTGGAAACAGAGAGCAGGGGTACTCGGGCTCCGGGCCAGCCTCAGAGGGGCTGAGCTCACAAGCTGGAGGCTTTTGCTTCTGCTGCCCTCTCTCTCCACCCCACCTCCAGTCCCCTAGAAGTCTTGAGGAGGGGCAACTGAGCCCTTCCTGAAACTCAGCACCTTGGACCCCAATGCCAGCCCTGCTCCCCGCTGTGCCCACTTGTCAGGAGGGCCGGACAGAGTGGCTGTAAGCATCATGCGCCATCTGAGTTCCAGGTGACAGGTGTCTGGGTTCAGGAAGCAGGTGTCGATCAGCCTTGAGGTCTGCTCATCCCAGACCGTGTCGGGATCAATGAGCCTTACTCTGGGTGTTGCTGGCAGCACTGCGGCCGCCTCTGTGCGTGCCGGGGTGATGGGTCTGCCAGGTCGGCCACAGCCACACTGACGGCCCTGTCTCCTGTCAGGTCTTGGCCAGCGAGGTTGGGGAAGAAGTGAATGTGCAGCAGCTCCTGTCCTCGCCAGGCACCTGGAGGGGTCGGGCCCAACAGATTCTCGTGTTGCAGAGCAAGGTGAGTGAGTCACCAGACACTGGACCCTGGACAAAGGGTGCGGTGAGCCCCCAGAAAGACCTGCCCTGACTCACCTGGGAGATGGAAGCCCCCAGAACCCTCTGCAGGCCTCTGAGTCCTACAGGACCCTCTCCTGTCCTAGGGCTGTTGTTTCCCATTCTACCCCCGCCAGCCTGGTTTTCATTTGCTGTGTAACAAACAAGCACTTACATAACACTTACCACATGCCAGGCACTGGCCCTCAACCAGTGCCAACGCCTTTGGTTGGAATTATTTCACTCTAGGCAGATTCCTCCCCTCTCCCGCCCAGCCCCATGCCCCCCACACACTTAGCTCATGTAAATTTGCGTGACTGCTGTCATCGGAGGCTTTTCCCCAGTTCTTTCCAGATGCTTGCAGCCTTTTGAAAGTTTTTGTGATCCAATGAAAATATAGCCTTGCCTCCCCCTTTATTTTCTAAATATTTGGGAGGAGACCAAAAGAGGCCAAGAGCAGGGACTCCAGTGAGCCAGACTTGGGGGCAATCTGGAAGCCAAGCACTCTTCCATTCCCCTGCTGGGGGGGGCATCTCCAGCCAGCTGCTTCCCTCCCCCATCCCACCCCATGTGCCTCCTCTGTGTGAGATGGGAACAGCAATTGAACCTGACCCCACAGGATGGCCGGGAGGACCCTGGGGTGCCTGGCGTGGACGCAGCCCGGGACGAGGGTCAGCTGTGAGTTTTCCCATTTCCACATGCCAAGTAACGCAGGGGCAGCTGTGTGGGCAGCACTCTGATGAGCGCATGGCCTGCTGCTTGCGTGCCTGCCCGCCCTGGGCCTCTGGGGTTACATTCCTGGTTACTTCTACCTTCAGAGTCTCCTGTGGGATCCTTGGAGGCAGCCCCAAACAAAAACTGATTGATGATCAGGATGTAGCCTTCCTTGGGGTACACCGCTCGAGCTGAGCCTCAGCCTCTGGCCTACCAGCTCTGCCACCAGGCAAATCATTTTTGTCTGTCTGCCCCTCCCCTGTCACCCCATATCCTCTCCTGTGACACGGAGATAGTAAGACCCCCTCCATTGGGTTGTCTTGGGGTGCGGTGAAGTGACACTTGGAAACCTCCCAGCACAGCGTATGGCCGTTAGAAGCCCTCCACACATTGGTTATTCTTGTTGGGTAGCGGTTCACTAAAGGAGCCTTGCATTGGTTAGCACGTAGGTGGCATTGCCACACAGTGCCACATGAGGGCGCTGACACGTGGCCCGTGAGCCTGCTCAGATTTGCCCGGTCTTCCTACATTTCCTGGTACCCTTGAGGAAAACCAGCTCCTAGGAGTCAGCTCACTGTCACCAAGGCAAAGTCCTCTCAGCCATTGGCCAGGAGACTGTGTGTGCTTGTGCGTGAGGCTCCACGTTGAGGGCCTCACCCGGAACACCTTGGAGTTGCTCAAGTTGCCTATTCTTAAAAAAAAAAAAATCACCTTATGGCATTCATTTAAAATGCAGGTCCCCAGGCCCTTTGCCCTGGAGCGCTATGATTGATTGTCCCAGAGTGGGCACCAGAACTTGTCATTTCTTGGCTCAGAGGCGGGAAGATGGAGGAGGGTTTCCCAAGCTCCAGCACATTTGGGATACTGACTCTTCCCAACATCATGAGGAGGGTAGCAGTCCTGTTATACAGGCAAGGGAACTACAGAACAGAGATGTGAACCACACAGGCACACAGGCGGTGGGGCTGCGAGCCAGTTGCCCTGCCCACCCTCTGCAGGAGCTCCGGTGAAGGGCGCTATGGCTCCTAAGGAGTCCCCGCCTCTCCTCGGGACTTAGATGATGCAGCCTAGTCCCCCGCTGGGCTCCCATGGCCTCACATGGCCCCTCAGAGCTGGGGTGGTCTCTTCTAAGCGTTGTCCCCCATTTCATTCAAGAAGCCAACTCCAGTGGTCCCAGCTCAGTGCCCATCTGGCACGGTGGTGTGGAACTCAGTCAAGTGGGTCTCCCGCGGTGTGGAGTGGGCACCTCAACGTGTCCACGACCCTGGGGCCATTGTGAACACTGTGGCTCCACCACCTCCAGGTCCGAGAGCTGGAGAAGCAGTTGGGCCAGACACGGAGCCAGTCTGCGGAGACCACAAGTGAGGAGCCACCTGCCCACCCAGACCCGAGGAAGCTGTCAGCACAGGAGAAGAACCTGCTGAGGATCCGCAACCTGGAGAGGGAGAAACAGGAGAGCTGGGAGGTAACACACCGGGGAGGGGCTCCAGGGCCCGTGGGCAGGGAGTGCACCTGCCAGCCTCAGAGGATGTCTGAGGCTCCTGGGGAAGAGGCAGGGGCACCTCTGTGCAGGCCACTCACACCACGTGTTTCCAGCTTGGGCTGCCCGCCTGGGGCCTGCCCTGAGCCCACTGCGTGAACTGTGGGTGGATCCTGCTGTCTGTTGCAGACAGCCCGGATCTGAAGCTCCTGGAACAAGGAGGCAAGGGCAGGGTGACGGCCACAGAGGGGTGTCAGGGCTAGAAGGGGCTTAGAGGAGAAAGCTCCAGGGTGGTAAAAAGGGTGAGTGGGCTACGTTCAGCCAGAGCTACCCTTCCCCAGCTGAACTGAGAGCATGGCCAAGTCTGTCAGTCCCAAGCTCAAGGCACAGGCAGCCAAACTTCAAACATGGGTGGATCCAGTCATTTGGAAGTCTTGATCTCAGCACCGCTGTCTCCTGATTGGCTCCCCCTTTCTCCACTGGAGATCTCCCTTTTAGTCCTAACTTCCATCCTCCAATCCAGCACCACCCCCTACCTCCAACAAAGAGCTTCCTGTTTCCCCATGGAAACCACCAAGTCCCAGAACGGAGTGTCACTGGCCTCGCATGCTCATCCTAAGCCAGTCACTGTGGCCAGGTGCTTTACTGGCTAAGCTTCAGATGTCCCCCTCCCCCAATGTCTAGGGGATAAGTCAGCCTCCCCCCCACCCCAGTTTGAATTGAGCATACAAAGGAGGGGCTCCCTCAAAGAAAGGAGGTACCCATGGGCCCACTTCGGGGCCCTGGCATTAGGCTTCCCAAGAGCGAGGCCATGACTGCTCACCAGTGGGCGTCTGTTGTGAACATCGCCCTGGAAGAGCTCTGGATATGCTAGACCAGCAGGTGTAAGGAGATGAACGGAGAGGTGAACAAGTCAGGTCCTGCAGGACCAAGGCTGATTTTGTCACCCACTTCCTGTCAGCCCGCACACAGTGTCTCCTCTGCCAGGATAACAGCTCTAAGGCGGCAACAGGACTCTGTTTTGTTCTGAGCTGCACCCCAACCAGGACCAAGCACTGGAAACATGAGAGCAGGGCAGTAAATGAGCGAGACTCCAAAGGCATCCCTGTTTGTGGCTGGCCAGGCGTTGTGCTGAATGGTGGCTGTCAAAGTGGCAGGTGGAGGCTCCCTGATCCTTCCAGCTTCCCGTGGTGTGAGAGGATTTGGTTTGAAACCACCTCTCCAGCTCCCCGCCTGACCCCCCCACCGCCACCACCAGCATATAGAGCTTGTCATTAAAGACAGCTTTCTGCCTGTTCCCTAGACGGGGTAAGGGGTGGGGCCAGCATGCCTTTTGGAGGACACAGCCATGCTGAGGGGCCAAGGGAAGGGTGGGTGTGCTGTCACATGCTGGGCCCTAGCCTGGGGCTGCAAACCTCTGGCGTCCCAGACAGCCCTGGGCACCAGCTTGACCGACTTGGTCTGGGCCCTTCAACAAGCAACCCCCAGCATCAACATTCACCCCCTGGGCCTCTCCCATAAGTGGGAGCGAGGCCAGATATCGCCAAGGTCCCTTTGCTGCCACACCCTAACTTTCTGACCCCATAGAAACTTGCCAGTGAACGGAACACACTCCAGGCAGAGCTGGAAGAGCTGAGAAGGAAGTTCGAGGGCGTGCGATCTCGGAACAAGGTGCTGTCGAGCGAGGTGAAGACCCTGCGCACCCAGCTGGGGACGCTAGTGGAGAAGGGCAAGCATGATGACGAGCTCATCGATGCCCTCTTGGTACGAGCCCGACCAGGGGCAGGGTGGGATCTGGGGCAACCCTGGACCCATGCATCCCAAAACCTATACCCAGCTCAGCCAGAGTGCACCCGGGGCACAGGACAGCTCACAGGTAGGGCTGTGATGGTGGCAGGGCTAGATGCAAACCCCAGAGCTGTGAGCCCCAAAGGAGAAGCACATACACAAAGGGAAGATGTGTTGCTTATTGGTGAGGAAGAGAAGGTATAACCAGGGGCCAGGTCAAGTCCTTGTCTGTCACTGATGCTGAGCCTACATCCCCTCCCTGTTCTGGGCTCTTTATCGTGGGGAGGTCCCAAGACTACTCTCTTAGCAAGCCCATTTCACAGATGGAGGCACTAAGACTCTTAACTGGTTCTAGAATTCATCCAGACCCACACAGCTATGTGCCAAAGCAGGCTTAGCTGGCTGTCAGCCCTTTGCTGATCAGCAAGCACCCCTGGCATTTGGTGTCTGGATTCTAAGCTGTGCCTCTGACACCAGGGGTGGTTCCTGGACCAACTGGGCCAGGCCTGGATACCCACCTTATCTGTAATGATTTCAGAAAGCAGGATGAGCAGGAGAGTGCAAGAGGCCTGCCACCTCAATGTGTGACCCCAGGCCAGCTGCACCTCCTCATTGAGGCCCAGGGCTGGGTGTCTTCTGGAGTCACTGTGGACCATTCTTCTCAGGACCCCCCCCCCCCAGCCCTTCTGCTGGGGCAGGGAGAATGAAGTGGAGCAGCGGAGAGGGGCATGGTCTTCGCCTGTCAGGTGTGGATCCCACTGAGAGCAGGCAGGGAACAGTCAGGTCCCACTGTTAGGCACCTGTGGGCTCAGGGTCAGTGGGTGGGTTGCTTCCAATGAAGGCGGTGTTGCTGCCGAGCGGCCACAGCAGACCCCCACCCACAAGTTCACCTACCTGCCTCCTCGGCCTTCCAGAACCAGCTGAAGCAGCTGCAGGAGATTCTGGGCAGCCTGAGCCTGCAGGAGGAGAAGACACGGGTGTCGCAGCAGCATCGGGACCAGAAGCTGCACAGCGAGGCACAGAGGAGCAGCAGCCTGGTGGCCCAGCTGCGGGCCATGGTGGCAGAGCGGGAGGCCAAGGTCCGCCAGCTGGAGCTGGAGATCGGGCAACTGAGCATGCAGGTGAGAGGCCACCTGCTGCGAGCCCTCAGCCCCTCCCAGGCCTTCCACCTGTCTCAACTCAGGCTGCCACCACATCCTTTCTGGCTGCTCCTCACTGCCCAGAACACAAGCCTCATCGTATCCATGGCTTCCTGTCCCCCTCATTCAACTCACCCAGTCCTCAAGGATCCAAGCTTCTTCCTGCTCCACCTCCTCCCATCCCCACTGTGGTCTCACCCTCATGGTCCAAGAGGGCGTCTAGAGTTCCAGCCATTGCATTCACATTCCAAGCAGTAGGTCAGCAGCTGCAAAGCCACATGTTTTCATCCAGGACATCACATGACACCCCTTCACTCGAGCCACACATGCATCCTTTAGCTCCTCACTGGGCCCTGGCTGCTCCTCACCGCAGGCCTGGGCACGTGCCTGAAGCCCAATCCCACCCTTCCCAGCCTCCACCTCCACCCTGTCCCCGTCTGCTGCCCCTCAGCCCATGGGTCTCACCGAACCATGAACTCCTCCTCCAGGGCCCCCCTTCTGTGCTCCGTGCCCTTCCTGGATCCTCTCATAGCTGTCCATGCACCCCGTGTCCAACTTGGCACACACCAACAGGGGTGTTTCCTGTTTTTTGCTCCTGACACCCCTTGAGAGAGCACAGCCCTGGCCCTGGGGCCGAGCATACAGTAAGTGCTCAGTAAATGCTTTTCTAGCGAGGGGGGTGCCTGTGGGTTCTAGTCCCGGCAGGCACACAGTGTTGGTCTTACACAGGCTCCGGCCCGCAGCGAGGCTGACTGTGCAGCTAAGGGCAGCGTCCAGAGCAGCCCCATCCTTTGCTTGCTGGGAAGGGTGTAGGTGCCCACACCTGCTTTGTGCAGCTGGAGACTGTTGAAGCCCCTACTCCCATCCTCACCCCTGTGGGTGAGCCTAGGCGCATGACAAAGCCCCCTCCTCCCAAAAGCAGACTCTGGGTGGCAGTAGGGGGCACTGCCTCACTGCCTCACAGTACTCACCCTGCATGCTATCCCAGAACCACTGGGGAAGGGCACAGAAATTTCTAGCACTTTCCCCTTACAGCTACACATGCTTTAGGCATACGGGGGAGAACCCACCTTCCCTCTGGGGCTGCCAGCCAGTGGGGGCCAACTCTGACCTCCTGCTGCCCGCCCCCCTGTGCCCCTTCTTTAGCATGGTGTCAAGGAGCAGAAGAGGCTGCAGGTGGTGTGGAGGCCTGGGAGCCCGGGCTGCCAGCCCTCACAGAGGCCCCGGTGCCCTCTCTGGTTCCAGGTGCCAGTGTCAGGGAGTTTTCTGCTGTTTCAACTGACGAAGGCAGATGACCCCAAGTCACTCCTGGCCCTCAGGCACTTGTGTGTGTGTGGGGGGGGGGTTGAAGAGGGGAGATTGCCAGAACATCAGACCCTCCTGGGGACCTGGCCTGCGCCCCTAAACTCCCTGTGGGATCCAAATGTAGAACAGCTTCCTGGCCCGTGGCCTGCTGTCCTCACACCCGCAGCTCCCTCTCTGAAGGGAGGCATTCTTGGATGTCATTGTCATGCAAGGAGTGCCTTCCCAGGGCACAGGCCTCACTTGTCGCTCCTGAAAAGAAACCTCTTTCAGAGCCCCTGAAAACCGGAGATCAAGCGGGGGAGGGGGGGCAGTAGGGGGTCCTTCCTCTCTTTCCCGGACCCCTGAGTCAAAGCCCTGAACGCGAACCCGCGTCCGTTCCCTGCAGTATCTTCGGAATAAAGAAGGGGACAAGGAGTGCTGCGGGCCCAAGGCCAGCCCCGCCCACAGCAAGCTCCTGGAGGAGCCCGGCCTGACCAAGCCCCCGGCCTCAGCAGGCGATCACGTTGGCAGACTTGGATCTTCACGGTAAGAAAAAAGAACGAATGGGCTGGAGAGGTTGGACAGGGAGTGTGAGTTCCTCAGGAGGAAAGTGGTCTCCTGCCCCCTGTGATGGGCAGGCCCCCTGTGCAGTGGTAAGAGAACTGTGTCCTTGTTCTTGCGATGCGTGGGCCTCTCCCATTGATGTTCCCGCTGCATCCACAGGAGTGAGTCAATCCATTTTGATTACTTCAAGAGCACACTGGCTGCGAGTTTCCTGCCTCAGCCCCTCTGAGCTGGCTTCAAACTGCACCTGCTCCCTGGGCCCTCAGTCAGGCCCATGTTGGATGGCTCAAAGCTCTGACATCTGGTTTGATCTCATTTTGCATAGAGAAGAATGGGGCAGCAGATCCACAGGATGCCCGGCTAGGGCTGCTGCAAGTGCCAGCAGATGCCCCTCCCTGCCCCGGCTCTGTCCTCTTCCTTAGCTCCTGGGATCCCTACTCCTCCCCCAGTCTGCCTAGCAGGGAGTGGGGCTCTCAATGCCTTACCACGATCATGGACCCATTCTGCTTTTGCACAGCTCTGTGACCAGCCTAGGCCATACGCTGGTGGAATCTTCTCTCACAAGGCCGTCCTTGCCCAGCCCCCACGGGACGTCACCCAGGTATGAACCCAGGACCCTTAAGCTTTCCCATCCTGGGGGGCTCAGCTGGTATTCCCAACCCTTTAGAAGGAGGTGAAACTGTGGCCAAGCAAGGCCCAGGGCTACAGAAGGGCAGAGTCTCAGGGCTGTCCAGGATCTGTTCAAGGTGGTCGAGTAGGCAGCTGCGGAGTAGTCTTTGCCTCTGGCTCTCTGTCCAGTGTCCCTTCCTGCTGCCAGGGAGTTAACATGAGAAGTCTTTCCAGAACCTTCTTTCACCTTCTCTTTGCTCACTGGGAATCAGGCTGCAAGGGGAGAATTTCAGGTCAGATGGGTTCCTCCTTGAAGTCACAGATATCCCCTCGGTGCTGCTCCCTCATTATTGATAGATTCCAGCCTTGGGGCTTAATGGGACCTTTGTTCTTGCTGCCAGCTTCTAGACAAAGGGTGGCTTTGTCTGGTTGCTGAAGCCCATCCCAAGCCCTGCCCTGTCCACTGGAGCTGTGCTCCTGCCATGGACAGCCCCACCTGACCCCAGAGACAGGTCAGCCCAGGTTCCCAGGAGGCCCCCCAGTGGCCTCCATCCCACTGAAGACTCATTGCCTGGCTCTAGGCAAGCTGGCTCCCAGCTAGCACCCAGGGTCCTTGCTAGCCTGACATTTGGCAGTACAGAGGCCCTGGGCCGAGGCCAGCCCTGCAGCTGCCCTGCCTGTTGGGCTGGGGTCAGAAGAGCACGTGGGGGCAGAGTGGCTGACACTGAGCCACAGGGCACGGGTCATACTCCTGGGGGTGTGGAGACCTTGTCACAGCACCTTGTCTCTGCGAGGTTCTCTTCCCAGGAGTGGGAGCAGGAAGACAGGCACGATGTCCCCTCTATGTCCCTTCTAGGCTAGTGGGGCCTGTCACCTCCATACCCAGCCCTGCCGCTTGCTTCTTCCACAACACCTAAGTTGTTGCTGAACCCAGCCATGTTGGGGGGCCCGTGCCTAGTAGAGCTTGTGTCCCCCTCCCATTGGTGACAGGGCAGGAGTTCAAGGGACAGGAATGATCCCAGAGCATACAAGGAGGCTTCGGAAAGTGAAGTTCAAAGACTATTTGGCTTTGGTGCCTACATACATATACAGATATTTCTGAAGTCCATGCGTAGGTTTTTTCATGATACAAATTTTCCGTGAACTTCTTTGAAGATCTCTCATGTTTTCCATCAGGACTAGCACAGACTGAACCCACTCCCTTCAGGTGACACCCCCCCCCCCCCATGGGATAGTGCCTGGGAATAGGATAGGAGTTAGCTTCCTTCCTGCTGCCTGGCCCCACCTTTGAGAATGGGGCTCTTCAAATTGCACATGCATACGAATGGCCTGGGGCCCTGGCAGACTGAATGCAGACTCTGATTCAGCAGGTCTGTGACAGACTGCATTTCCTCCAAGCTTCCAGCTGATGCACAGTCACTGACCTGGAGGCCACACTTTATGCAGCAAGGCCTCTGAGTACAGTAGGAGCCAGGGCAAGCCCAAGTCTACAGTCCTCAGAGCCTACCTCCCCCAGTCCCCTCGGCGTTCCGTTCTGAGGAAGACTTGAGCCCAGAAGAGGTCCATCCAAGACCACAGGGCAAGGCTGCTTTTGGCCAGGGGTGCCCCAGCCCAGTCCTTAGGATGTTAACGCCCGCACCAACAGCCCTCCCTAGCCCAAGGCCACCCGGGATCTCCTTGGTGAAGGTAAGGGCACAACAGGGAACCCCTTAGGATTCACCTTGGGGGGCCAAGGAGCCCACCTTCCCATTTGACCCCAGTTAGCTGACCCAATAGCAAAGAAGGATAGAGTGGTGGTAGACTAGGTCAGGGCTGGGAAAAACCAATCAAGCGTCCATGGCCCATGGAAGTAGGTTGGACTTGGGACCAAGGCTGGAGACTGTGAGAGCTAAGGCTGCCACTGGGCAGGGAAACCAGGCCCAAGAAGAAATCTAGGTTCTCTGGATACCCCAGGTCCTCAAAAGCCTGCTTCCATAGCAGCCACTCTAATCCCAAGCACCCCAAGGAATTGGATGGACATAGTTCCCCAGTGCAACTGAGCCCTGGCAGGGTCTGGCTGTGGAGGCAGTGGAGCAAGGCCAAGGGACTTCAGCTGACCCTGGAATTGGGTAGATTCAGAGGACGAGTGCTGTGGGTCCTGGATTTCTGCCTGGCCTTCTTTCCTTTCAGGCCTCTCCCACAGGCACAGGGCGAATAAACGTGTGTATCTTCAGGCTTCAGATAACCCCTGCCCTCTACCCTCCTCCGTGGTCTCAGGTTCTCGGACTCTCCAGAACAAAAAGGCTGGCAGGCACAAGTGGCCGAGATCAAAGCCCTGTGGCAGGCCGCCGAGGTGGAGCGTGACCGGCTCACCGAGTTTGTTGACGTCCTGCAGAAACGGTAATGCATAGTGTCTGGGGAGGTTCTTTCCACCTGTACCTTGATGGCTCTGGGAGGCTAAGGACTGGGGCCAACTTAGCTCCCACAGCATCAGTCTAGGGCATCCCCAGTCACGACTTGGGGACCCACGCCAAGTGCCCCAAGATCTTGGGGCTGGATTGCCAGATGTGGTTTGTACTAAGGAGCCCCCTTCATCCTATGTGTATCCTTAAAGGGACTGTCACATGGTGTGTGGTCTTCAGAGAGAAGTCTTTCAGGAGAAAGAGAAGCAAAGACCTTTAAAGCCACCTGGCAGCCATGGGAACCTACGAGAGAACGTGGCTCAGTGGGAGAAAGTACAAGCTATCTTGATGTCTTGGAATTCCCAAGAGCAGGAAAAGCTTCTGGCTGACCAGGAGCAGAGCCCTGTCTGGGAGGCAGGAAGGGCCGCACACCAAGAGGTACAGTGTCTCCCAAGGGCTGTTGACTCAGACGTGTCAGTGCTGCCTCACTCCTGGCAGGAACTGTAGATGCCCAGGCCAGCACATGGCCCAGTCTCGTGGCCTCCTCCCCAAGAGGTATCATGGACAGCGTTAAGTTTTGGCCTCATCAGGGTTTTGTCAGTCAGGGTTCTTGGACAACAAACAATAGAAACTGGTTCTGGCTGGATGATGGAGAAGGCAGATTTTGCAAGGAACTGGCAGACTGTAGGACAGCAGAGCAGGAGAGGAGCCCAGGATAATGCAGGCATGTTGGTTGCAGGAAGCCCAGTACAGTGTCTCCTGGAACAGAATAGGCCTGGTGACTTTCCGATTCTTGTGCAGAGGGTTCTGGGAGAGAAGGCTCGACCAGCCTGTCCTGCCCTCCTTATCCCCTGACACAAGAGGCTATTTGGATTGCAGGTACCTCCCCGAGCCAACAGGAAGCATTACCAAAGAAGGAGTTACAGATGCTGGAAAGATAAAAACATGATGAGGTGGTCAGCTTCCATTTGTTTGTTTTCATGCAGTGCATACAAAAGGTCATGAATTTCAGATAAACGGGCATCTGAAAAAAGAAACATTTTGTTTTGCCTGTTGCTGAGGCTTAATGGATAGTGCAAGCCTCTAGTCTACCTCTAGTGGCCGAATTGCACCCGCTGCGGGCTGTGGCACGTTGCTGCCCTGTCGTTTGAATGACACCCGAGAGTGTGTTGGGGGTGGGGGATGTTTGTACACACGTTGCTTAGCAGATCATCCCCGATTTGGCGCCTCAGGCCCCGTGGGTTGCTCCTCCTGCGTGATGCAGGGCAGTGCCTGGGTCCTTCCATCCCACATGAGTCCAGCTGGCAACTCAGCAGGTGCCTTTCCCTGTAGGTGACTTCAGGCCTTCCAGGGTGCCTTTGTCAGAGGATACCCCTGTTGTTTGTGGATCCCTGGGCTCATTCTTTGAGACAGTTTAAGCCCATCAGCCAAGGTACACTCCTGTATTTTTGTCTAGCTGGGGACCCGAGCCCATTCTGTACTCACATCCTACCCCTCCATCTCCACCACCTGTTGGGAGTCTGCCCCAGAGCAGAGGGCCTGCCTCTGTCAGGTCCTCAGTTTGACGCACTCCTTTCTCCTCTGTATGCTCAAGCTGCCCCAGTCTTGCACAGGAGGGAAGCATTCTCCCACCCTCCATCTCTCCCCTACTCTGTTCTGCAAATGCAAGCAGCCTCGATGCTGCCCTTGCCTGCCCAGTTCCCCAGTCTCATCCTCTTCCAGGCAGGCCACCTGCTTGGCGTGGCCTGCTCCTTGCCCCCGGCACCCTGCCCCCAGGCTGCAGTCCGAAAGGGCCTTCTCAGGTGGAGAACCGAGACAATGGTAGAATTCGTGCCATCTCTTCAAGTCTTGTGCCCAGCATCTGTCTTCTGAAAACGAGCGACTTCTTACATATTTCCCCTGTCTCTAATTGTTTAAAATAAAAAGAGCTTCTGTGATCAGTCTTGCAAATCAAAAGTCACTCACTATGTCACGTACTTAAGAAGCACGTGGTTGTTATTGCTTCTTAGTCTGGGAATTTCTGTATTGGAATGGTGGGTTAAGCACAGGTTCCCATTTTAAAATACTTGATCACCTTACCTCATGCCTTCCTCTTGCGGTGATCTGTCTTTGCTCTGTTTTCTCCTTCCTTTTCCCTTGTATCGGGCCGAGCAGGTTTTATCTCCTTTTCTCTCTCTGAGTGCATAAGTCACACATTCTAACCCTGCTCTTTCAGCAGTTACCCTTGACTTTTAACATAAAACTTAATATGTCTAAAGCCAATGGATTTCTTTACTATCGCTTCAAGCAATAGAATAAAAAGATCAGCTTTTCTTTTAGATTTATTTTATTTTTATTGTAAAGGCAAGATAAACAGAAAGGCGAAACAGAGACAATGATCTTCCATCCCCTGGTTCATGGCATGCATTTTTCCTCTTGGGGTGTCAAGTCAGTGGCCCCAAAGCCTCTTATTTGCAGGGTTTCAGATTTTGGACTATCAGATTAGGATTGAGCAATCTAATATTTCCTGGAAATGCTTATCCCTTTGCATCTGGCTTATTTCACTCAACCAGAGTATCTTTAAGGTTAACCCATCTTACATCTTAGAACTTCATTTCCTTTTTTTTTTTAATGGCCAAACAGCATTCCATTGTGTATAATTAATACATTTAGTCTGTCCCTTCTTCTGTTGGGGAACACTCGGCGGGTCTCAGCCCTTGGCTGTGGTAAAATTGCAATGAATGGATTTTGTACAAGAATTTCACACCGTTTTCAGTTCCTTTGAGTGTGCACCTGAGAGTGGAATTGTTGCGTCATATGATAATTCTATTACTATCTTTTAAAATAACTTTGTGGTATCTTCTTAAATTTTCTTTTTTATTTAAAATGCTTATTGCTTAAGATGCTATGTTTGTGATAATAGCAATGTTCAGTTCCTTGGAGGTCATATACAATTTTCCTAAGAATCTATCGTGGCCAAATGTCTTTTTTGGAAGTAGATTTCCTTCTTCTTCTTGTTTTTGTTTTTAAAGACTTATTTATTTTTATTTTTTCAAAGGGTTTTTTTTTTTATTGAAAAGTCAGATATACAAAGAGGAGGGGAGACAGAGAGGAAGATTTTCTGTCCATTGATTCACTCCCCAAGCTGCCGCCACTACCAGAACTGTGCTAATCCGAAGCCAGGATCCAGGAACTTCCTCGGGGTCTCCCACGTGGGTACAGGGTCCCAAGGCTTTGGGTCATCGTTGGCTGCCTTCCCAGGCCACAAGCAGGGAGCTGGATGGGAAGTGGGGCTGCCGGGATTAGAACCAGCGCCCATGAGATCCCAGCATGTTCAAGGTAAGGACTTCACCGCTGAACTATCGTGCCAGCACTTCCCCCAACAATTTTTTTTTTTTAACATGTTTACTGGTCTATTCTAAAGGCAAGTACAGCAGATATCCAAGAGAGATGTCTGAGAGCCTTTTTAAGTATTTCAGGTTTCCATCTCTTCTGGACATATTACAGCCCATGTCCTCGGTTGCCCAGAGTAGAAAAGGGGAATGTGAGCACGCAGTCCCCTAACACAGAGAGGAGCGCTTGCACAGTGCTAGCAGCTGTGAGCCGTTCACCCGGGGCTCCAGACATCTCCCAGCTGGGCCCGAGGGGCGGTCCCTGATGCTCACCCCGAGAACTCAGGTCTTGTCTGAGCTCCTCCTGCCCCTGCTTTCTCATAGTGCCTCTGCTCTACATCCGCCCCCCTTCTGGAAGCGGTGCTGTTTGGATATCCTCTCCCCTCCCCAGCTCCTACCAGTCAGTTTCCTGTCGGCGGCCTGTTTCTTTGGGTTATTTTTATTCTGTGTGCTGGGATAACCCCCACTGTTCATCTTCAAGATCATTCATCTGACTTTTGCCGGAGACTGTGTGATTTTCAGTGTATCTGATCAGTTTAGAATGCTTGCTCTGTGGTTTAAAAAAAAATTTTTTTAAAGAATGTTTTTTTTTTTTAAGAACCCTTTCCCCTTTTGCTTTCTGACAATATCATTCAAATCTCATCGAGAACTCACAGAAGCTCATTTAAGAGTTTTCTATCTTGGAGCCGGCGTTTGTGGCACAGCGTGTTAGGCCGCGGCTCTGACATCCCACCTGGGAGATCTGGGTGGAAATCTGGACTCCCGGCATTGGCCCGGCCCAGCCCTGGGGGCCACTGAAGCCCCCCTTTGCTTGCGTTATCAGATCTCGCTTCCCACCACCACCCCTGCCCTGTTATCTCAGTGTAGGGTTCTGCACTTCTGTTTTTGTATTTACAGACACACATGAGTAAGTAAGCACGGAAACCGCATCGTGGTGGGGAGCTTGTAAATGATCTGCGTCCCATGTGTCCCGTGGTCTTCGCTCTTTCCACCAATCCCACGACTTCAGAATGACCGGTGCTTGCACACACTGCCGCACCTCATCCTGTAATTCGTTCTTCTTCATTGGTAGCACAGTACTGCCCAGGAGAACCTTCTGTGACAGTGGCGGTACCCCACATTGCTGTTGACCAAGTGTCATCACCATTGGCTCTGTGTGGCTTTGGAGAACTTGAAATGTCCCTAATGTGGCTGAGGAACTGATTTTCCAATTTTTTTTTTAATTTTTTAAAAATTTATTTTTATGTGGAGGGAAGAAAGAGGGAGAAAGAATTGATCTTGTGTCCGCTAGTTCACTCCCCAAATGCCTGTAACAGCCAGAACAGGGACAGGCCAAAACTAGGAGTCCAGGGTCCATTGCAGTAGCCTAGAAGCTAAAGTCCTCTCCTTGCATGCACTGAGACCCCATATGGGCGCTGGTTCGCCTCACTTCCCATCCAGCTCCCTGCTTGTGGCCTGGGAAAGCAGTCGAGGACGGCCCAAAGCCTTGGGACCCTGCACCCACGTGGGAGACCCAGAAGAGGTTCTGGGCTCCTGGCTTCAGATTGGTGCAGTTCTGGCCACTGCAGCCGCTTGGGGAGTGAATCAATGGATGGAAGATTTTCCTGTCTCTGCTCTCTGCATATATGACTTTGCAATAAAAATAAAATAAATCTTAAAAAAAAAAGCAAGGAATCCACTCCTCAATCTGAGTCTCCCACTAAGTGGGGACCCAAGTCCTAGTGGGCATTTGCAGAGAGCAGGAATGGCTAAAAGAGCCCGCCCTGGAACAGAGGCATCCCCAGTATGAGATATGGGACCCCCAGTGGTATCATCACCAGTGCATTAAACAACTCACCCATGGGGGCACGAGGCTGGCAGCCACCGTGTTGGATGACACAGCTCAATCATAAAACGTGTTGTGTCCCCAAGGACTCGTCTTATCCCTGCGGACAGGCGTTCAGGTTGGTTTTGGTTTTCTTTTGTAAATGACATTTCAAGGGGCACGCTTAAACATGCAGTGTTAGTAGCTGAATACCATGTTGGTACCCGATTCTGCATCAATTGTTGAATGCAATCCAAAATCTTTGCCATTCTGCTCCTTCTTGCCCCTCACCAAGAGGGAAAACCCACTTCCTTCCGCACTATGAACTGCAGGCCTGCCCCGGGACGGGCAGGTGTGTATGGAGTCCTGTGTTTTGGGAGAAGTTCTTGGGGAATCTGGTCATCTGCTGAAACTGTAGGACATCCACAAGTCAAACTCACAGTGTCAGTTGACTCAGGGCTCTTCGTGGGGGGTTGGCGGCCACAGGAATGACACGAGTATTAATCCCAGTGAGACGAAATACACCTAAATGTGAAATAACCAAATCGCGAGGTCTCCCAGGCCTATAACTTTGTGACAGGCATATAGGAAAGAAAACGCTAAACACGGAATAATCACCAACTCCAGGAGAAGCTATTGTGAGTTGACCAAATCTATCCCAAAAAACGAGTCGGAGGCAGACTGTTAGAAGCTCAAGGGTCTTTTTTTCACCAGCACCAAGCAGTGGACTGTCCCATTCGACCCCATGTGGAAGAGGGGAGCAGCCCAGATCAGCCATGTTCAGGGGTTCTTAAGCAGTGATTATCCAGTGAGCACTGGCATTCAGTCAACTGAGGTGGTATGGGACAGATACCCAGTTCAAGCATCGTGCACTTTAAACCATCCACCCAGTGAAAGTCACATCCCAGCTAGTAGCAAACAAGAGAACCAGGCAAACGGGGCCTCCCAATTCCATTTACAGAAAACAATTTGAGACAGTCAGCTTATGGCCCGAGCTGTAAAAGAAAAGCAAGATCTCATCCTAGAATGAGATATCATCTTGTGGCAAGCACTGTCACTCCCTTTTCTAGACTTTCCAAGAACCTAGGATTATGGTGAAGGTCAGGTCATGGACATGTCCCAGAAGTGTTCAGAAGACCTAGCCTTACTGTCACCAGGTACTGTTGTCTGGGCACTATCACAGGTGCACTCCACGTCCCCAGCTGTGACTGGCTGTTCTAACACCCCCCACCCCCCCAGCAGAGACGGGCTCTTGGAGCAGCATCCTTTGCTCCCTGCTGTTGTAGCTGTGGGTGCTTTAAGACACCCAGCAAAAGGGATTTTGCAGACATAGTTCTTGATATGGACCCTAAAATAGAAGGATTATCCTGGATTATCGGGTGGGCCCTATCTAATCACTCAATGGCTTGAAAGCAGAGAAATTTCTCCATGTGGGATTTTTTCAGAGAGACGCTATGTAAGAGGTTAGAGAGACTCAAAGAGTGATCAAAGTCTTCGGCCGGCTCTGAAGAGAAGGCAGACAGCCCCTGGAAGCTGACCCACTGCACCCCCAGGAACCAGGACCCTTCCACTAACATAGGCTGGATTCTGCAGTCCCCGGACTAGACCTGGGCTCAGCCTGTGCCCCCTACCCTGCCCCCAACCTCCCGCGAAGAACTCCAAGTCAGCTGACACTGTGAGTTTGGCTCGTGGAAGCCACAGCCAGGGCACCCAAGCTGCTGTCAGACCCCCAGCCCTGCGGGACAGTGCGAGGACAGCTCTGCATGTCTTCTGCTGTGCTGAGCTGGCTGTCGCACTGGCTGCATCTGCCATGGCTGACTGGGACGGCCTCTAAAATCAGTCCAGCCACAGAGTAGAGGCAGTGCTGTTTGGCAAAAGGAGAGAGAGCACTTACGAAAATAAAACTAAATTCTCATGCTGCATGACAGGAAAAAGATTATATTTAAGCCTTAAAAAAAGTGCCAACCACAAACGGCATTATGCGTCCATAGAAAGATGGCAGTGAGCATTCAGTGAGACAGCAAATGCATTCCGAGTAGCTGCTTCTGGACAGCAGGGGCAGCTGCAGCTAGGTTTTCATTCGACACCTTGTGGGGGGGCACTGCTTGATCTGTGAGTGCAAGCCCCATGTCCCATCGCCCAGCCATGTAGGACGTGCCCACCTGGTCAGCCCCCTCGAGCGGGGGGATGGCAGCTCACACACTCTCGGCCCTCAGGGTGGAAGAGAGCAACAACAAGCTCCTGGAGTCCGAGAGGAAGCTGCAAGGGGAGCGGCTGCGGGCCGTGCTGCTGGAGCAACATCTGGAGAAGCTGCGTCTGGAGCCTGGGAAGACGGCCCCCAGGAGCAAGACAGGTAGGGGCCAGCCCTGCTACAAGGGGAGGAGGCTGCCCGCCCCTCACCTCACCCTCCCACTCCTCCTCTGCCAAGGAGGTCAGAGCCAAGGGGGTTCCCTGAGCATGGGGTGGAGTCTCCTGAGCTGAATGCCCTCAGCCCCCACCTCCTGGTCGCTGCCCCAGCTTCCAGCCCCCAGTAGATCTGGGATCAGTCGCTAAGATGAGAGAGGAATCCCCTTCCACCTCCTGCAGTGACCTGACTCTCCCAAACAGGGTTTGAGTCGCCATGGGCTGCCCACACCACCCCGGGCCCCCAGCTCCTGGTCCCACTCCTTAGGCTTATGGCCCCACCATCCTTTACCACACTGCCTGCACCCCGCAGTCTGAGATGGGGAGGGGACAAGGGAAGGACACAGCCGCCCCGTACCATTCCCGGAGCACATGCCCCTTCCGCTTCTGTGCCACTGGCCAGAGCCAGGCATCAGGCATCAGGCACAGGCAGCCATCAGAGGCTGCAGTCCGGGATGCTGTCCTTAGCTGACAGGCCCACGGCTGCTCCAGCACAGCGGCTCTCAGGTGCAGCCTCAGTACCTTGTGTGCCGGCCAGGGAGAGCTGCAGATGCCGGGCCAGAGGCATTCCTGGATGGCTGGCACCTAGGGAAGAAGATGGCAGTGCAGGGACACTAGGCCTCCCTCCCGCACTAGGTACCCACCCCAAGCCCTGCAAGCTCAGGATGGAGGGACTGCTTGTCCCGTGACTGTCTCAGCACCCCAGGAGCCTCAGCCAAGGGCTCTCAGGCCCTTGTTCCCAGTGCTGGCCCAGCCAAGACAGGACGGTCCAAAAGGATATGCCAGCAGTGGGACATCAGGGCCATCAGGGCCAGCTGTTCACTCCCAGGACTCCAAGGGGTGCCTTCCAGGGGCTGCTGAGGACCCAAGTGGCCACGAGTCCCTGGAATTGGCCCTGCTGGTACCCCCAGGCCACTGGGAATACCTCCTCTGGGCTCACTCACCTCCAACCCCAGAAAAGTAAGCTCTGGTGGGGAAAATCACACCCAAACGGGTGAGGACATCCGGAGCAGTGATGGATGGCCCGGACTTGGGCTCAGCATGCAGCCCAGACCTCAGGCTTGCTGGTTCTCCTAGTTGGAAACAAATTACCTGGAACTTGAAAGCTGTGAAAGTGCAGACAGCGAGGCAAGGAGCCACCTCAGAGCAGAGCAGGCTAAGGCCAGGACTGCACCTGAGGCTGAAGCCTCGCAGAGAATGCAGAGCGGGTGCCATAGAGGGCTTCTGGGGAGAGGTGGCCCTCCTCCTCCTCCTGCCTCCTTGATAAAATGTGAAGTCTCGCCCAGTGAAAGAGCAGGAAGTGGGTATGCATGGAGGGGAGGAAGGATGTCCCACAGGGCCACGGCTCTCCTCGCACCAAGTGGCTGCTACCACCCTGCAGGTCGGCCCACCTCCAGCACCAGGCACAACTCCACAGGAAGCGAGAAGAAGGACCCGTCCTTGGCCCAGCTCTCCCATGTGCCCGTGGAATCCCAGATTGAGGAGCTGAGCACCAGGTTCTCCATGCCCTTTCCTTCCTCAAAGGGATTGGGGGAGGTGGGTTGCCTCGGATGGGCAGGTGCTTAGCATCACTCCCCTGTGCACCCAGACGGCTGATTCCCCTGGGTGCTGGGATCCAGGCCTGAAATTCAGGGAGTTGCCTCCAGAGAGAGCAGAGGGGCCCGGGGCCATGATGTACCCATGGTCCAGAAAGAGATTTCATCAAGCCTGGACTGCTGACCCCACTTCTGTCACTCAGTCCACCCTTTTCAGATCAAGATCAGTAACAGGAAAGGAGGGGAGGGGTGGAACAGCCACAGATCAGGGCTCAGCCTTGGGACATCCCTGGGGCAGCTGACATCACTGGGAGCTCCCAGGTGTCAGGCATGGTGCTCTGGGTGAGCCCACAGGGGAATCCCATGTGGTCTTCCCCAAGCATCTGTGGGAAGAGGGCACAGGCCAGCAGGCACCCCACCCACCTGGATGCCAGCTGCAGCCACGCTGAGCCCTGTCTCCATGCGGTCCAGGCTGGCCATCCAGAAGGAGGAGAACGAAATGCTGAAGGCCGCACTGGGCAGCGCCCTCCAGGGAAAAGAGGAGGACTTCCGGATGTACCACGAGACCCTGGACCAGGTGAAAGGGGTTTTCCTGCAGGCCCTGCGGCAGCAGAAGACAGACAAGCACTAGGATGGTGGCCCAGCGCCAGCACGGCCAGACAGGACGAGACTTGAGCTGAGGGTCGCCACAGCCAGTGGCTCGAGCCAGGAGACACTGAGGAACCCACCAGGAGGAGGCGCAGCAGCCCAGGGCAGCAGCCAGAGCTCTGGCTGTGAATGGACAGCAGCTGCCCCTTGGTGTTCATCATCCATGTCCTATGGTTCAGCTGGGACCCTGCAGTCCTACACGACCCCATCCTTGCAGGAGAACCCTCAGTGTGCCAGGCTGGGCACAGCCTCCAGGCCACCTGGCCCCAGACTAGGCACTCACCAGTGTATCTTCCACACCTGCCCCAGCTCCGTCTGCAGGCCATCCGCTCCTTCAGAGACTTGCTGCCACATTTTCTAGCACGTTACTCGCCTGTTCTGCAGGTACACACCTTGGACTTGCAATAGGTATCATTTCTCTCCTCAATGCAGCTCCCGGTGAGTATGCATCTGCTGTGGAAGCCTGGCCCTGTCTAGTTGGCTCCCAACCCAGGGGCCCAGTACCCTGCTGCACAGACAAAGAAGCCGTGGAGATGCCCAAAAAGGACCCAAGCAGTATCTAACTCTGGCCCACCCGGCCCCAAAGCCAGGGCCCAGAGGTGAAGCAGATGACCAGGGACAGTTGGGGCTGCCCCCTGCAGCACGGCCCCATTCCTGCACAGCTGCTGCACAAGACACCTCCTGCGCCTGAGAGGCCATGGCTGGTGGGTGCCAGTGCCAGAGGGCAGAGGTGGGACTGGGCTGGAGCTTTGGGCAGGAAGGTTTGGAGGCCAAGGGTCCTGGTGCAGGTACCAAGGGTCCTGGTGCAGTGTTCATCCCTCGTGTGATAGGCTGAGAGGGCTGTGGCAGGGAGTCCCCCCAGTCCTCTCTGTGAGTGTGCAGTGTCATCCCTGTGGCTGCAGTGATGCTCCTGGGTAGCCCCAAGCAGCTGTGCATACCACCTGCACCTCCACACGGAGGTGTACACTTACAAATATGTGTGCAGCACAGACACGACCAGGCACCTTCTCCCATGGGAGGATGACTCGAGTGTGGGATGCAAGCGCTGATCGCCAGGGGTGAGAATCAGGCCTAGCCCCGGCGATCACCCTCAGGGTCACCTCTGGGAAAGGCAGGGGTGGCCTGCCCCATACCCTGACCACTTCTTATGCAGGGAGGGTGTGGTTCTCTCTGCTGCCCCTCCCTGGCTCAGGGCTGGCGCTGCTTAGGGGAAGGAGCATCGGGTCAGAGAGTCTGAACAGGTGCCAGGGGCAGAGCTCCTCCCTGACTCACCAGCGTGTGGCCCTGGGCAAATTCACTCTTTAGACTTTATATCCCTGCTCAATATGATTTGGCTGCTGATGGAGACAGGCGTCAGAGAACTAAGAGTCACTCAACTGTTTACTTCTGTACAAGGAACACGTGTTGCCAGACTGACTGCGTCTACAACGAGGATTTGAGTAAGGAGTTGGGGATGTGGACGTGGGCACAGTGAACCTGGACTGCACGTCCTGGGGGCAGCTGACGAGCCAGCGTCTTGCAGAGGGCAGCCAGTCCTTGCTTAGGCCAACCATGGTCACAGGCACTAGGGTTTCACGTTACAGATTCTGCAGCCTCCAGGGCTGTTTGTGGAGCTGTGTCTGCAGCTCCCCCATCACACTTGCATGTGCCCCTCCCCCAGCACCCCAGTTTGGTTAGACCATTCCCTTGTTAGAGCCCTCTTCAGGTTTCATTCAGTTCAGAAGTGCCAGGTGCCTAAGAGCAGCTGCTGGCACACCGCAAGTGCTCAATTAATGCCAGCACCTCTACTGGTTCCACAAATAACTTCCGAGCAGCTCTTCTGCCACAGCCACAGCCGTGCCAAAGAAGCAGCTGTGACCCCTGACCTCCAGGAACTCCCAGCCAGGCTGGGGAGGCAGGTCTGTCGCAGGTCAGGGCAGTCAGCAAGTGCCCACTGTGTGTCAGCCTGGCAGGGACTTGGGGTGGATCTGACTCTCCTCCTTTAAGGGAACTCCCAGGCTAGTTGGACAGGTGTGGGGAACCAGAAGGCCACAGTAGGACAGCAGGGTGGGGAAAGGCCCCGGGGACTGACTGTCGCAGCCCCAGGCTCCTTGCACAGATCTGGGTCAGGAGAAGGCTGTTAGGGACCCATGAGCCCTGGCAAGGTCCAGGAGAGCCTGGGAGAAAGAGGGCTTGCCAATGGGGCCAAGGGCTGAGACCCCCGAGGGAGCTAACCTGACCAGACCAGGCAGAGCAGAGGGCAGCTTGATCTGTCCAGGCTGTGCCCATGGCCTTGCCCAAGGCAAACCCCTGATCCCAGGACACACAGGATGCCCTCCCCATCCTGTAGGGTTGGGGTGGGAGGTGGTAGATGAGAAGGTCAAGGTCCTGCCCGCAGGTGCATGTCAGTGGTGGCAGATATAGGTCTCATGGAAGGTCGATGGGGAAGGATAAATAAAAAAGCAGGTGGTGGAGTGGCCTCACCTGAGGCTGCTCCCAGGCCACGCCCCCAGCAGGTGCTGCAGGTCAGGGTGCTCAGGTTGCAGCACCGACAGGTGAGATCTGGTTGAGCTGTGAATGTGGTTTGGCCACCATCCCCAAGGAGCTCCAGTCACCTCCAACACATTCCATTACCGCCAGGCTCTCCCCAACCCAGGGACCACAGCCTCTGCATCCCACCCAGGCACTCAGTCCTTGGCGCAAAGCAGGGTCTGCCCACTCCTTTTGACAGATGTGCTTCACATACCTCCTCTCTGCTGCAGTCCCCGGACCCCCAGAGACACCTGACAACACTTGTACACGGAGCCTGATAACATACACAAACACATGCACAGGGACCCCATACACAAGCTAATACAAAACAATTTCACACACACAGGATACTTTGCCTGAGTGTTTACTTTGAGCTGCAAACAATAAAAAAGGCAGAGTATGAAAACAGAGCCAAAGTTTGGGAGAACGGGCGCCTCTCCCTACCATGCCTTTGCCCACTTCCTCACCACGTTCAGGAAGCTGAACCCATCTTGTACCAGCTTCTGGTTTAGTGGGTGGGTCCTGTCAGGTGATCTCTCCTCCCGCACTCCTTCCGAGGCACAGTGGCCACGGGCTGCTCCCCACACCTGGTCCCCACAAGCCCCATTGCACCCACTCTGCGTTTGCTGTAACCACCCTAAGGGGGAGGGGAGCACACGGGGACTGTACCTGTTGTGTGTCCTTCCTGCAGACCGTGGGAGTCAGGGTCTGGGTTAGCCTCTCTGAGCGAATCCATAAGTCAGGCCCTTGTCCCAGAGGGAGTCGCTGGGTTCCTGGCGGGAAACCCAGATCCCAGCAATGCATCCAGAAGTGGGTCACACCAGCTGGACGGAGCTCTTTCTCAGGTCAGCCGCCTGAACCTATGTCCTTAACCTTGAGCCAAGCCTGCTTCCTTGAGCCTCAGGATGGCCAGCACAGGCTGGTCTCAGCCTGCACCCCATGTGGGTGAGCTGGGTTCTCACCTACCCGAACTTTGGTAACTGACCCAATATCAGCTCCTGTGCCTCAGTTTCCCCTTCTACCAACCGGGGAGAATGGGAACACTTTCAGCTGTGAGTTCTGTAACATTAAAGACTTAACCCATGCTCATCCTGGCTATTATGTATGATTAACTTACTCCAACAACGGAATAACCATGCAACTCTGAGACCTCCCCACTGTAGGGAAGCCCTCCTTAACGCCTGGTGGCCCAGGGCTTCCCCTGAGACTGGCCTCTGATTGCCCATCAAGAGTATGGGCAATACTCTTGATGGGCAATCAGAGGCCAGCCCTAACCCAGCCCCAACCCAGCCCCAACACTGATGGTGTTTCTAAGGGCCAGGCCTCAGGGATACCAGCCTCTGAGTATACCATTTGGAGTGGAGTGTGTGCCGGGGTGGCTTTGTCACTTCCTCTGAGCCACCGTGTCCATGTACTTGGTCATTTTATTGTGTGTGTGTAAGTCCACTGCTGGAAGGAGAAGTGGGAAGCGCACACCCTTTCAGCTCAGCTGAACCCAGCACAGGCCTTGGCACCCATGGGACACTGGGAACCTTCCTGTGGGTGACCACAGGATCTCCTTTTCTGCCCCTGCCCCCAGCATATCCATGAACAAGCCCCAAGAAGTGGCCCAAGCACATACAGCTCCTCCAGATTCGGCGGGGGTGGGAGGCAGGGCTTGCTTTGGAGACAGGCCTATAGGAGGCTCCTGAGCTCTAAGGGGGAGGTACCCTCAGGAGGCTGCTGCTCATTAGGCCCTCAAAATGGAAGCCCTGACCCCCTCCCCACAGAGACTGAACAGATGAGGGACATTTCTGTCTTCCTCCACTCTGCCATTAAGAGGAAGCCATTACCGGACAATCCCCTCAAGCCATTGCCAACTGACCCTCTTAGCCCCCAGCCCCCAGCCCCCTACCCAAACAACATCCCACAGAGCTGGCCTGGCACGGGCAGGCCCATGTCCACCCCAATTCCAGCCCTCTTCCCCTCTCCCCACCCCAGCAGGCAATCAGGCTTTCCCAAGCAGGTCAGAGTGGATGAAAAGAACCAGGGTGTGGCCCTTGGGCAGGGGGCAGGCATCCGTACAGATGGGTGCTGGAGTGTCCAGCACACAGGTGAGTGAGTATATGTATATGAGTTTGCAATGCATGCTGGGGCTCAGCTTCCAAGTCTTAAGTGGTCGGTGGGGCCACCAAGAAGGCTGCCTGGAGGAGGGGAGGCCTGCCTGGCAGTGAGAGAGGCACAGGCTCTCTAGGGGACAGGAGACGCAGGTGAGGTGAGGTCCAGGTGTCCCTGCCTGAGCCTCTGCCAGTGGCCTCCTCCCCCTTCCCCGCCTCCCCCATCCTTCCTGCGGCTCCCTGCGGCCAGCAGCGCTCCCTGCAGCACTGGGCTCTGTTCCACTCCACTCCAGGAAGGCCACCTCCTCCCTGTCCTCCTCCTCTCCCCCCCCCCGCCTCCTGCTGTCACCACTCACCGCTCATCCTCTCGAGAGGGTGGGGACCCCACGGCTGGACACACCCCACCGTGGCCCCAGAGCTCAGCTGGTCGGGGACGGACGCACGGTCGGACACAGGACCCCAGAGCCCGAGGTGGGCAGCGTGCCAGGGTCCCTCGCAGCCTCCTCAAGGTCAGTGCCGGCTGGAGATGCAGCCACTCCGGGGCCCTGGAGATCAGTGGAACCCACACCAGGCCCCTCACCCCAGATCACAGACCCCAAAGTGTGCCTTTACCTCAGGGGTATCTGAGACAGGCAGGAACAGGGTCGGGGAGAGGGGTCCCCTGCACCCCGTCGGCCAGATCCGGGCCCCAGGGTCTGTCAGCAGACACTCTGGGTTGGGGGCTGGCTCCGCGGAGAGGCCTCGCTGGGGACACCCTGCGCCGGCCATGGGGAGCTAAAATTGGAAAGTGGCGAGTGGGAGGCAGCTGACAAAGCTCTTTCGTGGGCTCTTTGCCGGTGCTCCGGTTTCAAGCTCCTGCTCCATTAACCTGATCCCTGGTTAACACTGCTGCCCTACCCCCACCTGGCTGGTGAGGAGGTGTCATGTCTCTCAGGCCAGAAGCCCCCTGGCCTGGGCAGGGGTGGCAGTGTCCTGCCCCATCTGAGACATCAGAGGGGTGGCTCCCTTGGACCACCAATCCCAAGGGCAGGCAGCAGGAAGTCTGTCCCAGGTTCACTGCAGGGCTCTGATCGGTCCCTGCCCCCTCACAACTGGCTCATCTGTATGACAGGGACAGTGTCGACTGTGGGCACCCGGGCTCGTGGGCCACAGGATTGGCAAGGGGTAGTTGAGGCAGGGCCTGGGGTAGGAGACACATGTGCTGCCTCTAGGCTCAGCTCAGTCCCGGAAGGCACCTAGACATGTCCCTCCCTTTCATTTGAATCAGAGTCTATTCGTCCCCATGGATCCTTCAGGAAGACCTTAGTTCAGGCTAGAGAAGGGCAGGAAGGACCCAGGTGGTAGCTGCGGTTCCTGGGTGGCCCAGCAGAACTCCCCTGGGGAGGGAGTGGCTGAGCTTCCCTTGGGCCTGGTACCCGTCAGCACCTTGGACAGCAGCCAGCACCCTCCACCTGCCCACCCGCCAGCCCACCTGGCCCTGCCTGGCCCATACCCACTATACTCCAGGGCACTTGCTCAAAGAGCATAGGCTCTGGCCGACTTGCGGGGCCTGACTACACAGCACTTGGGGAAGGACACAGGCAACAACCAGCGACGTGGTGGGAATGGACTTAGTGGCTCAGGACAGGGAGAAGCTGGAGGCTGAGTGACAGGGGACCTTGGGAGCCCATGAGGTCTCCGGGAAGGAAAGCCAGAGCTGATGGGGGTGGGAACCCTGATGGAAGGAACAGGTAAGTTTTCTCCATGGTGTGAGTGGAGCTGGGCACAAGCATTTGGGGCAAGGCATGGGGACCAGCCCCTCTGAACATGAGCAGGAATAAATGAGGGTGAGCAAAAGAGGCTGTGTGTCAAGGTCCCACTGTCCAGAGCCTTCAACTGGAAGGACGGGTGGCCTGGAGGAGTCGGGATCATGAGGTGGAGCTGGGCGGGGCTGGAAGCTGCTGTACCCTCATGTAACCTGTCCATCCTAGCCCCATCCAGGCTATGGGCGTGAAGACAGCACTGCCTGCAGCTGAGCTGGGTCTCTACTCCCTGGTGGTGAGTGGAGCCCTGGCCTATGCGGGCAGAAGTCTCCTGGAAGCTTCACAAGGTACCAACTGGGTCTGGGGCACAGGGTGGGAGCAGAGCTTCTTTACCCTAGGTGCCTGGGGCACAGAGAGGTAGAGCAGACAGGACCACAAACAGAAGCTCATACAGACACACATGCACATACCTATTGATGAATACAGAGATGCACAAAGACATGGCACCCATGCACACTCACACCTGCACCCAGGCACGCAACAAGATTCAGGGAGAAGCAGGGGCAGACCAAGAGGCCCAGACTCACTTCTCCCTCCCTCCCCACCCACAAACGAGTCCCTAGTGGTAGGAGAGGCAGGGGCTGTGAAGGGCCCACCCTGAGGTCACACTGTGTTCTCAGATGGGGCTCACAGGAAGGCTTTCCGGGAGTCTGTACGCCCAGGCTGGGAGTACCTTGGCCGCAAGATGGTAGGTCCCCCGCTGCTTGATCCCTGGCATGCCTCTCCCTTTCTCCCCGTCCAGCGTGAGGTGGGGCTGGGCAGGGCCGGTAGCTGTCCTAAGAGATAGGCATAATCCACTATCTCAAGTGATAAGTAGCTCACACCCAGCGGTCTCTGGCTTGTGCCCTTCGTGTGTCTTTTGGGGATACCAAGGCTGCCCAGGCCCTGCTCATTCAGGACTTGGATCCTGGTAAGCCCAGGTGTGCATCAGCAGGGCCCTCTAGCGCCACCCTCTGCAGACACAAGGCATGGCCAGGGGACATCAGGCAGGCATGCTGAGCTAGGGGGGAGTGCTTCCAGGGGCACGGATATCTCACCTGCCCATTCTTGCAGTGCAGGGAGCTGCAGCCACTGCTCTCACAGTGAATGCTTAAGAACAGGAGGGGCTGGGAACGTGTTGGGTCTCTGCCCAGCCTGGGTGCCAGCTTTCTGTGTCCCTCCTTCACCCCAACCTGACCTGAACACCCTCAGGATGTGGCCGACTTCGAGTGGGTGATGTGGTTCACCTCCTTCCGCAATGTCATCATCTTCGCCCTCTCGGGACACGTGCTCTTTGCTAAACTCTGCACTATGATTGCCCCCCAGGTGAGCTTATCTGAGCCACCCAGCTCTTCCCCAGCCACGAGGGTGGTGGGAAACTCATCCTGCCCACCCCTCAAGTCTGTATGGAAGAGTAAACGGAAGCCTCTTCCCACCCACAGCTCCGCTCCTGGATGTATGCCATTTACGGGCTCCTGGCCGTGTTGGGTACAATGGGTCCCTGGTACCTACTGCTGCTGCTGGGCCACTGTGTGGGCCTCTACGTGGTCTCACTTTTGGGCCAGCCCTGGCTCTGTCTTGGCTTCGGCCTGGCCGGCCTGGCCTCCTTCAAGGTGGACCCTCTCATCTCTTGGCAGGTGTGTTCTGGGACAGAGGGTACAGGGAGAGAACCTCAAACTTCTCATTTTATCTAAAACTCCTTGTTTCCCGAGAACCCCCAAGTGCATACTTCACCTGCCCACTGTCTTCAACCATTTACCACTGTCCTGCCCACGAGTGGCCTCCTGCACAGGGACCTTTCCAGTGTGTCCCCTATCCTGTTAGAAAGTTGGAACAGAGCAACCAGGGAGGAACAGGCTGGGAAAGAAAGTAGGGGTACTCTGTCCCATGACAGGAGACGTCCTGGTGAGCGGCTGGCCTGTTCTCTCCCCTCCAGAGCGGGTTTGTAACAGGCACTTTTGATCTTCAAGAGGTGCTGTTTCATGGGGGTAGCAGCTTCACGGTGCTCCGCTGCACCAGCTTCGCGCTGGAGCGCTGTGCTCACCCCGAGCGCCACTACTCCCTGGCCGACCTGCTCAAGTACAACTTCTACCTGCCTTTCTTCTTCTTTGGGCCCATCATGACCTTCGATCGCTTCCACGCCCAGGTGAGGGACACCTTGGGGACCCCCAGAACAGGGCTGGCTCTCCCTCTTCACACAGATTCTCCTAGCTGGGTAGAAACCCCCACCCCTACCCTAGCAGGCTGGATCATGATGTCAGAGTCTCTCCATGTCCTCGACGCCATCCCACCCCCTCCCCCCACGGCACAGTTACCCTAACAGGAACCGTGGGATGGAGGCAGCTCCTCCCTTGGACAGGACTTCCAGGCCATGGATGTTCCCTCCCCCACCAACAGGGGTCTTGGGACACAAGGGGTCTCCCTGGTACCCTGCTGGTTGGTGACTGCCCCCTCTCCCCAGGTGAGCCAGGTAGAGCCCATAAGGCCCGAAGGCGAGCTGTGGCGCATCCGAGCTCAGGCGGGCTTCAGTGTGGCGGCCATCATCGCTGTGGACATCTTCTTCCACTTCTTCTACATCCTCACCATCCCCAATGACCTGAAGTTTGCCAGCCGTCTCTCAGACAGTGCCCTTGGTGGGTCCCCAGAGCAGGGGCCATAGGCAGAAAGCCCTCTGTGTGTGTGTCCTGCAGTACTGGCGTGCTGGGGGTAGCAGGGTCACTTATCATAGGGCTGTGGCATTGTCACGTAAACCCAGGGTCTCGCTGCTCCATTTCACTCATTTCTACAACCAAGATGAGGTCTTCCTGGGGACAGGCCTGGAGCAAGAACTGCTCCCCTGCCCAGGGCTTGGGGACAGAAGGTGCTGCATGGGAGAGCAGGGCTCAGCCTCAGCTTAGGATTTGAGGGGACAGGGCAGGGAGGCCACAGGGACACACACTAGGCAGCGACCAACAGCAACTCATTCCCAGCTGGCCTGGCCTACTCCAACCTGGTGTACGACTGGGTGAAGGCAGCTGTCCTCTTCGGCGTGGTCAACACCGTGGCGCGTCTGGATCACCTGGATCCACCACAGCCTCCCAAGTGCATCACCGCACTCTACATCTTCGGAGAAACGTGAGGCCCTGCAGGCTGGGGGAGGGGCACTCACCCCTGGGATCCCCACTGCCCCTCGGCTTGGGGATTCATGCCCATCTGCTGTCTCCCACAGGCACTTTGACCGGGGCATCAACGACTGGCTTTGCAAGTGAGTCTGGGGTGACTGTGGGGACTGGTCCCAGCCTTCCTGCCTGGTGGCTGAACAGGGCAGAGCCAGAGATGGGACCACGGTTTTCAAGTTCACTCCTGAGCTGGAGGAAGCAAGAAGGGCAGTGAGGAAGACATGGCAGGGCTCTAGGTGAGGGTGGAGAGAAGCCTTGGTCTCAAAACCAATGGGATTAAAGAACTTGGTGAACTTGGCTAAGGAAGGGAGCTGGGAGATGTGGGAATGTCTGGGTTTAGACTAGCCTAGGTGGGTCGATAGAGCTCTGAGCATCCTGAGTGTGGGTGGGTGGTCTGGAGGCCTTGGGAGCGTGGAGGTAAGGAGAGGGAATAGAGCGAGGAGTGGAGAGGGGTCGGCCAAGGCTGGGCCTGCAAGGGCTGTAGTTGGATGGAGAAGGAAGAGCCCATTGAAAGAGCAGACAGAATGTTCAAGAGGAGCAGAATGGAAGCCATGTGATGCCCGGGAAGCCAAGAGAAGACTGTCCATGAGAGGAGAGAGCAACCGAGCACGATGCTGCTGAGGTCACAGGAGGTGCAGGCTGGGGTCAGGCTCGGGCCCGCTCATGCATACAGCATTTCCCTAGGGAGGCAGGCTTGGGGCCGCTCAGGTGTACAGCATTCCCCTAGGGAAGCATGGCAGGTGGTATGGAGGAAAACAGGAACTGCAGGGAGTGTGTGGATGAAAAGGGAAGACAGCTGAATGGGAGAGAGGGAGTGGCTTCTATCAGGGGAGGTAGGGGTGCACTTGGTGCTGAGCTGTGGGGGGGTAATTGTACAGACGTGGGTGGTAACGTAGATCTAGGAGTGACTCACAGAGGGGGGTCCCCAAGGTGCTGGCGAGGTGATAACATCTAGTTCTAGGTAGAGGAAGGCTTTAGTAGGAAAAGGAGGGGAGAAGCCAGTGGGGATATAGAAGGCAGGTCAGCCTGTTTAGGTATGGAATCTGCCTCATTAGGAAGCCAGGTCATCAGCTGGGATATGAGGGTTAGGGACACGGAGGGAGGCAGAGCTGTACCCACACACCTAAGCCCCACTCAAACTCGCAGGAAAAGCAGGCGTGGAGCGGCCACTAGGGAGGAGCTTCTAGGAGAAACCTTGACATTAAGGGTCCAAGTAGGGTTGGAGGCAATGGGTTCCCAGACCTCAGCAGGTGAAGACCTGAGGCTTTTCCCCAACCAGGGCTGAGCTGCTCAGGTGCAGATAAGGAGGAAGCCAAGGCAGAAGTGAGGGGCGAGGGCTTTGAGGTTATTTGTAAATAATGACTTATCAGACATGAGCCTGTAGAGGAGGGAAGTGCTGATGGAAGCTCATAAGACCAATAGGATTAAAGAACTGAAGCTGGCGGGGGTCAGGGGTGGGCAGAGGGCGCTGGAAGAGAGTAGAACTCAGGAAGGAGTTTCAAGCATTGATAAAGTCGGGGTGTGGCCATGGGAGGGGGCAGCTGAGTGGCATGGAAAAGCCTTTGGAAACGGAGGCGGTCACAGAGCAGCGAAGTCAGTCATGCAACAGGTCTTCAGTGAATTCATTTAACAAATGTTTATCAAGTACCTGCTGTGTGTCAGGTCCAGTCGAGACATTGGTGACAGAGCAGTGAGCATGACAAAGTCCCTGAACTCACAGAGCTTACAGTCTAGTGTGGAGAGTCAAGACTGTGAACAGGTGCTGGGAGAAGCATCATTGAGTGCCTGGACATCAGTGGATCCATGACTCAGGAAAAAAACAGACAAAAACCTGGGGCTCATCAGCAGACAGCAGCTGAAGGCATGGGCCTAGATGAGATCACTCAGGGAGCAAATGAACACAGCCAGAAAAGATACGAGGTCCGAGGTCAAACCTGCCACAATCTCAAGGTGGGCAGAGGAACAGGAAGGACCGCCACCCCAGGTCAGGACTCTCAAACATTCCCAGTGACAGCACAAGGGCCACCTCTCTGCCTTCCTCATCACTACCCCATCCAATATTCCCATCAGTCCCTGCGCCCATTCTCCCTGCAGATACGTGTATGACCACATTGGTGGGGAGCACTCGGCAGTGATCCCGGAGCTGGGGGCCTCCGTGGCCACATTTGCCATCACCACCCTGTGGCTCGGGCCTTGCGACATCGTCTACCTGTGGTCATTCCTTAACTGCTTTGGCCTCAACTTTGAGCTCTGGGTACAAAAGTTGGCAGAGCGGAAACCCCTGGCAGGCATTGAGGTGAGCTGGGAAGGTCCTGGGGCTGGGATGGGCTGGGTCCCAGGAAGGGGTCTCAGGAAGAGGGCATTCTTGCCTTCTGCAGTTATTTAGCTACATTTGATCCCTAGGCTAGAATGTTCTCAACGTTCCTCTCCTGTTTGTCTTTGAGGTGGCTTGCCCTGGGGCACTGTGGTCCTCTCTGCTTCCAGGGATCCATTCCCAATGCACCTGGGCCTAGCTGTGTCAATGGGGGCCTCATTCTCTTTCTGGCCTGTTTTCCCCCAAGTTAAACCATAATGGAGCAGAACCCAGGCATATCCACATGGACAAGACTACTGACTAAACCATGTCTGCTTTCCTTGGGGCCTCTTGCTCTACCACCCGCGTGTTCCTGGGCTGGGCAGGCCAGTTTGTCGGAGCAGATGTCCCGCCGGGTGCGGGCCCTCTTTGGGGCCATGAACTTCTGGGCCATCATCATGTACAACTTGGTGAGCCTCAACAGCTTGGAGTTCACGGAGCTGGTGGCCCGGCGCCTGCTACTCACAGGTGAGAGACTCCACAGTGGAGATCCAGGGATGTGCCAGACACCATCTTCACTGCTGGGACCTACTGAAGGGTCCCCAGGCCCTACCCCAGCAACTGGAGATCCAGTGGGGAAACCTAGGTACTGGAGGAGGAGGGCAGGGGTTGTGTTGCTGCTCTGGGCATCTATAACCCCTTCCTCACACAGGGTTCCCCCAGACCACCCTGGCTGTGCTGTTTGTGACCTACTGTGGTGTCCAACTGGTGAAGGAGCGTGAGCGAACCCTGGCTCTGGAGGAGGAGCAGGAGGGCCAGGACAAAGAGAAGGCGGAGTAGGGAGGGAGGCAGGGTGGGATCAAGGGCCAGGCTCCACTCAACTCTTCCTGGGCCAGATGCGGCCTGACCAAGATAGAATAAAAAGACTTTTCTACCATGTCTTGGCTGCTCCCTGCTCCTTCCCCTGCAGTCTCCTGGTCCTCTGTCCATGCTGAAGGGAGGTGTATGGGAATTCTAGGTTTCAAGAAGGTGGATTCGGGGGTGGGGAAGACCTTATAGGGTCTGGAGAGGGCACCACAGCAAGATCCCTGAGCCCTGAACCATCGGCCCCCTTCCTGGCTCTGACTCTGGCACATCTTGCGCCTCACTGTACACTCTGAGCTGCCAGTACTTGATTATTCCTGAGGGAGACTTCACCCCACTGCAAGGTGCATTCGGTGGAGATGCTCCCTCCCACAGAGGAGGAGGGGAATTCCGTGGGACCTTCGACCTGCACCCACAGCCAGGCCAGCCAGACCAGGATGCCCCTCTGTGTGATTCAGACTCATTGGCCAAGGAGACCATAGGGTGGGAGTGGGGTGGGGTGGGGTGGTGGCTATGGTGACCCTTCAGAGACCCTGAATTTCTCACCCCTGTCTGGCTAAAGCAATCCTCTGGACACCATCACAGGAGGAATCAGGCCCCTTTCAGCTTCTTCCCTGGATCCCCCACAAGGCCAGGCCTGGGCGGGAGGAGCACTTGGTCCTGCAGGCACCTCACATCTTGGTCAGGCGCAGCACGTTGAGCCGCACGGGGAGGAAGGTGGCGCCAGCAGCATAGGCGATCTCCCGCAGGACACCCTCCCATTTCTTCTCTTCCTCGTTGTACCTGGGGGAGGGGGATGGCTCAGCTCCTTCCACAGTGAGGAGTACCCAGCAAGGAGGAATGGCTGGGTTGCCTTGGGGCCATCTCTACCCTCAAAGGACACCTCCCCCACAGACACCCACATCCACTTCCTAGGAAGGTCTATACTACACAGGCACAACACGTCTCTCCCCTCAGAATCCCCAAACTCATGTGCCCCAAGGCCACCTACAGCAGCTGTGTAGTGCCAAAAGTAGGCTTGGGGGACACCCCAGTGGCTGAGCCCTGTTCCTGATCCCCCCCATGAAGCTACCGGCCCCAGGAAGCAAACCAGCCTTAGCTCTCCCTCCAGACCATACCCTGACGGCCCCTGGGGCATGGGGGTTTTCTGTTCTTCCCCCAGGAACTTCCCCACGTTCCCCCGCCCCCCACCCAGTTTCTGACCACTTGCCTCACTGGGAGCACTTTCTCACCTCCAGATGTCATTGAGCTCCGTGGGCACCAGCTCTCCGGACTCAGTCTCCAGCGTGGCAAAGCCGCCAAGAGCATACAGGGTCCCCCCAAGGCTGACCAGGCTAAGCGAGCTGCGCTCCTGGGGGAAGGCCTCAAAGGGTGTCCACCTGAGAGGATGAGGCTTGGCATCAATTGGGGGCCTCAGCCAGCCCAGTGGGGTCCCTGCCAGCCAAGGGTGCCCCTCCTCCCCCTCTCTCCCTGGCTTTAGCTGTGCCCCGACTCCCAACTCCTGCCCTCTGGCATCCCAACCTTGCACTCTCACCCCCTTCTGCAGCCTCCTGCTCCTCTGTCATTCCATCTAACCTGCTCCTGGACTTGCCAGTATCTATCCCTGCTAACTTCCACCTACTGACTTAGGACTCCTGCCCCAGAGGGCCCAGCATCACCCCCAACACAACCCTGTGGCTCTACAGAGGCCTGGAGAGCCTGCCCCCTAGCCCTCTTCTGTTAACACCCAGTTACTCTCAGGGTAGGCTCACTGCTGCAGGTGGTTCTTCCCCACACGGCCCCCCATCACACCCTCCAAAGCAGCTCTCATCGAGGACCCTATGAACCACTGGCCTTCAGCATGGGCTGCTGCCCACAGGGCTTTATGCACCTGCACCTCTTCAGACTTCTACTTAGAGGGTTATCCATCCCCACGGCCCCTCAGCCTGTCTCCTGAGTGACCTGGTCCCCTCTGTGAGCCATGACCCTGTGCCTTCCCTTCCCCAGACACATCTGATCCACCTGTCTTGCTCTCCTACTCAGTATATAGCCTATGTCTCCTGCCAAGGCAGACACAAAGGGGACAGGGGTGCATGTGGTTGTCAGGAAGTGGAAAGGAGCGGTCACCTACTTGTTATCCACAATGCTGTACACCTCAGCCGAACTGGTCAGCCCCGTGTCAGTGACCCCGGCTGCCACGAAAATGCGGCCATCGTGGACAGTGGCACCAAAGAGTGAGCGGGCAGTCTGCATGGGTGCCAGTTCTTTCCACTCGAATTTCTTGGGGTCATAGACACACATCTTGTTTAGGCATTTCCTGTGGACAGGAGTTGGGGGTGGGGGCAGGAGTGAGTAGAGGGAGGCAGGGGCGTCTCCTGGGGCAGCCTCAGGAGCTCCTGTAGCCGCAGATTCACCCACCCTGCTGAGCCTCACCTGTCTGCGCCCTTGCCGCCAATGACATAGACGAGATCCATATGGGAGAGCACTGAGTGGCCATACACCACGTAGGGCAGCGGGTCCGACTCGCCCCATTTGAAAGACCTGTGGTGAGGGCAGGGCAGGGGAGACAGGCAGGAGGAGACAGGTGCCCAGCTCAGAGTCACCTAGCCAAGCCAACCACAATGCAACCCACAGTCTAGGATCTGCAGGCCCCTACGGGGTCACCCAACCCGTCCCAAGGGTCGAGTCCCAGCCCACACTCACAGCCTGTCGTAGCACAGAACCGAGTCCAGGCTGCGCTCGCCGTCCTTAAGCTCCCGGCCGCCCACCACATAGATGGCGTTGAGAGCTTCTCCCAGGCCAAAGAGACAGCGTGGCGAAGGCAGGGGTGGCATGCCCAGCCATTCCGAGTCCAGGTGGTCAAACTGCAGGCCAGACATACTGTCAGCTATGGTCCCAAGCCCAGCACAGCACAGCCCAGCCCTGTCCTGCCATCCCGGGTCCTGGTCTCCTGGTAGGACCTGCACAGCCTCTCCCACCATTATAGTACAGGGATGGGGAAACCTGCAGCCAGACTGAGGAGGGTCCTCTGGGAAGAAGAGCCAGTTCTGGCCTTGGCCCTTCCCCTTTGCAATATCCCAACCTGGACCTGCCGCTCCCCTGCAAGGGAACTTGCCGACATACCCCCCTTGGTCTGTAGGGTGCAGCCCTAGGCCCACATTTTTGGACAGTTTTCTGAGCTGACTGTGGTGGCACTGATGCACATGTAACAGCATTGTTTAACCTTCCAATAACCTTAGCAAGCAGGAAGAATAATACTCTATTTACAAAGAAAGGCCTGGGGAGAATAAACAATGGGCTCACACTGCTGGCCAGGCCCCTGGCAGAGCTGCCCCTCACCCCTCGTGCTGGTCGGGCCTCAATGACTGAAGCACTCTCCAGGCTCATTCCTGGCCCTGGTCCTTGCTCACCAAGCCCTACAACCAGGAACACTGCCACTTCCTCCTTCAAGTCTCCAAATTCCACCCCACTGGCCAAGCTGACCCCTACATGATCAGTCTCCAGCACTCAGCTGAGACCCCACAGTCACATCCCCAACTTGGACTGGGAACTTGGCTCTGCTGGTCTTCCTTGAGCCTCGGTATCCTTGTCCGTACAGTGTGAGGGTTAGGCAGATGGCCCTTCAATCTGGGGTATCCGGGCCAGGATCCTTTCACTGACCATGCTCTTGCTGTGCCCGGCCCCAACCGTTGTGCAAGAGCAGGGTCTCCAACATGTTCCAACCAGAGGGACTCATGTCCCCCTGGCAATACTTGGGCACCCAAGGGATGTAGCTCCTTGGTTGCTTCCTGGAACCATTCTCAACCCTCAGGCCAATGGCTATCCATCAACATCCCACCAGAGACCAGAGACAGGCCCCAAGCCAGACACAGGATTCCCCCCTACCCCCGCCCCTAGTGCTCAGAACTCATGCCTCCCCACACCCCTCCCGTCCAAGACTGGCCAGGCACCTGAAGGAAGTAAGCACTCATGGGGTCTTCCTTGTTGTCCTCGTTGTAGAAGAGACCCCCAGCCACAAAGATCTGGTTCTCCTTGGTCACCAGACTCACGTGGTTCTTGGGGATCTGGGTGGAGAGGGAGGCACAGTAACACTCATTGGCTGCTGGGTCGTAGGCCACGGCGCCCTGCTCGCTGACCATGAAGATGAGGTCCTGCAAGAACATGCCAAAGCGCAGCGTGTCATTCAGGATCCCAGGAAGAATGCGTTCCTCCTCTTCCTTCTCCTCGCCCTCCTCCTCTTTCTTTTCCACTTCGGTGCCCTTGCCGGCCTCCTTGGCGCCGGCTGCCTCCTTCCCTTTCTTCTTCTTGCGCAGTGTGGTGAGACGGCCATCATGCGCATCCTTCACCATCTGCACCTTGCGCAGCAGTTCGGGCTGGGCGCGCACGAGAGGGTGGCGCTCCACGCGGCTCTCCAGGAAGGCACGCGGCAGCAGGCGGCAGCGCACGCTCTCGAAGACCGTGGGCAGCGCGCGCTGGCGCTCGGCCTTCGCCTCGGCATCGCCACTGGATGCCCAGCGCATCACCGCCTCGAACACCGCCTCCTCTTTCTCCACGTTGAGGCCGTCGCTGGAGATGATGGCGATGAGCTCGTCGGGTGAGAGTCCCAGGAAGTCGGCGTCACGTGCCACCAGCGTGAAGCGCGCACAGATGAAATCACGCGCGGCTATGGCCAGGCGTGCGCAGTCGAGCAGGAGGCCCAGGCGGAAGACGGCCAGGCAGTTGGCGAGGCACAGGCGCTTCTGCAGGAAGGACACACAGATGGTGAAGATGGATGGGATCTGGAAGCGGTGCGCTGCGGCAAACAGGTCCTGGACGCTCGCTTCGTCCAACGCGATCTCCGACGTGTACAGGTAGTGCAGCACCTGAGCCACCACGTCTGGGGACACCTCTTCCAGGCGCAGCTCGCCCGCATTCTCTGGCTCGGCCAGGAAACGCGCCCGGAAGTAAGGGCTGCAGGCTGCGAGCACCAGGCGGTGGCACGGGAACTCGCGCTCACCGGCACGCACCACGCAGTCCAGGAACTTGCCGTGGTCCAGCATGTCTTTGAGCCCTTCCTGCAGGAGCGTCTGTTGGTAGAGCCGCTGCTCCTCTGCTTGCTCCAAACTCAGTGCCATGATGAGGGGCCTAAGGGCAGCGTTGCGGGACGCCTCTGTGTAGTCCAGCACTCCTGTGTTCCAAGTGCGCACTTGTCTCCCGGGTTATATATAGAGGTGGCCCCGGCCCTGTAAGGCGAGCCGCCCTGCCTCCCGCACATGACGCACGGTGGGGACAGCTGGGCAGAGGCCCCCTCCCAGAGCGGCATTGACTCAGCTGCAGAGGCTCATGGGATGGGGGTAGGTTGTCTGGGCCTTCCTCAAAGTTGGGAGTCTCATTCCAGCTCAACACTGACCCTGGACTCCTTGGATTGCGGGGTGACCGCGTGTGAAGAACCCCCCCAAGTCCAGGCAGAGGGGAACACTGGAGCCCTCTTCTAGGGTATCCATTCCTTTGTGCCTTGTGGAACTATCTGTTAGGGTGTTTCCATCTTCCTTGTTCAGTCTGCTTTGGGATTCCTGCTCAGTGAGCTTGGTTGGATGTGGCATTCACCCTTGGGGGGACCTTGCTGCCCACCTGTAAAATGGGAAGAGCTTCTCCTCTTTCTGCCCCAGGTCTGAGACCCCACCCCTCCTGCTTCTTACAAGAAAGCTCTCAGGCAAACAAGGTGACAACCCTTTAAAGGAGATAGCCCCTTTTCTTCCAGTGCAAACTCAGTGGGTTCCTCTGCTATGCAAGCAGGAGGTAGAGGAGAAAGTGCGGAGGTATGGAGACCAGCAGTACACGTTGGAGAGTGTCAGCCTGCCAAGGCCGCCCCCTCCCCCTGCTCTGCCAGAGCACTATGATCTGTTGGAGGGGTCCGACTCAGAGGCTTCACATTCTGGGGCAGAGGCCTCCTCAATGCTGCTGCTCAAAAGGCAGAACTCGGCAAGTCCACATTCCAGGACTCTGCTTGCCTGTGTGTGTTGCCCTGGGGCCACACGAGAACAAGGGCCTCTGGGAGCCTCTCTCCTGTGCGTGTGGCTTAAGGGGTCACAGTCAAAGCCCACCCTGATGACCGTTCCTCCCCCTCCCCACGTGCACGCGCACACACACACACACTGCAGCCTCAGCCACCAAAATTAACTTGTTCCCAAAGTGCCAGAGGCTGCAGCTGTGGGTTAAATTTAGCCCCCGGGATACTGGTATGAACTGTTAAGGGGCACTCCCCCATCATTCCTCTGAGTCACTTGTTTATAACTGCTGTCCTGCTGGGGGGCAGGGGAATGGCAGGGAGGGACAGAAGAGAAGACCTCAGGCTGGGCCAAGACTGAGTCACCTGCCCTTCTGTGAGCTCAGCAGCAGTCCCACCTGTGCAGTGTACCTGACCACTAGCAAGTCAAAGAGGGCCACAATCTTCAGTCAGACCCTGGAGGTGGTCCTATCTCTTGTCTGCAGGGCAAGGACTGGCTCAAAGAGGGCTGGTGGTCAACTTCCAGGTCAGCCCTGGACTTCAGACCATTTCTAGCAAGTACCATCAGGCAGAGGACAAGGCCCCGAGAGCCTCAGCAGCCTGTTCAGGATGCACAGCTGGCAGGTGCCGGAACAGGCTTCCGAGCAGCCCTGTCCATCCCTGAAGACTGTGGGAAAATCCTCGCTCACTGCTTTCTGAGCCTTAACAAAAACCTCCAGCAAACGTGGCCTCCTTTACCAAAGACTGGGGGAGACGGCACAATGAAGTTACGCTTACCAAATGCACATCCAATTTATATTTATCCAATGACTTCCTCAAGTATTTTTAGGTTGTGATTGGTCTCACAATGCTCCCTCCCTACCAGGCACCCTACTAGAATATTTATGTGTGACTCATTCACGCATCGAGAACCTACTGTGCTGAGAGGGTTCAGCCTGCAATGAATCAAGCAGGAATTCCTGTCTTTATGGAGCTCACATTCCTGGAGTTGGGATGGGGAGGGTTGCAGGGGAGGTTAGTCACCAATAGACGGTTGGTTGGTCATCTAGGGCCTTGGGCGGTGATAGAGTTGCGTGGTGCGACAGGTGGCGCTCTCAACAATATCAGGTGGAACAAGTTAGGATGGACTTGCTGGGAGGGTTCCAACGAGGGAAGCAGCTTAAGCAAAGGCCCTGGGGCAGGACAGCGCCTTAGCATGTTCCAGGAACAGCAAGGCGGTGAGTGGGACTAGAGCAGCGAACCAGAATGTAAGAGGAAAACTGGGTAAGGGGGAGAGTTCATAGGGGGTCACGTGGGCCTCTGGCAGCTTCTTGCTGGGGTGAAATGAGGAGCTACTATTTCAATGATTTTGTATGTGTGTGTGAAAAATGGAAAGGCATGCAAAAATAGAGAGAACACCCTCTCAAGTTTCTCAGGCCCCCATCAGCAGCTTCAGTGTAAGTCCCAGAGTCCTGGCCAATCCCGTGCGTGCCTCCTCCACCCCAGCAGCTCTCACGATCCTGAGAAGCCCAGGGGTTCAGACATGGGTGCAGAGGAAGAATGAGTTGAATCCAAGTGAAGATGACATCTCACTCCATTTGTGCTCGGTTCATTCTCACTCCAAAACTAGGAGCAAAGCGGGTTTTTTTCCCCTCATTTTATGGAAACTGACATTTTTTGTTTGCTCATCTGAAAGACAGACAGCTCCCCAGCACAAGCTCATCCTTCACAGGCCTCCAGTAGTCAGGACTGGTTCAGGGGTGCGCCCGGAGCTGGAAACTCAACCCAATCCAGCTTCCTGCCCTCCAGGGTCTACACAGGTGGGAAACTGGAGTTGGGAGAGGGGGTGTGGTCATTGATGTGGGAGATGGGCTAACCACCTGTTCCTGGAAACGGACATCTCAATGGACTGCAAACAGGGGGAGAGCTACTCGTGTTTATTAAAGAGCTGTGTTGAGGCAAAGGTGACAGCATATATTTAAAGGGTGTAACTTGCTAAATTTCTCCAGGTGTCTATATACCCACGGAACCACCACTGACTGCCACACTCAAGAAAGGGGACATGGTCATCACCCACAAAAGTCTCTCCTTCCTTCCTCCTGAGACATTCTGAGTCCAGTCACAAGCCTGCCTTCTGTCCCTGCACTTCACTGGTGTTCCTAGGGTTTTGTACAAGAGGAATCATGCCCTACATTCTTCTGTTGGCTGTCTGGCTTCTTTGACCTAGATACCTTCCACCTGCTGGGTCACCCCCAAAATGCATGCAATGGCCAGAGTGGGACCAAGCTGAACCCAGGAGCCAGAAACCCTATCTGGGCTTCCCATGTGGGTGGCAGGGTCAAAACACTTAGACCATCTCCTGCTGCTTTGCTAGGTATATTAGCAGGGAAGTGGGACAGCTGCGGGGACTCAAATGGGATGCCAGCGTTGCAGGAAGGTGGCTTCACCCGCAGTGCCCTGGCATGTCCCTCAGGAGGCTTCACTGCAGGGTGGCCTGGCCACGTTGTTTGTTCAAGACCCCTTAAATTTTTCCCTCCCTCTCAGGCTATCAGATCCTTTAGTTTCTGTCCCTGGTTTGGAGAACAGAGCTGGTTGGCCAGCTTTCAGGGCTGAGGGCGTGGCAAGGGCTGCCCACTGAAGATGCTCACCCTTCAGGTCTCATCCAGTGGGCTTGCTGGCAACAGGATGAGCTGACTTGACATGATGGCAAGCAAAGCAAAACAAAAAACCCTCTTGTGTGGCCTTCAAACCACACTGACTTATCTGCTCATTCTCTTTCCCATGGATATTTTGAAGTCTCCTTGTGTCAGCTGGACAACAGCTAGTCCCCACAGAGAACTGCCTTTCCCCTCCTCCGAGGCCTCCAATGGTCACAGGCCTGAGCTCCCATCTTCCCAGGTGACTGTTGTCAGCACTGCGACTGTCTGCCCATCTGGTCCTTCTTGCTCATCATAGCACCCCAATGCTGAGCACACGGATGGGCAGCACTGATCCCTGCCATCCTGGGCTGGTGCTGCCAATACTGGCACTCGTGAAAAGCCCAGGACCTCTACATGCCTCACACGGTTCAGGGACCTTCACTGACAGTGTTGCCTGTCAGTGTTTCCAGGAATTTAGCCCACCTTCAAGATGGAGACACAGGGAGGTAGGTGTCAGCTCATACTGAAGGACCTGCGTTCCAGTCCCGGCTCTGTTTCTGATTCTGACTTCTTGCCAGGGCACACCCTAGGAGGCAGCAGGTGATGGTTCCAGTACTTGGGTCCTATAGGAGACTTAGGTTCGAGTTGGAGGCTCCTGGCTTTGCCCAGAGCCAGATGTGGTAAGCATTTAGGAGAAAGAACCATTGGACGAAAGAACTCTCACACTGCCTTTCAAGTAAAATGTAAGCAAGCATTTTACAACAATCAAAAGCAGGTAAGATAGGGAGGTGGACTCTGTGGCTGCTCTGGGTGCAGGTGCCCACAAGTCACCCTTGCTCAAGTCAGCAAGGCACAAAAAAGAGGCCGGTCAGGGGACAGGAGTTGAACTGATTTTATTCCCTTCATTCTTCTCACTGGGGTGCCTGCAGTTCCATGCACCCTGGGACTGGGGAATCAGACATCAAGGACCCACATGTGGGGGGGCGTGGTCCTTCTGCCATCACCAAGCCCCTCACTGTGGAGACCCTGGTAGCCTGAGCCAGAGACAGGAGGTGCAGTCCCCAGCCCTGTGACCACCAGGCTCAGGGCTCACTCAGCATTCTGACCATCTCTCCTCTCCTTAACACTGGACCAAGACCAGCATGGCCAGGAGAGCAGGGGCCCAGGCACAGGCTGACAAGAATAGCTCAAGGGAGGGGGCCCTGCAGATCTCCATCACAAGTAGTTGCGATGCCCCCAGTCCCCTCACCCCAACATGCGAGTGCCCAGGAATTTGACAAATAAGAAGAAAATGCCAGAGCTGGCAGAGCAAGAACCCTGTCCACACTGGCTCTGCTGAGGTTCTGTTATTGCTGCTGGCCTCATGGTCAGGCTGCAACGAAGCACCCAGCCACGCTGGGCCAGTGAAAGAGAGCGTTAGCACCAGGGACACAGAAGCCTCCCAGTGGAGGGGCAGGCTGGTGACAGCTCCAGTGACTATGTGACCAGTGTCCAGCCTTCCACCTGCCCCCCACAAGGGTCAAAGTGGGAAACAAGGGTCCCACTTCTGCCTATTTGTGTATGGCCTTGAACAGGCCCACTCATGCTGTAGTAGGGACCAATAGGTGACAAGACCACTTGTCCCTAGGAGAATCTTTATGCCAGGGACACAAGTTGGGAGGACCTATGGGGCTCCTGCCTGTGCCCTCCAGGGAAGGGAGACCCGGGGGGGAGGGGTAGATGTGAGTCAGCTCCTGATGAGATGCCTAGCACTAGGATCAGAAGGTTAAGAATAGCAAAGGGAAATGGAGACCCTGAGGACGCCATGGAAGCCCAGAGATCAGGGGGTGTCGGAAAGGACAAGAGCCACAGTAACCAGGAGCCTAAAAGTGGGCACTGTCCCCCCCAAGACGCTGGAGCCCCTAACCTATCATGAAGGAGCTACAATGTCCCCTGTCTTGGGGAAGGATCCACTTTCCAACCCCCCCAAACCCAGGAATAACAGGGGTGCCTGAGGGTGCTGTCAATAGGCTCTGGTTTAGAGGTTCCAGCCGTAGCCCCACAGACTCCGCCAGGCCAGGCCAGCTGCTGGCGTTCACCCCCTCCCAGCCCAGAGGACGTGTGGTGGCGTGTGGCTTGCCACAAATCCTCAAATCACTTGGGCACCTCAGGTCTGCCCGCATCTGTACAGAATAAAGTGCTTTGTTTATTGATGATTGAAATGTCCCCAGCCTCCGGGCCTCCCAAGGAGGTCAGAGGCATTCAGTACCCCCTTCCCACCAGCCCCCTTGGGCCCAGGCCTCTTCCCACTCAGGCCATGTTGGGGCAAGTAGGGGGTGGAGGGCGGGGTGGGCAGAGGGGGTGGTAAGGTGCAGAGAGTATAACGAACAGAACCATATAAACACAATGGGAAAGAGCTTAACTAGGAGAAGTGTAGCTTATAGAACCTTCCTCCCTGTTTCAAAGGCAGGAATAAAGACATTATAAATGACAACAAAAAAAGGGGGGGAGGGAATCCTATTAGTGCTGGCCTCTTGGGGGCAAGCATGGGGCCACAGGCTGGGCCGCTCACCCACCCCCTGGGCCTGAACATGCAGGCTCTACTCCCCACCCACCACTGCAGAGGCCAGCCAGAGAGGGGGGACAAGGATGCTGGGACCTGCCAGCCAGGGGTGGGCTGTGGTCAGGTCCAGCAGGGAGGTGAGGCCTTCGGAGATGAGAGACGGATGTACACCTCTCCACACCAGGGTGGCTGCTGAGGGATGGGGTGCCCTGTGCATGACAGCCCCGCCCAGCCCCACTGGTAGCACCTTGAAACCTTAAAGTATGCATCCCACACTCAGCTTCTGAGTCCCAACCCAGCCAGAGACTGGTTCTGGATGCCCCTGGGGACAAATGGCCCGCAGGGGAGTGTGGCTGGGGGTCAGCATCCCGCCCCATGCCCCACACTACCAGAGCTGAGCCTGTGGCCCCCATCAGCTTCCCCACTCCCAGCCCACACACTCAAGGCCTGCCTGGGCCCACAACACCTCCAAGGATGTCACCCCAAAGTGGTCTGGTCAGGCCAGCTGCCTCCAGCACTCCTCTCACCTGGAGTGGGGTGCTGCTGTGGCCCCTCTTTTCTTGTTCCTATACTTTGAAAAAAAAAAAAGTAAAGGCTTCAAGGAGTGGCAGAAAGGAGGGCACCATGCAGGTGTGCTGTGTGGCCAGAGCCTTAACGCGGAACCCGGCCAGCCACCCTGGCCCAGCCTGCGGCCCTCCCAAAGTGGACCCCGCGCTCCCAAGCCTAGCAGGTGCAGTCCGGCCCTTAGTTGCTGGCATTCAGCCTGCCGCTACTGCTGCCACCACCACCAGTGTTGGCCACAGTGGGGAAGAGCGGCGGTGGAGGTGGCAGGTGTGGTGGAGGTGGCAGGGTCTGGGTCAGGCCGGGGAGTAGGGGCAGGGCATGGGTCTGAGCTTGGGTGGGGGGCAGGCTGGGACCAGCAGGGGGTGCGTCACTGGCCAGTGGGTGGCTGACACGGAAGCACTTCTCCTTGTGGGCCTTGAGCATGTTGGAGAAGCGGAAGCGTTGGCCGCAGACGTCGCATGGGTATGGCTTCTCGCCAGTGTGCGTGCGCCGGTGGCGTTTCATGTTGGGCCGGCTGGTGAAGCTCTTGCCGCAGATCTCACAGATGTAGGGCTTCTCCCCTGGTTGGTTGTGCAGCGGGCTGTCAGTTGCTGGGGAGCAGCCAGAACCCAAGCCCTAGGAGCCTCCCCAGCCAGGGCCAGAGGGAGAAGGGGTGTGACCAGGCCTCCTGGAGCACTCCAACCCTGCCCCTGCCCCGTCCCCACCAACCCCGCTGGGTCTCCCCACTGTGCACCTGTGTGGGTCTTCATGTGCTCATCAAAGTACTGCTTCATGTTGAAGTCCTTGCCGCACCACTGGCACATGAACTGCTTGTGGCCGATGTGGATGCTCATGTGCGAGCGCAGCTGGTACTTGTACTGGAAGCGTTCGTTGCAGTTCTGGGGGTGCAGGTGCGGGGAGGGTGAGGCTCGGCACGCATGGGGAGGGGTTTCCGGACAAGGTGGTAGGTGTGTGTGAGGACAAGCCCAGGAGAGGATTCTGGGGGCTGTCTGGGCAGGTATGCATGCACATGAAGATCTCAGCTGGGGAACTGGGTTCTAGAGCTCCGTCATCCCCTCCTGTGGTCTCCCACCTCAGCTCTCCCTGCCTAGGGTGCTCCTGGCCCCCACCTCTGGGAGTCCAGGCCGACTTCCCATGCTGCATGTCTGGGGGGTATGGGGTAGTAAGCGGCACTTTGGGGGGTGGCAGTGGAAGGGCCCCTGAGCTTCTGGCTCCTGCTTTTCCAGCAGCTGCTGGCCCTGCTCCCCGTCCCCAGCTGGCAGCTCACCTCACAGCGGAAGGGCTTCTCCCCGGAGTGCTGCAGCGAGTGCACCTTGAGCGACATGCTACGCTTGAAGGACTTCCCGCAGGTCTCGCATGTGAAGGGCATGTCCTTGGTATGGGCTGTGGGGTGAGCACCAAGGCCAGTGTGTCTCAGGGTTCACCTCGACACCACCCCCATGCTGGACCCAGATCCTGCCTTCTGGAACAGACCTGTGGGCTGCTTCCCAGGAAGGACCCCTTCCCTCCAGGCCCTTGGCCAAAGGAAAACAATCAGGGCTGCCTTGGTCCAAAGCTTTGGGGAAAGCTGGAAGCCAGGCCCTGGGTAGGACCAGCTTCTGTCCAGACCCTAGCCAGACCACCGGCTTCCCCCTTGATCTCCCTAGGCCTATGGAACAGGGCTCACAATGGCCCAGCTGTGAGGGCTGGGGCTTCTACAGGGCGTGGTCCAAGGAAAGGCCTTGGCCTTGGGCCCAGGACAGGTGAGAAGCAACAGACTCTTCCCAGGATATCTGAGAGGAAGGCCTGGGCTCAGGGACCGCCTGGGAAGCCCAGCATGCTTGTGACTAAGGCGTAGACCCCAGGGTCCCAGTTAACACCCAACAGTCCCCAGCCTTGTTCGGACAAAAGCAAGAAGTGCTGGTCAGGGTCCTGCTGTCTGCATTGGCCACCTCTGCCTCGAGTCCCAGGCTCAGAACAAGTTCAGGAAGACGACAAGAATTCCAGTGGGGCCCATCTGGATGGCATGGCCCAAGCACATTAGAGGGCCTTCTGACTGAGTTCAGGAGTGGCTGGCCCTGGCCAGGGGGCAGGCCATATCAGGGAAAGCCTGGGCCAGTCCACATGGCACTCCACGTAATTCACAAGGATACCACCCCACGCCAAGACATACAGCTGCATGCCAGCTGGATTCTGGTGGCCTCTTGACGTCTTGTCCAGGCACTCACATGTGCACAGCAGTCGTGGCCTAAGCCTGTGCAGGCTGCACCTGCCACTGCAGCCTGCCTCACCAGGACTCCCAGCTCACCCCTCACGCTGCCCTTGGCCAGGTGCAGCCAGAGGCTGGTCCACCCATGTCTTCTGCCGTGTCCCCCTGCAGTCCAGGCTTACCGACCATGTGCTTGCGCACGTGAGCCATGGTGTAGAACTTCTTCTCGCAGATCTCACACGAAAACTTCTTCTCCGCATAGCCATGCACGATCTTGTTGTGCTCGTGGAGGGACCAAAGCTTCTTGAAAGCTTTGCCGCACGTCACACACTGTGGGGAGTGACAGCGTCAGGCCTAGGAGCCCGAGGCAGGACCCTTGCACAAGTCACACGGACCCTCTGGAGTCTCAGTGTCCCTCCCTGACACATGCTAGAGAGGGCGTAAGATCCAAGGAACAGCCAGATCTGAGGCTCCCACAGTGCAGTAAGGGAATGTTCTAACGCACTTACCTCGCCCACCACAACTGCTGCCTGGGACCCTCCTCCATCTTGGGCTCAACTAGAACCAGGGGTCATCTCTTCCAGGGGCACAGAATGGGAACATGAACACTGCTGAAACTCATGCTCTGACACCAGACAGCCCTAAGGGGAATGGATCCCCACAGGACTGACAGGGAAGGGACTGCAGGAGGCCCTGGGGCCTAAGGAGCATGGCTGTGGGGACCACATCCTCCTCCTCACAGGCCTTCAGGAGGCTGGAGGCCAAGACCTGGGCAAAAACTGGGTCAGGGTACCCATGTTAAAATGGAGGCCCAGGTATTTGGCAGGTGGCAGGCGAGTGGGAACAGGTGCTTGAGAGCAGAGCAGGTTACTACGCAAACCCCCAGGTAACACTTGTTCCCCAAGGATGCTGCAATTAGCAATTAGCTTGGGCAATTAGCACCCACCTACCTGCGGCTTAGAACCACCCTTAGGGATCCCAGTTGGCTTGCTGCCCCACACACCACCACCGAAAGCCAGCCCCTCTCCCCTGCCTCACCCTAGCAGCCCCTGCCTGCCCTGCCAAAAATGTTCAGCCCATCCTTCTTCTCCAGGCCCAGGCCTGTAGAAGCTTCCTCTAGCTGGACTATGTTTTGTGGGAAGTAGAAAATGGTACCCCACCCCCTGGTCCCCTCCCTCCAATAAGCCTGTCCTCCCTTCTTTTGTGCTTCTGTGCAGTGCAGAGCCTGTGAAGCTACACGGTGGCCCTGCTGGCCTTCCTGCAGCCCAACGGATGTTAAAACAGTCTGACTCATCCCTCCCTGAGGCTGGCTGCCCCTGGCCTCAGCCGCTCCCAGCTCTTATCCCATATCCATGGTCTCCTTCACCGCTGTGGCCAAGGGCACTGTGGGTTCCAAATCCTTCCCGTGTGCCAAGGCCCAGCTCTACCCCGAGAGCCACGAGCCGGGGTTGGCTGGTCTGACGGTCTGGGGGCTTAAGCCTGCTTTGCCCCCAGGGTGGGTGGGCAGCACCTGGAGCCCAGGGAGGCCCACCTGGATGTTGCGCTCGCAGTCTGTCTGCCGGTGCAGCAGCAGCTCGCTCTCCAGCAGGAAGCGCTTGCCGCACTGGTCGCAGATCTGCATGCGGCTGTGGGTCACGTTCATGTGCTTCTCCAGGTACCAGCGGTTGTTGAAAACCCGCGGGCACTTCTGGCAGGGGTGGTGCTGCTTCTCCTCTAGTTTCACCTTGGCCCCCAGCCCGTCAGGGGCTGGTGTGCTGCGGGCCGCTGCAGACACGACCCCGGGAGGTGGCTTCGGTCGCTTCCCACCCCGCCGCCCAGGCTCCTCTGGCTCCGGGCTGCTCCGCCGCCGGGCACCTTCCCGGGACCGTGTGGCCATGCGACTGTGGGGAGTGGGCTCTGCCTGGCTGCCCCGGCGGCCCCCAGAGCCTGCTGGCCCCTGCCTGGCCCCGGCCTCCCCTTCTTCCTCCTCTTCCTCCTCCTCCTCGGAACTCTCTGGATCCTGCTCGCTGTGTCCTTCCTCCTCCTCCTCCTCCTCCTCTTCCTGTTCACTGTGCCCTTCCTCCTCCTCATCTTCCTCCTCTCCGGGACTGCCACCCTCTTCCTCCTCCTCTTCTTCCTCCTCCTCGCCCCCACCACTACCACCACCCTCTTCTTCCTCCTCTTCTTCCTCCTCCTCCTCTTCTTCCTCCTCCTCCTCTTCTGAGTGTCTCTGCAGCCCATCGTCCCGGCCCAGCGCCATGGAGGCCGGGCTGGTCCCAGTGCCCGGCTTCCCCTCGGGCCCCGTGGACACGTGCAGGGTCTGGTTGTTCAGGTTCACCTCCACAATGATCTGGGATTGCTCCTGGCGCCCGTAGCTGCCGGGAGCCCCGAGTTCTTCCTCCAACTCCTCCCCACCCTCCAGCTTGCACAGGCTGGTGGGGGGTCCGCCAGCCTCTTCCACAACACCTTCCTTCTCCTCTTTAAAGAAGGGCTGGGCTGGCCCGAGGGCTGTAGGCACTGGGTCCCCAGCGGTCCCCGCTCTGTCCTCAACGCGCACCGAATAGGGGTCAGGGCCCTCACGGGCGTAGATCTTGGGTAGGCCGGGGGCGTCGGCCTCCTGTTTGATGTCACAGTAGTAGGGTGGTGCGGCAGGGGCACAGCTGGCCACGGGCTGTGCCAGGGCCACAGTGCTGGGGCCCGGCGGGCCTAGGGAGCGGGCGTCCAGCAGTTCCTGGCAGGATGCAGCGATGTCGGCCATCTGCAGTAAGGAGGCAGCGCTGAGCACCTCGTGGACGTTGGCCGCGTTGACCAGCAGCTTGGATGTGTAGATGAAGTTGAGGATCTGCTGCAGGCCACCGGGTGCCAGCGCCTCCAGGGACAGCTCCACACGCTGCAGCTGCTTGTTCTGGGTGAAAAGCGAGTGGAAGAACTGGCTGTAGGCGGCCAGCACGCCCTTGTGCGCAGGGAAGACGCTGCGCTGGGGCACCAGCACCAGGTCCACGTCGCAGAGGTCGGGCTGGAAGAGGCGCTGCTCGTTGAGGCGGCCCATCAAGCAGGCGAAGTGCAGCGCCACGTCCTCCACCAGCGAGAACTCGGCCGCCGGTGAGTCGGTTGTCTTCTCAACCAGCAACTGCCAAGGGGGTTGGGGGGAGACAACAGAAAAGCTCAAGGGCTGTGGGTGGCCACCCCCACTCACCCCTCCCCACTCCACTTCCCAGGCAAAAGGAGCCTGAAGGCGAGGACTCAAGTCCACTTCAGCTGACCCTCTGGGCTCAACCTCAGATTGACCGTGACCTTTTGAGGCTGATGGTCAACTCCTGGGGTCAGACCACTCACTCCCAGGCCTTTGGCTTTTTCCCTGTGAAAGGAGACGTCCCTGCAGGCAGGCAGAGGGGCTGGGAGCAGGGCTTCCAGTGATGGGACCATGACAATCCCAGGCAAGTCGGGACACAGTTGTCACCCCAGGAGGGGCTTGGTCATTCAGCCAGCATTTCCCGGGCCCCGTGCTCTCATGTGCCAGTAAGAACAAACTTGCCAGGGCCCAAACGCATCTGGTTAGGCCCAGGTGCTCGCTTCTGGCCTCTCAGAGCCAGCTGGGCAGCAAAACTGCAACATTAGAGCTCTCACCACACCAGCAGTGAGCTTCAAGGCCTAGGCCCTGAGGGCTGCTGACAGAGAAACCAGGGCCTGTCACTTCTCCCTGCTTTATCCATGGGGACTGTGAGACCCAGCCTAAGCCAGGGCTCAGGGCCACGGTCGCACTCCACCTGTCCACCCCAGGGCCTGCCCCAAGCGCCCTGCTTGGGGGCCATGTTTGGGGGCCCTGTTTGGGGGCCATCCCACATGGGAAGCCCTGTGAATGTGCCCGGTCAGCCCTGGCTCTCCCACAGCGGCCTCTGCAATCGCTGAGCAGCAGACAGGCAGCCTGCCCGGTCCCCTGCACACGGCGCAAGGTCAGCACCTGCCAGCCACCTGCCTGGCTAAACCGACCCCACCAGCTCTAGGTTCCAGGTCTGAGTCTGCCCAGCAGTGTCAAAGCCTCCCACGTGTGTCTGGCACCATGTGCAGGGCCACAAAACCAGCTGGCTACTTAGTCGCCAGCACTTCCCCCGAAGGGCCAGGGATGGGCCCTGGTCTACTCCCTCTACTGTGGGCCCTCCAGGCCAGTCTTGGGGATGCCCAGCCTTGGCAGGGGTGGCAGTGTCTAGGTCCACAGTTCCTCCATCACTTCATCCACCTCCATCTATCTAGGCCTCAGCGGGAGGCAGCATCTGCCCTGCGCACTCTCTGGGCCCCTGGCCACAGACACTCCCTCTTCTCTGAATTCAGCTACCACACCCCTTTCTCCTGTCCTGCCCAGCCCCCCACCCACTGGCCCAGAGCTGCAGGGTCATCCAGGCCTGGCTCACCTAACTCACCCAAGGGGACCAAGCCCCTTCCATCTCCTGATTTTGCTTCGGATTCATTTCCTGGGACCAAGCCCCACTGCACAGATGGGGGCATGGCCATTGAGCACAGGAGGGTCCCAAGGGCCGCAGCTCTGGCCTCCCAGCTCCAATCAGCCCACCCTTCCTGGCCAGACCAGGCACCACACCGCCTTGGCTGACCTTTCAGTCATCTGCAGGGGGCGCCCCTGGCCCCTGCACCTGCAGGCAGTGAGGGCAGAACTTCCTGAGGGGCCGACAGGAGTGAGGGACGTGGCCTGGGCCGGGACTTGTCAGGGCCCAGCCTGCTGGCAAGCTCCCCTCAGACCACCAGGACCCTGAACTCTCCAACCACCTTTCCTGGAATTCCTTCCAGTGCCAACTCCCTGGGGTAAAAGGCGACCTTCTGTGTGCACATCTGGCCTAGCCCTCTGGCCGCAAAGACTGTTGTTACATAGGAGCCCCAACCAAGCTACCAGCACCCATGGGAGCCCCTCACCCTGGCTGCCTGGGCCCAACGACTCCACCTGGACTGGACCCCTAGACAGGGCACAGGCAGGCTGAGCAGGAGCTAGCTTCCTCCCACAAAGGGCCTCCCTAGCCACATGTGCCAGCTTTCCGCAGCCACTATACACACATTGCTCAGCCAGCTGCAGCCACAGGCACATACCACTCCAAGCCCTGGGCACCTCGGGGGACTGGCTACAGGGCAGGACCAGGAAGGCAGTCAAACCTTGGGGGTCATCAGGGTGTGTGGGGGGGTGCAGGTTTCATATGCTCAAATCCTCTCCCTGAGTCAGACTGGGAACAGGTGCCAAGAACACCTGCAGAGACTGCCCAGCCTTCTGCACCTGAGGGGTATCTGGCCCCATTGGCAAGAAGCCACCCCTCCCCCCAAGCTTGGTGAGGTGACCTTTGCATCCTTTTGCACACCCCGACTCCCACCCAGAGCCTTCCATCTCTGGGTCTGGGCATCAAAGGGCAGGGGGAGTCCCAGGCTGAGCGAGGGGAGGCTGAGGGTACAAGCTCACGACCTCCAGGTTCCTTCTTCTAGGGAAGGGGTACCCCGTCGACCGCCCCTAGCCTTCCCTGGGAAATAGATTCAGAGACGGCGGAGGACCGGCCCAAGGTCACACAGGAGTTTGGGCTCCGGGCGCCCCCCGCCCTGAGGCCCGGCCCTCGCGGATCCCCAGGCAGGGCGGCTCCGGAGCCCACGTGGCCCAAGGCCCGGGCGGGAATCCGACTCCCCCTTCCCCCCTCATCACCAGCCCGAGGGCGTCGCCGTCCCGGGCGGAGGGAAGCGTCCCCATCCGCTGGAGCCCAGGGAGACCTCAGCCTCTCGCGCCGGCGCCCCCACCCCAGGAATTTAACCCGCTCCCGGCCGAGCTCCGCGCCATTAACGCCGCACTCCTGGCCCGCGGGGACCCAGCCGAAAGGGATCGCAAAGACCCGGGGGAGGCGCAGACCCCTGCAAGACCCTCTGCACCCCGAGTCAGGGTGGCGGGGCGTGCGCGCTCGAGGGCAGCGCTGGCAGGTGGGCGGATAAGCGGGGGGACAGGCAGGGCCCTGCGTACCATGATGTCGTGGCGCTGGGGGCTCACAGGGCCCCGCGGGATCGCGCTGCCCCCGGCGGCCAGGCCCGGGCCGCTCCATGAAGCGCCGCGCTGGGGGCCGCCCCCGCGCAGGGCCCCGCGACCATGGCCCCCGGGGGCGCGGCCGGGCGGGCGGAGGCGCAGGGCCGCGGCGAGTCCAGCGCCGAGCAGCTGCGGCCCCAGAGCCTCGGGCGCGGCGGGCGGGGGGCGCGGGGCGCCGATTGGAGCCCGCGCGTCAGCTGGGGCCGCCGTCTGGACGCTTAAAGGGCCAGGCCGCCCTGCGTGCCGGCGGGGGGCGCGGACACGCGTGGCGTGCGGCGTCCCCGCGTGGCGCTCCCCCTTCCCCCCCACAGGCAGGCCCCAGGGCTCACATCCCAGCGGATGGAGACCCCGACCCCACCCTCCCAAGAAGGCTCGGGCGCTCCGTGTCCTCTCTTCTCCTGGGAAGTTCGTTCGAGAGTCTAACCTTGGTGCCCGCCAGCTGTACCATCGAGACGGGGGCCGGGGTCGGAGGCTGCGGAGAAATCCGGAAGCCGGGCGCGCCAGGCAACCCCACCTCCCCACCCCCAACCCACCGTAGAAAAGGCTTCCCACCCGCTGCCCTGAACCAGCGGATTCCTGAGGGACTGAACCCTGCTGTGCCCACCATCCCCACCCTGTCGCCTCGCCAGCTCCGACCCGGGGGTGAGTCTGGGGACTTGGCTCCCGGGGACGTACTTACCTGGTGGCCTCTGGCTGCCCCAGGCTGTCCCCACCACAGCTGCGGGGATCAAGGTGGCGGTAAGGTGGGGCCCAGGCCTCACTGTCCCACCCGGAGCCGTTTGACTGTGGCGATGGTCTGCGCGCTTGCCAGGGTGGTTGTGTTGGGGAGCTGCCGCCAGGCTTGCGGAATGCTGCTCTGGCAGGGCCAGAGTGGGGGCAGGGGTCTGGCGGTGCTGGCACTGTGGGGCCCTGGGTCTGACGGGGGCAGGTGGTGACTGGCCCACCACTGTGGAGGGGAGGCACCCACGTCCTCGCAGGCCTTTCACAAGCTGTCTTCCCTATTGGGGGGGTCACTCTCACCACATGGGCCGACCTGTGCACCTGTGTGTACATCCAAGTGGGGGGCAGGGCGGCTTGGAACAGCTGATGAGCGAAGTCCCTTCAGACTGAGCAAGGAAGGCCTCCAATCAGGGCTATCCCAGAGCCCCGGAGGTGAACTGAGCACGAGGGCCAGGGGAGGGATGCATGTGGCAGAGGGAGGACGAGGAAGGGAGCCGGGGACGTGCCCCCCGCCCCCATAGCTGGGGCATGCACAAGGCCCTCGGCAGCTGCAGGGGTGCCCAACCCCTAGGGGCTCCCAGGCCAGCGTGGCCCACAGACTCCTGACTAGCTACTTACCCCTTGGCTGCCTTCCCTTTCTTCCTCCTTCCCAACTCACTTCCTCCTCCGACTCACTGTGGCTCCTGTCACCAGCCTGGAAAGCTGGCAAGAGAAAGACTGTGTGCCCATTAGTTGGCTAAGGACATTGAGGCTTTATGGCCTGCAGCCCCTAGATGGGGGGAGCTCAGGGCAGAGTCCCAGCTCTGGGAGGCAGCAGGCACAGCACATCTGGCAGGGCCTTAGTCCAACAGCCTCTCTCCTGGGGCTGCTGCAAGCTGAGGTCGGGAAGTTAACATCAGAGAGAGCCAAGGAAGGGGAAAGATCTCCTGGCAGATGGAGGCAGCGGCACAGGCCAGGTGAGTTCAGCACCTGCAGGGAACTTGAGCTGACGGGGTATGGAGCTGAGATTCTTGTCCACTGACCACAGCTAGTGTGGTTGGTAGGGGTGGCCACGAGACAGGGAAGAATACCCTGTTGGCCTTGGTGAAGAATGCACAGGGGAACTAGAGCTCCAGGATGGCATGGGCAGGCTTCCTCAAGGGGTAGATGGGACTGAATTACTGGGGTAGAGTCTGCCAGGCTAGAACTGTGTGGCCCAGGGCGAGTCAGGAGTCATTGAAGCTGCCAGTAAGGCAGAGCTCATCGGTCCAAGCCATTTGAGCTGTAGCCCCTGCCCGTGGAGGTCAGCTTGGGGGTTTCCTCACAAATTCTTGAAGTCTTCAGCAACAGGGGTGCCCACTGTGCTGGGTGTCCCCAGACTGGCGAGGCCAGATTCACCCTCAACTGAACCTGCCATGTGCTTGTGTGTTCAGGATGCCCACCTGGTTAGGGCTCAGCCTGGGGGGGGGGGTGATGCAGCTGTGTGACTGCACTGGGGGCAGGACAGAAGACGCCAGGCCAGGCACACCCCAGGGCCTGGGGCTGTGAGCATGGCAGCTGCCTTGTCCTGGCTCTGCTGAGCCCAGCATTAACAGACAGCAGCTGCTGGAGGTGGGGGGATGGGGGACCTAATGCTAACCAGCAGAGGGCCTGGTCCTTTCTCCCAGTGCAAACATCAGGCTCTTGGTATTCAAGGCCTCCCTGGCAGCTTCTAGTATCCCCTCCCATCCTGCTCACTCAAAGGCCCCTACTACTAACAGCCCCGTCCACCACACAAACCCTGAGGGACTTTTCCATCACAGTGGCAAGGCCTGGGGAGGAAACACCCCAAACCTCTCTGCCACGTTTAGTTCTAAGCATTTAATCCATGCTTCCAGCAGGGAGGGGTCCCCGGCACCCAGTGTTTCGGATGAGGAACTGAACTGTAGAGAGAGGTTAAGCAAGTTGTCCTACTCTGTTACCCAACTGGGAAGTAGCAGAGTAAACTGGAAACTGTCCGTCTGCCTCTGGCTCCTTTGCCTATAGAGATCCTTTCATTTTTTTTAAACTGCAGTCCAGTCCAATTAGGCAGGAGGCAGGGAGCTTGGTGGCAGTCCTCCATGAGCTGTCCCCGGGACCCTGGCCAGGGGTCCTGAGGCTGGTCCTGTGGGAGGCAGCTGCTCATCACCTTCCTTGCCCCAGTGGCATGCATTTTCTCACAGCGTCAACGAGCTGAGAAGCAGGCAGTCTTACAACTTCCCTGGCACATGGCAGGCAGTGTCTGTTCCAAGACTGCTGGCCGCTCAGTGTTACCCCGCTGGCCTCATGGATCCTGGTGATGGGAGATGCACCCCTCCCTAGGATAGCCAGAGCATTTAGTGAATGGAGCTGGACCTGATGGACTCGAGACAGGAGGCCCAAGTGCTTGTCCCTGGTCCCAGATTTAGCACAGCTCACCAGAGGCCTTCTGATTCATGAGGGGGAGATGAAGTGAGCCCTGCCTCTCCCTTGTACCAGGATCTCATGGCACTGGTGAAGCCTGGAGTCTGTCCCCAGGAGCTTGCAGCCTGTACGGTCACAGCACCACTGGGCGCCCAGCACTCCCGTGGCTGACCTGAGCAGCAGCAGGGGCCATTCCTTTAGCTGAAATCTAGCCTTCCCTGCCTAGTTTCACCAGCCTGAACCCTTGCTGAGCCCCGAGGCCTCCAGCTTCTCTCTTGCCTCACCCCTGCACGGCTTCCCCCACCCCCATCTCCTGCTTACAGCCTCACTCCTTCACAAGCATCAGGACCAAAGCCCGACCCACGTCCCCAGTACTATCCCAGCCAGCTCCTCGCTCTTGGAACATCATTACGGATCCTGGAATTCACTAGAAATTCACTTCATCAGATTTCTTCAAGGCAGACTTGAGCATTGTCTATTTGAAAGGGAGGCAGGCTCGGAGAGACTAAATCTTCATCTGCCGGTGAATTTCCCAAATGCCCCAGGATAAAGCCAGGAGCTCCAAACTCCATCCTGGCCTTCCCTGCGGGTGATAAGGATACACTTACTTAGGACCCTTGTCCTGAGCTAGCCTCAAGCTAGCAGGAAGTTGGTTTGGAAGTGAAGCCACTGGGACTTGAATTGGCACTCTTACACTGGGGACAGTGGCTTTAGCCCTTCTTAAGTTTTAAAGCATCGGGTCTTCAGATCTGACGTTTTTAGGAGTTGCCTGACCTGGCAGTTTACTGTTACCGTGACTAAGAAAACTGAGCAACTGCAGCGAGAAGGGACGCCACGTTCACGGAGACAAAGCCAGTTGTCCTTGCTGTGCAAGTTCTCCTTTGTCAGACTGAGCGAGTGCTGCCTTGGGGGTGCAGTGAATGGACAGTCCCCTGGGCAGCAGGACACACAGGTAGGAAGCTGGAAGCCCTGGCACCATGGATGCTCCTCCGTGTAGGGAGGTTCATCCTGCCCCCCCCCACCCCACCAGCACTAACAGCGAGAAAAGAGGCTGAGCTCTTCTCAGGCTGGGTCAAAGAACTTTGTCTTTTTTTCCATTTCAAAAGGACTATGTAGGGCCTAGCACAGTAGCCTAGTAGCTAAAGTCCTCACCTTGCACATGCTGGGATCCCACATGGGCGCCGGTTCTAATCCCAGCTGCTCCCCTTCCCATCCAGCTCCCTGCTTGTGGCCAGGGAGAGCAGTCGAGGACAGCCCAAAGCCTTGGGACTCTGCACCCTTCTGGGAGACCTGGAAGAGGCTCTGGGTTTCTGGCTTCAGATCAGTGCAGCTCCGGCTGTTGTGGCCACTAGGGGGGGTGAATCACTGGAGGGAAGATCTTCCTCTCTGTCTCTCCTCTCTGTATATCCGCCTTTCCAATGAAAAAATGATAAAAATAAATCTTTAAATAAAAAAAAAAAACTAAAGTTTGGGTGAGTAGAGAAAAATGAAACATGTGAGGAGTCAGACTAAACACTTTAATTTTTGTAAGATCCTCTTTCAAGTCTTGGGGAGGTTTATGTCACATGTATACAAATTAGACATTGCTAATATGTACAAAAGTATCTTCTACAGTTTATGAACAATATCGATATTTCATTTGCAGTAAACAGAACATTACAAAAACAGTTAAAATGCATTTTCTATTAAGCACAATACACAACATAATTCAGTTTTATTAAAAAATAACTTCACAATACAGAGCAATTATCTTTAGGGAGAAGTTGTTCCTGCAGTTCACTTCAATCAGCACAAGGGGTCACTGCAGTGGAGGGCTGGCCTCTCCCTTGTAGAAAGGGGCTTCCAGGGCTGCCCCTTCAGGGTTGGGCCCCAACCACAGCCGAGATGGGCACAACTACTCACTGCCTATGGAGGAGACTTCTGCCACACCCCCACCCCTTCCATGTGCTAATCCCTGACCCTGTGGAAATGATGAGCCCTCACTCTTGCAGTTCTGTTAGGTTCTATGGCACAACTGACCTTAAATTAAAATAGGTGATCTCTGTGGGTTTGCTCTAATGGCATGGACCCTTAAAACAGAGGAGAGGGACCTGCATCATGACAAAGACAAAGGCTTGAGGGCTTGCTGCTGGTTCAGAGATGGAGGGGACCCCAGCAGCAGGAAGGCAGGCAGTCTTGGAGAGCCCAGGAACCCCGTGCCTAGCCCACAGGACTGCCAGCAGGGAACACAAGTCTGCCCCTGAGTGAGTCTGGCCCAGTGCCGTGAAAGCAATGCTTCATTCCAACCCTGGGGGTCCATTCTGTGGGACCCTGAGCAGGAAGCTCCAGCCATCCCATGGAGGACCGAGAGCCACACAGCCGTGAGCTAGTACACGGGTGTTGCATTCCACTGCTAAACTTGAGGTACTTTCTCATACAGCAAAAAGCTGATACGCTCTCCAAAGTAACTTTCCTAGCCTAACTAGGTCCAGCAGCTTGTTGGCGTTCTGAATATGTATCTGCCCACTGGGCAGTGGGAAGCAAGTCTCCTGTGCAGGCAACTTCTGAAAATCCTTCACATGAATCAGACACTGTGTTGTGTTCCTATCAGGTCATTCTTTGCCTTAGTGTTTTCTAGCACACTTCAGTCTATTGCAACTTGGCAGGCAACTGCCCACCTAACCCTGTTTACATTCTCCGTCTGGGTGACAGTTCAGGATGTCCACGGTCTCCCCTCCTTCCACCTAGGACCCTTCCTGGCTTCCCTAGGAGTCCAGGTGAGGCCTGGGGCAGGAAGGTACCAAGTTGGACAGCGAACATCCAATATGAATTTCTTCTGCATAACTATATTAAACTGGCACTAAGGTGATTAAGTACACTTGAGGACAAAAAAAACCTAAACATTTCTTTTAAAAAGACATATATACAACATTTTATAGGTCAATGGTCTCTGGAGAACCCACCCAACACCATGAAGACAGGTAATGAACACAGCACGCTATCCCCTCTGGTCCTAGGTTCACTCATGGTTCCAACAGCAGCTGTGCAGGCAGTGCAGCCCTCACACGCAAGATGGAAAGACAGGCCTGCACTCTGCTCCAGAGCGGGCATCACTGTGGGAGCACGCTCTCCAACCGATTCCTCCAGAAACACCCCTGGGCAGCAGACCTGAGTGACCCCCAACTGTGCTGCCAATCCTGCCTATGCGGGGACCCCCAAACCACAACTGTGTTTGAGAGAAGCCCCTTAAGTAATCAAAGTGAAGATGGCTCAGAAGAAACCATTTTGGGGGCCAGTAAAATTTTAAAAAATCATTTTTGTCTCTGACAGTATTCTAATATAAAGCATATAATAATGCTTACCAAGGCACCCCAAGGTACCGAGCACCGAAGCATGAACTGGAAGAGGATGTTTTACAATCAAGACTTATGATAGCATCTATTAAAAAGCACATAAAATACCAAGTCCTCAGAGACACTGCAGGGATACAGGGTTAAGGCTGACTCCTCTTCCTAGCCTCACCCCAGGCAGCGGTCAGGCCCCAAGGCAGACCGTGGGCAACACGCTCACCCTTCCTCATCCTCTGAGACTGCAGAGCAGTAAGGAGGCAGTGACCCAGAGCCCTACTGTGTCGACCCGGGGGTAGGGGCTGGGGTCGGGGGCGTGTCTAGGAGTAAATGGAAATGACTGGACGGTCGGTCACCGTGAGCATTTCTTCACAGCCCTACACTTGGCAGTTTCTATGCTGAAACCTGAAAACCCATAAGAACAATCTATTCCAAGGGATACAAGGAATGAAGAGAGTCTACCCAAAATAATATTGCAAAGTATATGTGGTAAATTTCATAATTTCTTGATTCAAGAAAACAAAATTCATGTCTATAGTTGGCTACTGTAAAATGTGGCATAAAAATATTTTTAGGAGATATCTGTATTTTAAACCTTCTGTGTACATGTAAATTAATGAGTATCAAGAAGAGTTTTTGAAATTCACCTCTAATAGGGAAATAGAACAACAGACTACCATTAAGTTTCTTAACCTTTTAAGTTACCAGATATTTACAAATAAAGATATAATTTGTATTTAAAAAAATGGATGGTTTTCAACTGTCTCTGCTGCTTTCACTGGGGCTCCGGTGACGAGAATAACTTCGGTCACTTTCACTGTCAGAGCCATAAGATCTACAACTCCTGTATAACAACATAAACAAAATATGTAAAAACCTCTTCACTGTCAATCCTTTAGATTTCTCTAACAACTTCTTTTTTGATAAAAGTGGCTTGAAAACATGATTGTGGAGCACAACATAGCATCTTATTATAGCAACCACCATAAACTTTTCAAACATTGCAAACAGTACTGCTGTTAAGGTTAAGTTAAAGAAACCTCTTGGGAAGTTTACTTGGAATCCATTCATGCAAATGCATAGGGGTAATTTCCAAGCTCACAGTCCATGAACAGTTTCATTATTGGTACAGGAACCAAAATGCAGCCCAACAAGGGGTGGGCGTGGGTTTGTGTCTGAACATGGCCACTGGGTCTCTCAGTCAAGTGAGCCTGGTTTTGCTCACCATTCACTTATTTTGTGGGTACTCATCTCCTCCCCACCCCCGCCTTTTGGGCCTCAGGGTAATTAATAGAGATGAGACCAGCAAGAGAGGGACAGTGGGAGCCCAGGAGGGGCACGGGCTGACTCGGGACCAGGGGCCCGCGAGGGCTTGCCAGGTGTACTGTAGGAGCTACTGATTTCACGAAGCAAAAGGAGATGGCACAGCACATGCGTATCTCCAGGCAAGGCAAGGAGGGGAGCCGGGAGGGTCATCATTGGAGGGGCCGCTTGCCATGCCGTGGAGCTGAGACCTGACCGTGAAGGCAGGAGGGAGCCCTTCAAGGGTTGACAGTGGGTCCGAGCTCAGGTCTTTTACAAGGGCCACTGAAGCTGCCATGTGTGCAGCGTAAGACTAGAAGCCACCAGAAAGGGGCATTACAAAAGTTACCATAAAGATTGTAGTAGCCAAAATGTCACATGAAACATGTAATACATAAAAATATATGTATATTTTTCTAAATAAGTGATACAAACCTTAATCCTGAAGCAAATTATGACATTTTACACATTTTTTTTTTACTTAAAAAAAGAAAAATTAGCTATTCCTAGTAAATGGCGCTGCCTTAGGAAGTGGGCCATGGTTGGGGGCCTCCCTCTCTTTACTCATTCCTGAAAGACACCTGTCTGATGACATGTGAACAGTGAAAAATTCACTTGAGACGAACAATCACCAATGAATAGTGCCTGGCAGCGCTGACTGACCACCAAGGCCATGTGGAGAAGCTGCCCGAGGACTCCTGGAATCCTGTGCTCAGGCCACCACTGGCGGGTCAGCACTTGGCACCAAGTGCCCACCATGGCCTGCAGCGAAGGGAACACCCACCTGGACCGCCTGTTGTAACTTCTGCTTCGGTGGTAACTGTCGCTCCTCTGGCTTCGACTCCGACTCCGACTCCTGCTATAGTAGCTGTCGTAAGTGTAGGACCTGCTTTAACAAGAGCAGCACACAATACAGTTTCCCAGTCAGACAGTCACACGTTCCACGTCTTAGCACCTCAAGAGTGTCCTAGCTTACAACACGGGCACTAAATGACAATGTAGGAGGAACAGCTGTGTAACAAGCAAGCACAAGAAACGTTTAGCAATCACCCACGAAACTTACCAAAGGAAAGAAAAAAATGTTAACTTATTTTCTGCATTGAGAAACATCACAACATTAACACCGACTTAGTTTCACTGAATCTGGTGGTTCTTAATAGGCAATTGTATTTAATAAACACCCGTTAGCCTGTAATTACAATTTTACACTATCATTACCACTGATCTAATAGGTAAAAATCATCCAAAAGACTTTATTATTCAGAAAGGGCATGATTTCAGGAGACAAACCCATGCACTGAAGTTAGTCAATAAAACGTGACACTTTATAGTTAAGAATATGCAAAGCCAGGTCTGTAGTTCTGCCCCCACAGGTGGTACCTAACCCCTGTCCATACCTGGACCGGCTGTGGGGATCATACGAGCTGCTCCTGGATCGGCTCCTGCTGGACGTCCTAATGTTAATCACATGAAGGACCGTCATCTTGTGGGTCAGGGCAAGATAGGCTCTATCAAAAATCTAGACATTTATTTGTCCATCAGAGTGAAAGTACAGTGAAATCCTACAGCTGTATACTGGTTTTCACATGAAGAGTTGACTGGATGTTTTAAAGCCTATTTGATTCCAGAAGCTTAAGCTGTACGCAGTCCCTCTGCGGTGCACGTGAAGCAAGGCAATGGGAAGGCAGTGGACGGGGAGGGCAGGGGAGGCAGGTCGTAGGGAACTGCAGCTGCAGCACTGGAAAACACCTCAGAGGCCAAAGAGGGAAAGTAGCTGGGAAAGCGGCGTTTGGGGGTCTCCCTCCACCCCACTTCTTCCCCTTGGGGCCCTCTAGACAATGCACACATCCTGAACTTTGACCTAAGTCAAGGGAAGAGTGCAGGCGTGAACTTAGGTTAAGGAGCGAGTATCGGGGTGAGTGCAGGGAGCGGTCATGGAGCCTCTTTCTACCGCTGCCCTTGCCTCGCTCTGGTAAGACTGTTGTCCTAGCAACAGCCAGGAAGAAGTCCCTAGCTTCTGGAAAGAAAAAGCTAGGTGAGAAAATCAGCCAGTCCAGGATACCACAACTCTCCACAGCTACCCCACTCCGCTCGCAGAGACCGCAGTGAAGGCAGGTAGCCAGCTTACCTGTGGCTTTTGTAACTGCGGGAGGAACTGCTCCGGCCCCTGCTCCGGCCTCTGCTGTACCAGCCTCTGCTCCGACTCCTAGAGTAGCTTCTCGACCTACAATTAAAATGAGTGAAACCATACAGCTATATTAACCTGTCAGTTTAAATCAACTACTGGTAGCTTAGAAGGGGCAAACACACCCAGGGGAAGGTGCCCCAAACTCCTCACAGTGGCTATGAGGTGAGAGATGAGGAGGCAACCCTGTAATCGCCAGTTTCCACCAAGCAATGACAGAAAGGAATTCTTACAGGAGTCCTGTCTCAAACACCAAAAGAGGAAAAAAAAATCCAACTTCCAGGAATGGTAGAATGGGGTAAGGCACAGACTTACGACAGGTTCTAAAGTAGAAACACAAACAGCTACATTTACCAACACAGACATACTCTCTACAACACAAAGTGCAGTGCAAAAGTCAAATGTGTAGGGGACCTAAATATCTAAAAGGATTTTTACTTATGGAAAGTTCTAAAATATGCAAAAATAACTGTACAAGGACAGAAACATCTGTGATAAAAGCAACAATATTCTAACTAAAATATATAGCATTATGGTCACTTTACGAGATTTCATTGGTTCACCAAAGCTGTTTCATATCTGGTTCCTAAAAACACTGTAATCATTCATTTATGTCCTATACATTTAAGAAGGAAGTAGCGGAATTCTGCCCCTCTGCATTCCCCTGCCTCCCTCCACCCCACCCCCAACCCCAGATACTTCAGTCAAGTCGTCAGACACAGCACTGCCTCGCTGGGGAGAGGCTTCATAAGGAGTGGATGGCAAGTGTGACTCGGGATACACTTAGGTTATGGAAGACATGACCTGCTTCCAGCTGATCCGCACGAGAATGAATATATTACATTTTAACAGGGTTCTAGTCATTTGCTCATCCAAAGTTGGAGAGCCAGATTGTGAGGCGACTGTAACATATGTTCCGTCACAATTCCTGACTCCAAAGACTTCACAGCCTCATAGGCAAGTGAGGTCAGCTAGGTAATCAAACAGGATGCTGGGCAGTGGCCAGGCTTAGCTGGCTCAGCCCACTACTATGTTAACTGCACAGCCGAGAGCAAATTCCTCAGCCTTTAACTCACTGTCTTCATCTATAAACTTAAAAACCATCCATTCCAAAAGCAGGGGTAGGGAAGCTAAGAGGAGGTTGGCCAGCACCACCAACAGCTCCTGACTGACTGCACTGAAATGATAAGCAGACTGCAGCAGACTGCAACGGCATCCACATCATACAGAGACAAGGGCCAGGAATCACAAGCTTTCTGAGCCTGCTGGGGTCTAGGTGGGAACAAGGGAAGCCTTCTAACCCAAGACAAAATGGTCTGAGGGATGGGGGAGCTAGCAGAGCACTTCCTTGCAGAAGCACCTGAAAACAGATGTCGGGAGGGAAGGCACAGAAGACAGTAAGCAAGTAACCAAGGAGAGAACGGGAGACCACAGAGGGCACGCAGTGGCTACTTTTCAATGTAGTCTGAGAGAGTATGAAAAGAAAAAGACTGATTAATACCCAGAAAAATTAATTAATCAATGATTCTCATTGTGCTTTACATTCAATCAACATAAAGTACAATATTAATAAGGGTTGTGAGTAATTCAGAGGCAGGCAGAACCATGAACTATTTACACAGAAAAGAATGCAGGGCTGGAGTTGTGGGCAGAGGCTTAGGCAGCCTCCTGTGAAGATGGCATCCCATGCAAGCACCAATGGGATCTGGGATGCTTCTGCACTTCCTATCCAGCTCCTGTTAATACATCTGACAACGCAGTGAGACCAGATGAAGCTCCCGGCTTTGCCCCAACTCCAGCCTTTGCAGTCATTTAGGGGAGTGAACCAATATATATTGGAAGATCAATCTTTCTGTCTCTTCCTCTCTAATTCTACCTTTCAACTAAACAAATACATATTGGGGGTGGGGAGGAAAGGACAGGAAAGAGCAAAGCACGCAGCATAACTGCTTGCCACCTTCGATCGCCACCAGCAGCTACATTCGGGTTGTGACATGCTGTACTGTCGAGTCTACACTGATGGGAGCTGAATGCAGCCTCACCGACACCAAGCAATCAAAGATGAGCACCCAACTTAACCAACTTTGAATTCCATGTGCTCTGTACATCATTATCTGCCTTGACTGCCAAGGAAACAGGCCTACCTCTTTAAAGACAAGAAAACTGACAAGCTGTTGTGGCAACTGCTTTCTGCTGCCAGAGAGCTTTACTTAAAACTGAGCTCAAGTGTCTTCTGAAATCCCCACTCCCCATGTCCGCCAGCTGCTCTTGGGGTCAAACAGAACAAGATTTCTTACTCCCTTCTAGGTATGTTGAAATACTAACCTTGTCCCTCGCTCCCTCAAGCTATGCAACAGCTTTAGAAGCAAGGGCATCTGCTCACCGATAGGACGATGTGGCACTCCTGGACCGACTTCTCGAGTGACTGTAGGAGCCGGACCTCGTCCTGTGCCTGGACTGCGTCTCAGACTGACTCGGAGATCTGCTAGCACTCCTCGACTGGCTAGCACCGTGCCGGCTGGGCGTTTGCTCCTCGCTTGAACTCTCCTGATTTCTAGGCCTTCGGTTTAAGCGTGCTGTCTTCCTTACTTCATCAAATAGAGACCCAGGGCGAACTTTATTTTTGCTTTTGATTTCTATCCTCAAGCCCTGGGGCTTCACTTCTGGCAGGGCAGTCAGGGCCTTGACATCCACAGCACTGGACATGGCAGCAGGTGCTGCCACGTTCCCCACACCTGGCAAGGGCTTCCACTTGTTGTCCACGAGGCTGCTCTGGCTCTTCTCGGCTGCCTCCTTCTTGCCAGTACTTTCTACTGTGGCCAAACCAACAGGGCTGCCGTCCTGTTTCTCTGCTTCCCCCAGCAGTTTGCTTTCCTCTTTCACTCCCTCGGCCTCAGGGTGCTCCCTCTGCACACCCGTCTCGGGGGTGTCAGGCCGGGGCCCTCCTGCAGGGGAAGTCCCTTCTCCCTTGGCCGGGGAGGTCCTCTCAGGAGTGCATATCTCCATGTTGTCATCCGTCTGAAGCACGTCTGCCACCCCACCTGGCACACTTTTCTCATCATGCTGAATGTCTGAAGAACTGGCTGTGTTTTCCTTGGCAGGTGAAGTGGTGGGAGATCTGCTGGGTTTGCCATCCTCTTTAGTTAGCCGATCACAATCTAAGGCAACGGTTGCCGTATCTTGGCTACCTGAGAGGCTGCTCTTGCCACAGGGTTTCTCAGCTTTCGGAGTATTATTTTTTATAGTTATACTGTTGTCCGAAACTTCCTTTTGCTCTCCTGGCTCCTGGGTAACTTGCTTTTCATTAATCTCCTCCTCTTCCTCTTCCCCAAATTCTAGAGGAGGCTGCCAGTGAAACGCCTGCTTTCGCTTTGGAGCCTTGTGGTTTTTCTCTTTTTTCCCTTTCTCCTTCACCTTTCTGATGTGTTCCCTTTGAAGATCTTCCTTCGGCCCTTGTGTCTGTTTCCGTGGCTTTCCCTTACTGCTTTCTGCATTGGAACAGGACTCCTCAGAACTGGAAGCAGAAGGCTGCCGTGTGCCGCCTTGCCGAGCGCCATTGCTGTCAGACAGGGAAGCGCTGGTTGCAGATTTTGCCATGGGTCTGGCTTGGACGTGAACGCCACTCACCTCAGACTCAGAGTCTGATGTGGCCTCACCTTCCTCCTTATCAGCGGCCGGCCGGGCATGGCTTTTACTCTTCCGAGTTGCATCTCGCTCTGAGCTGGACTCGGAGTCCCATTTGCTCCCAGCGTACTGCTTCCTTTTGGGCTTACTACTATTTCTGGAGTGACCAGAAAAATTCTCTTTCAAAGTTCCTTTTTTTGAACTTGAGCATTCCTGCTCAGGCTTAGACTTCTCATCTTCTCTGGCTTTCTGCTTATCACTTGCTATTTCCATTTCGCCCTTCTCCTTCTCCTGGGCAGCACGGACACTGGACTGGTCACTGTCTGAAGAGTAATCTAAGGATGACCTACTTTCGCTATATTTTCTCTGCCGTGATGACTTGTTTCGGCGTCTGGTATATCTACTGCTGCGTGTCTTCTCAGAGCTGCTGCTGTACCTTTTATTTGAAGTGTGTTTTTTCCCACTGGATCTAAATTTCCTCTTGGCTCGTCTTCTATCATCACTGCTAACAGAAGTGTAAGATGATGATCTACTACTCCGCGAACGATCACTAAATCGATTTCGTGAATGAGATCTAGATGACGGAGACCTGGACCTTGAATGTGAGCTAGCTAGGCTATGTGACCGTGTGTATGATCTGGAATATGACCTACTCCTGGAAGACCTGCTCCTAGACCGTGTTGAGCTTTCGGAACTTCTATCACTGTATTTGGAATAAGCACTCTGATCACTTTCCACATTCTTTTCTCTCTTGTGGTAGGAAGAACTACCCGTCTCTTTCACACTCGCTCCCGTGTAAGTGCTCTGGATGGGCAGCAGGTGCGTTGTTTTAGCTTTCATCTCCTGGATCCGCTCGTAAGAGGGCTTCCAGGGCTTCTGTCCCGGCTTCCACCTCGAAGGAGGGGGACTGTCACTCAGTGGGATCACAGGGATGCTTTCTGCCACCAGCGGCTGCACCACCACGTTTTCATTTGGGGGCACTACTGCTCTTAAAGGCTCCATTTTTACTGGTTTGTTTTCACTTAACTGAGACACTGTTCTCCTGGGTGATGTTGATGGTGCCCTTTGGTGCTCCGACTTGGATTTACTTGGTGAACGTGATGAGGATTTTGATGCAGTCCTTGATCTGGAGCTTCCTCTCGAGTAGGATGGTGAGTGAGATTTCGATCTACAGGAGTCTCTGCTGGAACGGCTTGAGGAGCTTTGGTCATCCTTATCAGACTTGGACCAGTCCCTCTTGGAGGAATGCCGAGATGATAACGACGAGGAACGGGACCTCCTCTCCTGATCACAAGAGGATTTCACATGTCGAGTAGAAGACTTTGAGGACTCTATGTCAGATGGTACAACAACCCTTCTTTTCTTCGTCTGTTTGTGTCTTCGGCAGTGTTTCTGTTTTTTTGTCTTCTTTTTATGCTTAACCTTTTTCTCTTTTCTGCGTTTTTTATGGTGACTATCAGAGTGTCTTGTGCTCATGTCTGAATAATATCCATTATAGGACCATGATCGGGATCTCTGGGACAAACTCCTGTCATCCCAGCGGCTTGAGCAGGGGTCACTTAACCTATGAAAAAAGGACATGACATGCATATAGCTAGGTACAAGCACGTTTTCAATGTCTTAAAGCATACTTCATGTTAACAACAGACTACATGACATCATCAACATCTTAAGTGGACCAAGTGAAGCCCAGCTCCAGGGATCCTCAGACTGGGGTTCCAGACAGCCTGCTGACCTACTGCAGACACAACAAGGCCGCAGGATTGGTGTTTAAGAAGAGCCTCCTTTTTCAGAGAAGCTAGTAATGATGACTGTGCTTCAACAGGGACAAGCAAGACATGCCTCTAAGTTATAACTCAGTATTTGACACGAAAATGGGAGAAAAATATACAACACCAGATGAAGACAGTAGAAAATCCTACAGTGGAGGATTCCTCGGGGCCTCATGACGCGTGTCTCACCAGCTACTCTGGGGTCTATCCCACTCCTAAACAGATATGTCACTGTGGTGTCACTGAGGGGCAGAGGGACACATTTCTGAAGAAGCAACAGTTCCTGGGGCCAGAAGGCAATAACACCGGGGAGCAGGTCTCCTCTCTAACTATCAACTGATTTGTTACTACAAGACGTGGCTAGCAAAGAATATGAGGTACAACCTCTAAATCCTAACTACTTCTAAAATTCAGTCGGATAATTCTAAAAGACTGAGTAGGCTTTTAGTTGTTGTCACCCAACATTTCCAACTGCATTCCTTCTGGGCGCAGTCTAATTCTAAGTCATCCATGAAGGAGAATAGAGCCTCTGGCCCCACAGCAGAGACGCAGCAGACACTCCAAGCCCTTACTTGTCTCCTTTGCTCCACTTCTCTCCACTGGGCGGCCTGTAGGCTCTCAGCCGCTGCATTTCTGCTTTCCAGTGAGGCGGGGTTTCACTGCTGTCATCATCATCTGATTCAGAGCAGGATCTTGACCGTGGAGGAGTGTGATAGCGCTTCAAAACCAAAGGGAGGAACAGCCTTTAGCAGATGGTTCTCAGTGACAGTCTGACTCAGGACAGAGTTACAAAGACCCACCCTGATGTCCCATCACAGGGAATGATTCAAGTGCCAAAGGATGGGAAGAAGTTACTTCAAACATGGGGAGTGGACCAGCAGACAAAGATCTTTCTCTTTCTCTCCTTCTCTCTGTAAATCTGCCTTTCCAACAAAAATAAATCTTTAGAAAATAAAAAAACAAACAAAAAACCCAACCAACCAACAAAAACAAAAAAACATATAGTATTAAAAGAGATGGGAGAGACCAAGATGCACCTGTAATCCGGATTTAAACAAAGCAGTAAATTTTGATGTAAAAGAAGTACCTGCCATTTCTCTAGTTGTACACCAAATACAACCAGTTCCTTGAGCAAATCTTGTATTATACCTAAGATTTATGCTAGGATCAGTATATAGGTAAAAATGTGTTTCTACTGTTAAGTAATTTGAAAACATTTTAAGTGTCTTAACACATACAATCGTGCCTCTTCCTTTAATCTTCCGACCAGACTTTGATACAGATGGTTTCTGATCACTGGCAATGGGTGCAACATCAGGAATCTTCCTACAAAAAAATGGTGATGAAAATTAAAAATAAGCAAATACTACACAGTTGTCTCAATATTTAAATGTAAAATTTGTGTTCTAAAAATACAAAAGCATTAATTTGTCCAACATTCCACATAACCAAACTTTATAAGAAAATCCTTTAAAAGATAAAAATAAAGTTATCTAATACAAGTTCATGACACCTGTATCAACATTTTAAAGCATTTGGTTGTTTTAATAAGGACCTCTCCACCTTCTTAAAAAAATACTTATTTTTACTTGAAAAGCAGATTTCACAGAGAAATAAGGAACGATACTTAAGGTCTCCCATCCAATGGTTCACTCCCAACTGGCTGCAAAGGCCATATGCTGAACTGATTTGAAGCAGGGAGCCAGGAGCTTCTCCCACTTGGGGGCTTCCCAGGCCATGTGCAGAGAGCTGGATTGAAAGTGGAGCAGCCAAGACATGAAGTGGAACCCATTTGGGAAGCTGGCACAACAGGGTGGAGGATTAGCCAACTATGCCACTGCACTGGCCTGAAACCCTTTTTTTCAAAACAGTGATGTTCAAACATTCATTCCTTTGACAAAGGGTCAAGGTAGCATAAGATCATATGATCAGTAACCAGACTTCTCTAGACCTCCAGAGAGGAGGTCACCCAGTCTGCCCAACTGACTTCTCGTTGCCACAGTGGGAAAATGTCAGTCCTGAAGAGGTGGATGCGTGTCCCTCCCTGGGCACTCTCTATCTCTCACACCACCTTTCACAGTGTTCTCAACAGGTCAAACTGCAGTTCCGCTGATGGAAACTCCAGCAGGAGAATGCATGCCAGTCCTACTTACGGCTCTGGTTCCACAGCAACAACGGGCATATCTCTTCTCAGTAAAAAACGGTTCTCTGGCACCGGAGGAATCTCTTCTGGGCGAACCACTGGCTTCTCCCTTTTAGCATTTGAATCTCCTGATCTTTTTTCACTGGTATCACTCCTCTCACAGCAACTGAAAAAAGCAAACCAAAGCACCGGTTAAGATGTGTACTGCTTGCACCCATAATAAAAACACATAAAATTTGACATTAAAATTATCAGCTTTGGGGCCCCAGCGTGGTGGTCTAGTGGCTTAAGTCCTCAACTTGAATGCACTGGGATCCCATATGGGTACCAGTTGTAGTCCCAGCAGCCTCACTTCCCATCCAGCTCCCTGCTTGTAGCCTAGGAAAGCAGTTGAGAAAGGCCCAAAGCCTTGGGACCCCCTTGCACCGTGTGGGAGACCTGGAAGAAGCTCTTGGCTCCTGGCTTTGGATCAGCTCAGCTCTGGCGTTGTGGCCACCTGGGGAGTGAATCACTGGACAATCTTCCTCTCTGTCTCTCCTCTCTGTGTATCTGACTTTACAATAAAGACATAAATCTTTTTAAAAAAAATTATCAGCCTTGGGCCCAGCACGGTAGCCTAGCAGCTAAAGTCCTCCTCTTGCATGTGCCGGGATGCCATATGGGCACTGGTTCTAATCCTGATGGCCTGCTTCCCATCCAGCTCCCTGTTTGCAGCCTGGGAAAGCAGTCAAGAATGGCTCAAAGCCTTGGGATCTTGCACCCGCGTGGGAGACATGGAAGAGGCTCCGGGCTTTGGATCGGTGCAGCTCTAGCCACTGTGGTCACTTGGGGAGTGAATCATCATATGGAAGATCTTTCTTTCTGTTTCTCCTTTACTCTGTATATCTGGCTTTCCAATAAAAAAAAAAATAAATCTTTAAAAAAATATATCAGCCAAACTACTGGCAGCTTATAATCTCACTGGAAAATGTTATTTCACCTAAAATTATGCAACTGGTTGATAGGAAATGCCTATGCTCTTCCTAGACTTTTCAGATTTCAGTTAAAGAAGTTATCATTTTTCAACACTAGGTAACTGGACTGAGCTGACAAATGTGCACAGACTTTCTTCCTTCTCCAGAGTGTGGATCTGTGTTTCAGGTAAGGCTACTCACCCTTTTGGGCTTACTACATGTTTACTCCTTGGCTCTTCTGAACTGCTTGCTTCCTTCCGTCTCTTTCTAGAATGTTTAACTTTTGGCCTCCTCTTATGTTTTCTCCTCCTGCTTCTCTCGTGTTCAATTTCACTTTCTGAAGATGATTCAGAAGAGGAAGAGGAACTGGAAGAGGAATCCGAGTCTTCTGAACGAGTTGGTTTCTTTCTCTTCTTCTCAAAAACTTTTAAGAAACATGAACAAAAATATTAGTACTCTAAGAACCTACTCTTGAGACTAGAAAATCAGGAAATATTTTTAGCTTGTTTTAGCAAACTAAAAGCAGTAACTAAATGGACTTTTTTTTCCCAAGACAAACGACAAGTCAAGCAGGGAGAGGCCAACAGGGACCAGGAGAATGGAGGAGCTGACAGCATCATTTAAGCAGAGATCTAAAAGGAAGCGAGGGAGGTTCACATAGACTCTTTCAGCCTGAGCACAGCCTGCACAAAGTCCCTGAGTGACTGTCACGTGTGAGTGAAGTACACTGCGGTGCAAGGCAATGGACAAGGTGGAAGAGCCACAGTCAGCGCAGTCTGACCAGCAGGGCTGCTCTATCCACAACTGGAGAGATTGGACTCCCTGGGCGCAGAGGCAGCTCTTGTAGCATTCCAAGCAGAAGCAATGGTAACTTGATGTGAAACACAGTTTTAATGGGGTCATTCTGGCCATTGTTAAGGACAGATCATAGAGAGCCAAGGCTGTGAGCAAACATGTTAGGAGGCAGGCCACTGCCCGGGAAAAGATGAAAAGGAAGCCAAGGTGGAGGAGGCAAGGTGAAGAGGCTGGTAGCAAGGGGAAGTAATAAGAGGGAGGGCTTGATGAGATTTGCTGATGGTCTAGATACAGGACAGAGACAGGCCACTGCTAGACCACTAGCACAGGGTTTTCCACCCTAAAGCCCAGAAGGCATCTTTCAAGTTACAGTCTCCAACAAGGCCTGACTCCTGGCTCCTAGCTTCCTCCAACTCACAAGAGCTCTTACCATCTCTCGTTGACTTAGTAGCAATCACTCCACAGTCAATGACTCGCACATCTGCATAAGGTCTGCTGGCAGCATCAGTTTTCAGATTTTCAATTTGTTCAATTACTTCAAAACCGGAAATAACCAGTCCAAAGACAACATGTACCCTTATCAATAAAAATTCAAGAAATAGTTTGTTGATAATTAAGTTATGAACAGTAAGAGATAACTGTTATAAAAGATATGCCTACTGATAAAATAAAATCCAATTATTTGATGCATAAAACCAACTAAAGGGAACCCAAAATCTTCATGAAAGTAAAAAAGGGGTCAAACTGGGCCTCAGTCGGCTAATCCTCCTCTGCCTGTGGCACCAGCATCCCATATGGGTGCAGGTTCGAGTCCCAGCTGCCTCATTTCCAATCCTGGAAAAGCTGTGGAGGATGGCCCAGACCTTGGGCCCCGGCACCCATGTAGCAGACCTGGATGAAGCTCCCAGCTGTTGGCTTCAGACCAGCCCAGCTTTGGCCATTATGATAATTTGGGGAGAGAACCAGCAGATGGAAAAATCTTTTTAGCTCTCTCAAGTAAAAATAAATAAATCTTAAACGCAAAGCAAAACAAACAATCCACACTGATTCTTCAGCATTTTAGGCTACCGACAGAGCTGGAAGCCATCCTTCCTGGAACCTTCAAAGTCTCTTTCTGCCATGAGAGCCGCACCTGGGTCCTGTGGAGGAGCTCGGCTAGCAGAGACTGACCGCACACTGAGAGCTCCCCAGGGAGGGCTCACCCACAATGCAACCTGTCTTACAGCTGCTCACCCACCAACCAACCCCAGGTAATCATACAACTCTTACCCATCCAAGTGTGGCGCAGGTTTTGTGGTACTGTGTAATAAATATCAACACAAAGATGATGTCAAAAATGATGTGTTCAGGTGAAGAGAGCAGAAGAGTTTAAACACATGTAGAGAACAAAGAAGTAAAGATAAAAAGATGGGAAAAATTAAACACATAATAAACATCTAAGCTTAAAGTCACAAAAACAGCAAGTAATTTATTAAAAACAAAACCTCAAGATTACAAAGTAAAAATTACAAAATGATCTCTATTAGACTATATACACATATAAAATTGACTTACTTATAAGCCATATACAGTATAAACACACATTACAACTCATTCAAATCCAAAACAACAAAAACAAAACCATACAGAAAATTCAGAATATATCAGCATAATTAACAAGAAAAAGCAACTAACATTTGCCCCATGGAAAGAGGAGCCCCCCACGCTTAAACGAGTTCACTGTTATTTTCCGGAGGAGTCAGTGTGCGTCTCTAAAGGCAGGCTGGTGGAAGGTCGGTCCCAGGAGTCCTGTTCCCACAACTTCCCGACCCTTTTTCCCCTTCAGGGGAAGCTCTGCCACTCACAGCAACTCTGAAAACATACTTGGGAGAAAACCTCCAATCTAGTAACATTTCTGACTGCTAAGTGAAGTAATGATGAATAACATTCTAGACTGCCATGGCCCAGAAAACATCCCACCGGCTTCTTCCCTAATCCAAAGCTGCCGGAGAGTCCCACTCCTGTAAAGCATGTGGGGCACACCCAGATATTCTGAACCCAAGCAAGTTTTCCCATAGCATTTTCACAAATCTCACCCCATGTAAAATGCAATGGAAAAAAATTCAAAAAAAGGATAATTAGATTCAGAATTACATGCTATAAATACTTCATGTGTAAGAATGAAAAATAGGTATTTGAGAGACGGACAGGTCACTGAGTATCAGGCTAGCTAATGTAATCATACTAGAAGTTTTCAAACAAAATTCTATGTTCATTTTAGCAAATCTAGCATGTGTAAGTCAATAAAACACAATTCTAAGCTTCACAAAAATGCTAAAAAATATTTACAGTACAAGTAATTGTAATGCTTACATTTACATTAATAATACTCAATTCTGTAAGAAGATTACAGAATTTAATTTTTTTCAATTATAATGTCAAGAAGTTCCAGGATTTTAAAGGAATCTTGAATTTAAAACCATAAGTCTCAAATACGTCTTTCAGGACAGGAAAGTGAAATTCAAGCCAGTGTAATCATAAATATAAATAGGCAGCAAATTTTAAAAAGAGAAATATAATTTAGCAAATTAGTGAAGCATTAATGCTTATTAAATCATCAAAATGGCATCCAGAAACTACCCTGGACAATAAATTTTCAGACAGAAGTGTGCTTCCCACAATTATGTAACTATACCAAAGCACAGCGAAGAAGTTAGTACATGGGCTGGACAGTGACTCTACTATATGGAAGACGTAAAGAATGCTTTTTTTAAAAGGCAACAATTTCAACAATGTGAAGGATCAATTTCAAATATGCAGAAACAAACAATCAGTGAGTTACTGAATAGATTCATTTCTTCTCCTTTTTCCTCTTTCTGATATCACCTATTTTTCTAAAACATTCAGAGCCCAATTCAACTTGCCATCTTGGTGAACAGGAATTTTGTAAAAACCACCTATGGCAAACCTTTGGAGCAAATGGTACGAAGAACACTCCAACTCCTACAGTGACACAGCAAGCTACTACTTGAGATTCAGTCTGCGCATGGACCAGCTCTCTCTGATAGTCATACTTTGTTTTAATGCAAAATAAAACTGAAGAATCAACAACCATGGTCCTTGACTGCAGTAGTGAAGAAAAACAAAGACAAGAATAACTTTTAAAAACCTTCAGCCTGCCCATGGTACCTAAACTAATCTGAAAAATTTCATTATTCCTATCTGAAATTCAGGATGCAGAAACATAAATTTGGCTAGACTATGTACTAAGAATACTGAAGATTTATATATTTTTTTCTCCTGCCACACCCCCAAAGACTATATATTAAGAATACTGAAAGTATTTTTAAAAAATAAGGCCTCTGGGTTTCTAAGCCTATATTCCAGGAGCAGAGATCCCAAAGAAAAACAGGCTTGTTGCCAGCAGGCCAACCCTTAGAGACACAATCCAGGGAGGAGATTAACAAAGGGGACTAGGAGAGGGCAGGGGGATGAGATGCTCAGCCCTGGCTGATAAAACTGGCATCGTGTTTTCATCCCACGAACATCCTGGATCCATCTTTGAACACCACAGAGCCTTTTCAAGAACAGGGCAGTGGTGACACAGCGCAGAATGTTAAGACTTGAAGAAAAGGCCTAGAAGCTGAAGGTTTATTCAAGCTTATTAAGATATACCGAAAGGAAAAATAATCACAGAGAACATTTCAACTTATAAAACCTTCCAATCTTTACAGTTCAGTTTTCTCATTAGAGACACTGATTTCTCAGTTTTCCCCTCCTTAGATTCTACTTTAAAAATATTAAGTGCAAAAGTCATATAAACTTTGTAAATCCTAAGAATCGAAAGTGTCACTGTTATCCCCAAAACAATTTTCTTTTGTATACCATTATCAGAGACATTTTTGGCTTTTCTGCAGAATTTACTAAGTCTGCACTGAAATGAAAACTAAAGCTCTGATTTTAAATATAAATCCATTTGCCATTTGATGTGTGGAAACTCGGTGGAAACAAGCCACTAACACTAAACTTTCAGGATTAAGCGTGAGCAATAAAACACCCTGGTTTTACATGTATTGATGCTACACAGATCAAGCAGAAAGCTTTTTTTTTTTTTCTTAAAATGTTTCAAAGCACAAAACAACAGGATTAAAGAGATAAAGGCAAAGAAAGAGAAAGAGCCTTAAGAGTAATGAGACATTACCTTTGGAGCGCACGATGTAACACTCTTTCTGTAAATTTTACACAAAAATGGCAAGAAATAAATTGTAATACACTTTTAAGACAAGACTGAAACTATGTTTTAATATCAATATAACTTTGAAATTAAATATTTTCAAGTTTATGCAAAGCAAGAAAGCTTTTTAAAATGGAGGGCTCTAAATTTTCTTTCATTTGGGATATTTGTGTAGAGATGAGTAATGCTTAAGAAAAGTACTGGGGTTAAAGTAAGAGCCTGTTCAAAATCTTAATACTATAACACCAGATTGCCAATCATACCTAGTAACAAAACATTACATGTCCTTCTACAAAACCCCAGAAACTAAGACAACTAACGGCTTTCTCAAAAAGAGAAGAATGCATCTTGAGTACACACCTAGACATAAGACCAAATGCCCAGGAGCAGTTACAGTGAGTTGAAGCAAAAGTTTCATTGGAAAAAAAACTGAATGAAGATAATGCAAACACAATTTCAAGATACTTTTTACTAGTTCATTTCACTTATAACAAACCACCTCAAGGAATTAATGAGCAACTGTTTGCACTATAGTTACGTTCACTACCATTACATACACCTAGACACTGGTAAGTCACCAAATATGAAAACAACAATAAAATAATATAGCAGCATGATTAGAATTTTAGGGTGCTTCTGGGAGGATAAAAAGCCAAGAGGGAAAGAAGTGTTAAGAGTGTACTGTAAACTGTGGCCACTGCATTTCCGTTTTATGATTTCCCCCCCTATAAATATACATTTTTTTCCAAACCTTTTTAACTGTGTGAGATCTCCAACATACCTACTGCACTCAAACCAATAATCCCTCATATACCATAAACAAAATGCTCCACAATGGTCTTTGGACAGTTTTTAAATATTTAAAAACAAGCTATGACTTCTTGTGAATATACTGACACATACACTGGTGTTAGAAAAGCACATAATGTTTGAGATAATGTGGAGTTTTCAATGAAATGTTGAGAAAATAAACAATTCTAGGTATAAAATTGTTCAGAGGGGAAAAACAAAGGAAGACAAATTCAGCTCCTATGGCTTCCATACCATGAAGAGACACCAAATGACCCAAAATGCCAAAGCCTGTGTGACAGCATCAGAAATGAACCAGGTTCAATGAAGGATGCTCTCCCCATGAGTCCAAGTCACCCAAGGAGATAGGCTTCCCCAAATCCAGCTCTAACCTGACGTAACACACAAAATTGCTTCTTTGTTACTTATATATACATCACATAGCACTAAATGTTAAACCCCAGATGTGGGGGACAGCAGTAACACTCAGAACTTCCCTGCTTCATGGAATATTTGGAAATCAGCCTAGGAAACTATTACCCAAAAAGGGGAAAGAAAAAGAACTTCTCAGACTACTAACACTTGCTAACATTTTTTTTTCACATATATTTATGAACATGTGAGCAGAAAAAGCACTTCCACCCCAAATCTATTCAAATGTCACTATAACTTTGCAAACCTTTAAAACCAACCCTCCCCTGAACTCTTCACTGCTCTAAAATGATAAGTACTCTCTCCCATTCAGGCAAGCAGCTACTTGCAAGTCTGATTCTCAAATGACAAACAATTTTACACCTTGGCCTACTCCCCACCCCCCGTCAGCTGATGGCTAACCTTCCTGCTTAAAGGCTGACTTTTCCACAACCTGACAGGGACCAATGAGCGAAACCGTCCCCCACAGTTCTTGAGGGCTCTATTCCTTAGTAACCAGAGCCACAAAGGCCCTGCCCTAGCTGCAACTGATGAGACAGCTTCTGCCCGATGCAGGCCAGAAAAGGCTCAATGCAAGCTTTAACACACCTTGCAGACTCATGAAAGTTAGGCAACTGTATCCATTTCCTTTAGAGGAGACAAGGTTTAAAAAAAATCAGAAACTCAGGATCACCCCACAAAATATTTTATAACATTCTCACACCAAAATGTTTACCTTTGAAAGTAGGGATAGACACTTCATTAAAAAAAATAAAATAATAACAGACAAAACTTCAAGGTACATAGAAATAAAACGAAAACGAAAGCGTCCTGACAGTTAGCTCAGCATCTTCTCCAAAATACTCAACACAGTTACAAATTATCTGACCTTTTAAATGATCACTTCACATGTCCTCTTTGTCTTTTTGATGAAAGTACATGAAAATTAGAACCAGAGTGAATAAACAAAAGCTAAGAGAGAAAAGATTCCCTAAAAATGCTTCTAGCTAGATCTTGACACTTAAGTAAAATAAAGTAAATGCAGAGCTGAGACAATAATAAAATTATTAGCTTATATAGTGTGCAGATCCTTTTCCTGGCTATTCATTTCTTCTGTTATGAGCAAAATTTCTATACTCTTGCAAGGAGTTTTATTCATTATCTAGTCTTATCTATAAATAAAAAGCTTGAATTTGAGCTCTTTAAGTCCCTTCCTTTCCACTGTAAGACTATAATCTTACAGCTTTTCTTGTGGCTCTTTACTAGTCTTAGACCTAAAGACAAAATGAGTAAACACCAAATTAACTTGGTAACTTTGGTCTCAAGTCTTGCCATGCCTTCAAACATACTTGAGCATAACAAACCATTGTTTCTTCAGTGATTTAGTATCACTTCTTTCCCATTTCTTTAACAGCATTATTTCAAAAAGTCATAAGTTTTTTCTTATATAAGCTCCCCCAAAGCAACATCATTATGTCAAATAAATAGATATAATTATTATAAGAAATTTGAATAGCTTTATAGAAGAAAATCTGGTTTGTTATACACATATTTGTTCCAGCCAAAGACGGCAAGATAAACAAAATTACATAAAAATGATGCATGCTTTAGAAGGGGAAGTGTTTAAGTATATATGTAATACGTACACTATTTAACGCACAAGGATAGGATTCCTTGAAGGAGATCTTACAACACCCACATTAACAGTACCAAATTTACTCCTTAGGAATTGCAAAGGAACAGATTAACAAAAACAACCAATACAATGTTGCAAAGGCGAATTAAAAATTCTTATTAAGCTTATAAAACAGAACTATAAAACCATTTCTTTCAATGTTACTACCTGTTCTTATACTATCCTTTTTCAGATTTCAGAACTATTGCTCAAGCTCCCACAGGAGCATGGTGAAGCCATGCGTTGACTCCATTAACATCAGGGCCATTTTCCATGATCATATACACAACTCGAAACAGTGCATTATACTTTTACACTACTTTCAACAGGTTTCTTTCTTGGGCCCCCATCTGCATTTTACATATCTCTTCCATAAAACCAAGAATATTTTTTGCTCAGAAATGTGAATATTAGCTTGACTTATCCTGCAACACACAGGAAACTCTTATTTTCAGCCAGCATAAAGAAAGTACTCAGGCACAAATGACTCTTTAAAAAAAAAAAAAAAGATGATGGGGCCTGGCGGTGTGGCCTAGTGGCTAAAGTCCTCGCCCTGAACCCGCCTGGATCCCAAATGGGCACCGGTTCTAATCCCGCAGCCCAGCTTCCCATCCAGCTCCCTGCTTGTGGCCTGGGAAAGCAGTCGAGGACGGCCCAAAGCTTTGGGACCCTGCTCCCGTGTGGGAGACCCAGAAGAAGTCCCTGCTTCCTGGCTTCGGCTTTGGATCAGTGCAGCACCGGCCGTTGCGCTCACTTGGGGAGTAAATCACTGGACGGAAGATCTTCCCCCTCTGTCTCTCCTCCTCTCTGTATATCTGACTTTGTAATAAAAAATAAATAAATCTTAAAAAAAAAGAGGAGATTTTGTGTGTGCAAGCACACTCAGGCACTTCCCATACTGTTTTTGCAAATGCTTTCCAAAAGAATTAAACTGCAAATAAAAAGGAAAATGTTTTCTTCTGATAGCAAGTTCATGGTGATTTAAGTGCCATTTGCAGGTACTAATGAAAATTCCAATTTATTTCTGCTAAAATTTTCATTTGACAATCCTCTCAAAAAGGTCAATGTAAAATTAGATCATGTATAAAATAGTAATAGCCTTAAAAAATACTCCCAAAAACTAATTAAGTACTGAAAAACACACAAATAAAGATACTTCATACAGTTTTTAAAGAATGTTAGTGTGTGTAGGTGTGCTAATTTTAGTTGTTAACATCTGATAAACAAGCTAATCTGAGTGTAATAATGGCAAGAAGCTGCTATTACCTGGTAAACCACAAGTTTAATGTACTGATATAAAAAAAAATCGAAAAGAAACTTTAGAGCCCTCAGATGATAGCTTCTTGACCAATGAATCATTACTTATCATGTTCACAGTTCAGATAAGATTAAAAATGGAAATGGGAAACCTCAAAGAGTAAATATTATTTACTAAAAATGACATTTTTAGAAGATTTCTCCCCATTTTTATTGGCCCTTAAGAAGGTTAAGAATTAAAAAACACTATCATAAAGAAATGTAATATCTAATATAACCTGTGGAAACAACTGTTTCAGATTTTTTTCCTGTGTAACTCTAAGTATAATCTTAAGTACCAGCTTTCCATTTTTAAGACATTCTTAGGAACAGAATGGCCCTTATCTGAACTTATCAGATCATATCAGAAATATATTTGTCAGAGTTAAAACGTGAGTTTTTAAATATGAGTAATTCACTCCTTTACAGAGAGAAGCGCCATTCATACTCATCCATTCAGAAAGATGACAACAAAAACTTTCCCTGATAAATCACGAATAAACTCTTAAACATACATAGCACAACTGAGATTTATTTCCAATCAAAAGTATTAATCTGCCTGCTACACTCCTACTTCACACTTCATATGATTGGATTATAATAAAGCAAGGCTTTAAAATGGGTTTAGATGAAAATATAACAGAGTATGTCAAAGGTCTTATTTGGGATTTTCAGATGAGAACTATGTTTATAGTTGTGCATACAAGTACATGTAAAGATGTTTATTTTTCAAAAAGCACATTTAGTATTCTGAAGTTCCTTGGTGATAATTTCATGATAAATTCTGACAGATGTGATAGGAACATCAGGTTTAATCAATTACACAAAAACCTCACTGAGCTTTGAAAAATGCTGGCTCAACAGCAAATCACCTATTCATTTGAAAATGACACTAGTCTCAAAATCAGCTCAAAGAGCAACATTAAAGGCCAAACCACCACCACACATAATTTAAATTAACTACTTTTCATGTCAAAGGGTCCATCTGGCCCTATACCACGAGCAAGTTAATGTTCTGATGATAATTTTGGTAAACTGAGTCTCCAAATTTGGTAGAGGCCAGAGCCAATTTCTTTTGTTATACAAGTTTATTTCGAAACAAAAAAAAAAAAAAAAAAAAGAAAAGAAAGGAAAAAAAAAAAAGCGTGTATCTTTATGTTTTTTAAGTTGTACTCTTCAGATCCAGGATTTACGCTGAATACTGAACTGGCCGGGAGAGCTTCCCAGTTACTAGACCATGAGAGACTAACACAACTTGACGGAATTTTGGCATTAAACTTGGTTTAACTGTACCATCTTTCTTATGAACAGCGCTTCTCTGGGTGGGAAAAGCTCATCTGAATTACCCCTACTCACATGAAAAACTGGGAACCATTGGTGTGTTTCCCTCGATTTGCCATTGACAAAAGGAACGCTCTGTCATGTTTGAGAATAAAGTTTTCATCTGTTTGAAGAAAACACAAATCTGTCAGTCTCCAATTATAGGTCATTTTTAAAGTCATGTTCAAGTAATAAATAGAAAGCAAAAGATGACAATCCTCTTCTGGTCAGTACACATGACTGAGTATTTAGAAAACATTTTAACTAATCAAATATCAAGCAGAAAAAGGCCAAAAGATACTAATGAAAGCCTTAAAGAAGAGAACATATATTCAATACTTTATACAAATAGCCTTAGAACAGTCACTTTCAGTAGTAATATTTATCTAAATGACATTAAAGTCACAGCTTTCAGGGAAAACCAAAAAGGAAATCTTCAGCATAGCCTCTTAGTAAAGTTCATGTCTTCTACATTTCCAATTAGGATGTTATGTATACATCACTCATGGAGGGTTTAATAACCCTCTTGTACACTTCATCTTCAAATGATAAATTTACTATTCTAAAGAAATGAAGCTAGTCTACAACAGCAAAACTGAATGACATATATTATGTTGTAGGGACATGTTTAAATTAAATTAGGTTCTTGGATAATCAATAGGATCACAAAAGTATCTAAGGAAGAAGAATGTTCCGGAGAAATAAAAATGTAAGTGGCCAAATATCATTTTAAGGCGCAAAAGTACCTGCCACAAGGAACAATCACACCAGTGTTCAACAGAACTTACTTTGAAATTATTACATGTAAGCAGAACCTGCTAAATAGTTGTTCCCAACTAGTTCAAAGGAAAAAAAAATCCTGAATAAAGATCAGAGGATTTTTAATTCCAGCAGAAATATGCTTCAAAACTAATTTAAGCTTCTTTTTAACAATCATACAAACAAAACCTTTTTCTTCTCTTTTCTCTCTCTTTTTTTTTTTTAAGAACAAACAAACATAGAAACTAAAAAAATGATTACCTTTGTAACAGGCTTCTGAAAAAGAGTAGTAATCCATTTTCTCCCAAAGGAAATATAAAAGACTATTATGAAACTGAAGCTATCACAGTGCTAAAATCTAGTTACATTGGATTCCATCATAAATTTCTGCAACTGACTTTTCTAAGGCTTTTTGGGGCAAGTGCAAATAGTTAGACTTATGCAAATGGTACTACTGTAGAAATAAACACATTATATAGTTCCAGTATACAAGAGAAAACATACAAACCTTTGAGAAAGGAGAAAATACAAACTTTTATTGAAAGAAATTGTTTTGTTTAGGGGGAAAAAAACCCGTAAGAAGGTTCTTTTCCCTGATGTGGAACTCACAACCATTGGGCAACGAAAAAAAAGATACAAATGCATGTGTGAAATAATATAGAGCTTTCCAAGTCTTCAAGCAATATAGAAATCCAGCAACAACCTGGCCCAGACTATCCATCAATTTATTAGGAAGGGTGCAAGGGAACAGAATCGGAGCTTGTGTTACTGAGCTTTGTTCTCTTACCTTTTCATTTTGCAAAAGACCACATTCTCTATAAACAAAAGAATATGTTGACAGTTTTAGGCAGGAAGATAGGAGTTTTCATGTATATAGTTGCCTAACCTCCATGCTGAAAGTCATGTTTAACCATAAAAGTTAGCTTTAATTAATTTTGTCAATTATAAGTTACATATTATAATTTATCCCCAAATACATGCAAATAAAGTATTTCATGCAACATTAGTTCCATGCAAAAAAGTGAACTAAAAGTAAACCTCTTCTCATTAAAGTATATAATAAATTTGCTTTACTATCAGAACTGATACAAGACCATAAAATACTAAGCCTTACCTTTAAAATATCCACCATAAATTGATTCTCCACCTTTCCCATTACCTGTAAATAATGGATGACAGTAAGCCATAAAAAAATTTAAAAACACGTTGGTACATATAAAGTGTGTTTTAATGGTTTCAGTTTGCCAAAGGAAACCCTGAACCATGTAATCGCTGCAGATGAACTCTATCTAGAAAAATATAAGCCGAAGCTCATTGCAACAAATACAGTTACAAAATGGTTTCCATGACCCACTTCTTTCAATCAGCAATCACACTAACAAAATTCTAAAACAAATGCAATTTGAACAGCACATTGGCATTCAACTCTAACGGAATTTTCCACATAAATTACATTACTAAAACAAACTACATAACAAAGTAATGCTTTTTCAATATTCTGGCTCTATAACATCCATGCATCCAATAGCTATAACAACATAACATTTACATCATACTGTGGTACAATATTTACAATTCAAAGCATTAACGAGACACTTTAAAAACTGAAGGAGTTAGGGAGGAAATAAGTTTTAGCTCTACCTTCACTGAAGTCCCCACCCTGAATCATGAAGTTTTTCACCACACGATGGAAGGTAGAACCTTTATAACATAACTTCTTTCCAGTTGTTTTCCCAAGGCCTTTCTCCCCTGGGGGGGTGGGTAAAAAAAGGAAATGATTTTTGCTGCAAAACCATCCTTCAATGAAAAGAACTACAAAATTAATCCTTAGTCAAATCCCTCCTTTGTGCTGGGAAGTATTAAGAGATATGAGAAATAGCACGGCTATTTAACATATCAGCCAAAATAAACAATAAAAGTGGCACAGCAATGTTTAAAATCGTGTGACAAAGACTACAAGCGACAGATTGAGACTGAAGACAGTAATCACTTTGTAACCCAGGAGTTGTTTGTGGGGCAAGCTTCGTGGTACAGCAGGCGAGCCCTCTGTGTAAGTCCTGGCTCCTCCACTCCAGATCCGGCTCCCTGCTAACGGCTTGGGAAAACGGGACACAGCCACCCACATGAAAAACCTGGGCAATGGGTCAGTAGGTGGAACAGCCCTCTCCCGCTTTCTGATAAATGGACTTAAAAAAAAAAGTAAAAAGAAACTGCTTAAAAGATTGTGTTTATATATTCAAGCATGGATTAAAAAATTTAGCGGACAAACTTGTAATTTTAAAGTTACACTATAGGTTATCATCTCCATTTTTCTACTCACCCAAAATATAAACCTAAATATATGCATAGTACACAGCTTCATTATGTTTTTACCTTTTTGCAAACCCTAGATTTCTTATGAATTCCATGTGCTTTCAAAGCAGTGAAAGTTATCCTAAGGCAAGACAATCTTTTACTGTATTAACTCTAATATATAGGGACAGTCCATTATAGATTGTTACTCTTTTCATTTTAAAAACCATTCTCTTCTCTTTTCTTTAAGAAATGCTTCCTTGATTACATACAGAAATCAGGGTAAATCATTTTTTATTTGCAAAACTCACTTCACAGCACTTCACTTTTCCTGAAGTTAGTAAAGCTCTGTAACTCACTGGGAGTAAGCATCATGGTCCAGGATGCTAAGCTGCTGCTTGGGACAACCATACCCTACAGGAGAGTGATGCTGCAAGTTCTAGCTCCTCAGCTTTGGATTCAGCTCCCTGCTAACGTGCCTGGTAAGGCAGCAGACGATGGTCCTGGTATTTGGGTCGCTGCTACCCACCTAACAGACCCAGATGGTCTGGCCCAGTTCTGACTGTTTGGGGTATGAACTAAAAGACAGAAACTACTTTCAAATAAATAAATCTTTTTTTAAAGAAAAAAATCAGCCTTTTTATGCTATGACTTTTCATTGGAAATAATTCAATAATCCACTTACCTGAGCACAGACAAAGGAAGTTTTTGCAAGTTTTTGGACATATGTCTGAGAAGAGCTGAAACATAATACGACCAACTGAAATAAAATACACAGGGAGAAAAAAGCCAAAAAGGAAATTAACTAAATATCTAATATGGAATAAAGAAAACAAACTGAACTGATAAATTAGAAGCTACAAGTTTGTAATTCATTTTAATTTTGAAAAAGATTTAATGGAATAGAGTTTAACTGGAAGATACCAAGTAACAAGAGCTCCAATCCACTGGTTAATGTTAAAAGTTGCATCCAGCCAAAGTGATTCCAGTCCTAGAACTATAGGACTTCAAGTGATTTTTACAGGGATCTACACTACTAGATTCCTTTTAGTAAAGTTCTCTCCTGAACTATTAACTGTCTTTTAAAATATTCCCAATTACTGGCTATCTGATCTACGTGTGGACCTGCCAGTGAGGACAGACCATCCTATCATTCTGCCCAGCACTGCTGGGGAGTTCCGTCATCTACTTTCAGCTCTTTCGCTTTCTGGAAGAACTGCTTAGGCCAGTTTCCTAAGGTGAACCACATAACAGACAGCTTAGGTTATGGCTGCTCAAAACAAAACAGTTCAGATGCAATGGGATGCTCCTGCTCCATCTTGGAGTGCTGAGGTTGGATTGCAGCTCCACCCCCAGTTCTAGGTTCCTGCTAAGACACATCCTGGGTGGCAGAGGTGATGGTTCAAGTACTGAGGTCTCTGCCGTCTAAGTGAGACTGCCGGGTTCAAGGTCTGGCTCCAGCACTTGGCTCCAACTTCCTCCTAATGCAAACACTGGGAGGCAGCGGTAACCCACAAGTGCTCAGAACTGTGTCATCCACATGGCACAATTCAACTGCATTCTCAGTTCCCACCTGATCCAGTCTAGCCTATGTGGTTATCACTCTGCCTGCCAAAATAAATATATAAATAAACAAACGTATCTTTAAAAGAAAGTAAGAAATATTCTAAGCTGAAAGAAATGAGCAACATTTCAAAACTGTGAGCTGCACACGTGGGCCCCTGGCAGCAGGCAGCCCACCCCAGCTTTCATGGCCATCTGAGGTGTGATTTTGCCCTTCCCTTCTCTCTCTGTAACTCTGCCTTTCAAATGAGAGGGAAAAACAAGTGGGATGCTGTGGGGAGCCATGCAGTTGGGTCAGATGGCATGGGTGTGTGATGAGCACTGCTCCTCAGTTAGCAAGGTTGCGAGGAGTTTCTGGCTGCGTGGCAAGGCCCGGCAGAATGTCTCTGGTCACCTCATTGCTGCCTCACCCCACTGTATGGACACTCAATCTGATGTTTCAAAGAATTCTTCTGAGGGTGTTGCTGTTGTTTTTCTGCTAATGTGAAGTGATTCCTGTAACTGGTATGACACCTCAAAATGATCAATCATGTTATGATAAAAACACCTTTCCTAACATAAGGCTATGTGTATGGCACACAGTTAAAAGTATACAGTACTACAATTGAACCCACAGTGTTTCCAAACATCTTGTTATGTGCTCACTTTTGTCCTGAAGTTTGCCCTAATATGATTAATGTTTTCCTTAAGAAATGGCTTGATAATATCTTGGAACAGATGGCAATCATGGAGGTATAAAGAGTTTGTTTACCATGCACCTCGAACTGTTAAAACACATGATACGACGCATTTTAGTTTCTTACCACAGAAAGCAAAAAAGTATATGGGGCATCTTTTATAAGGAAATAGACGTGAACCTCCTCAAAATGGCTTAAAATCTCTATCTTATATTGGCACTTATATTTAGGGAAAGAAAACAGTTTATATAGATGAAAGAAAGTTTCTTGTAAAGGCCCTCTGTTTGTAGATTGGCTGAGCTGCCTTGATCCCTTTCACTGCCCTTTAACAAAAGAATGAAAAACAATTGAATCAGAAATAGGTGAAGGTGACGGTAATTAATGCATGATTTGATTACAAGATTTAGCAAAGGACCCATGTTATACGCTTTTATAAAATCCTTTCATTTATGACCTTTTAATTTTGTATTCTTAATATTTCAAGCAATATTAGTCAGTCTGTGTTTAGTAAAAATTGATTTTGAGTATAAGTAAACTACTTGTCACTATGTAACCACATGCGCTGCCAACCGTGGAGTTCCTGGCTTCAGCCAGGTGACTGCAGGTTTCAATGAGTAATGGTTTGTTGAAAATATTTTCCTTAGGATTGTTTTTTGTATTCTCTCAATCATGAAGTAAAAATGAAACAATTGGATATTGTGCAAAAGCTCGTGACGATTTGTGTATAAATAAAGAAGGCAACTTTCCTCAGTTGTCCATTATGAGCATCATGTCATAGTGGTCCGTGTCTTATCTCTTCTTCCTATCATCTCGCCGATCCACGCATCCTTTGCAAGCTCTCAGTCAGCCAGAGCTGGTCTCCGGCAGGATGCATCTAAGTTTCCTTTGATATGTAGTTATAGTGTTAAATGCATATCTTACAAAAGTACCAAATGAAAACAAGCTAGGCTTTTACTTTAAGAAACCATAAAAAGGGGCATGAACCCAGTGTGGTAGCCCAGAGACTAAAGTCCTTGCCTTGTATGCACTGGGATCCCATATGGGTGATGGTTCCTATCCCAGCTGCTCCACTTCCCATCCAGCTCCCTGCTTGTGGCCTGGGAAAGTAGTCGATGACAGCCCAATGCCTTGGGACCCTGTACCCACGTGGGAGACCCAGAAGAAGCTCCTGGCTCCTGACTTCAGATCATCTCAGCTCTGGCCATTGTGGCCACTTCAGAGGTGAACCAGTGGATGGAAGATCTTTCCCTCTGTATCTCCTTCTCTATATATCAGACTTTCCAATAAAAATAATCTTTTTAAAAAGGGGGTGAGGTGGGGGACAGGTGTAATGGCTTAGTGGGATAATCCTCTGCCTGCAAGTGCTTGCACCCCTATGGGCACTGGTTTGAATGCTCCACTTCCCTTCCAGCTCTCTGCTCGTGGCCCAGGAAAAGAAGCAGAGGATGCATGACCAACTTAGGAGAACTGACAGAAGCTCCTGGCTCCGGATCAGCTCAGCTCCAGCTGCTATGGCCATTTGAGAAGCAAACCAGCAGATGGAAGATCTTTCTGTCTCTGCTTCTCTCTGTAGATATGCTTTTACAATAAAAATGAATAAATCTTAAAGAAAGAAATACTAAGTATAAAATAAAAACAAAGTTATCATTAGAAAGGAAATAAGAGAACCAAAATTAATGAAAATAAAAAAAATTTCAGACAAAAGCATAGTTATTTGAAAAGATAATATCAATATGAAGAATGAAGGTAATATTACACAGACTTCAAGAGCCACTAAATTAAGTCACTAAGGCAAATAACTCCATAAGAAAATAAATGTAACCAGTTAGATTAAATGCACCAATTTTTTTAGATTTTATTTTTATTGGAAATAAAAGCCACAAACTACCAAAATATGCCTTAGAAATATACAATGTGAATATTCATATTATAAAAAATATTAGTTAAAAGCTTAAATAATCAGGCCCAGTGCAATAGCCTAGTGGCTAAATCCTTGCCTTGCGTCCCTGGGATCTCATATGGGTGCCAGTTTGTGTCCCAGCTGCTGTACTTCCCATCCAGCTCCCTGCCTGCAGCCTGGGAGGGCAGCAGAGGACGGCCCACAGCCCTGGGACCTGCACCTGTGGCAGATGGGGGTAGGGGAGCAGCTCCCAGTTCCTGGCTTTGGGCGGGCTCAGCTCTGGTCACTTGGGGAGAGAAGGAGCGGACGAAGCTCTTTTCTTCTATATCTAGTTCTCTGTACATCTGACTTGCAAATAAAAATAAATAAATCTTAAAAAAAGAAAAACAGCCTAACAATCTTGGATTCACAGTGGAGAACTCACAAATTTAAAACCTTTTTCCTTTAACATATACTTGCTTTCATTCATTAGCTTCATAATTTAAAAATTAAGATGCTTCTTCTAAAATGTATACATTTACATTAATACTAATGCAAAATATATACTGTGCTGTAATCAACTCAGCTTAGGATTCATTTTTATTGGAAAGGCAGATCAGATTTATGGATAGGAAAGACAAAGATCTTCCATCTGCTGGTTCACTCCGCAAGTGGCCACAGGCCAGGGCTGAGCCGATCTGAAGTCAGGAGCCAGGAGCTTCCTCCAGGTCTCCCACGCGGGTGCAGGGTCCCAAGGCTTTGGGCCGTCAGCGATTGCTTTCCCAGGCCACAAGCAGGGAGCTGGACAGGAAGTGGAGCAGTAGGATCCATATCGGATCCTGGCGCTTGCAAGGTGAGGATGTAGCCACTGAGCCATCACATTGTGTCCTCTAACTTGGTCGCTACCAATACCTCATTAACAATGACAGTGCAGCCACCCCTTATATAAATCTTTGCTTATCAAAGTGAACTTTGTATTTATATCAAGTGAATTATTAGCTTTACAAGAAGTAAGCAGTATTACTTGATCAAGTACTGAATGCCACATGAGGAGCATGCAGGTTACTTTGTGGAAAACAGATGGTATGGAAATATGCACGGACTTGAAACATTTTTTAACTAAACAAATTCGTTGCTTGCTTTCATTTTCCATGAGCCTTCTGACATGTCCTTATATTTACTAACAAAACAGGATACTTCACATGCTACAACTGAAGCGAACCTTACACCAACAGTGGGAAAATCAATTAATCCTGCATTTAGTTAGTACATGAAAAAATGCTAGATATTGGGCCATACCAAACTGTCGATTATCACCAGGCCCCACCTGGGACAATGCCAGCATGTCTTTCTTCATGTGTGCCCCCCGGTTATCACAGCACAGGACACGCGCAAACCCACCATCCTGAACACGCCCTCAGGAAGGAAGACCTGGTGGACTTCTACTTCTCATTCCTCCTTACAGAAGGAAAAGCTGCTAGCTCAAGCACTGAGTCACTGAAACACAATTAGGATCCATCAATACTCAAATCGTTACAGGTAACACATTTCATAAGCTCACCTAATTCCTCCCTACAGGGCCACTGCCCCACTGCCCTCTTCCCTCTCCAGCTCCAACCTGGGTTCCTGGGAAGTAGACGCCCTCCCTCGGCCCTGCGTGAATGGCTCCCTCTTCCCAGACACACTCACATAGCGCATGCCACAAAATACCACTATGTCCAAAAAAAAAAAAACCCACCAAAAAACCGGCCTTGGCTGACCGACTTACTAAAAATGCAGCTGTGTTTCATCGGCCACCCCCGAGTTTACTGCTCTCGCCCCCAATAGCATATGGGCAACATCAAAAGGAGGGAAGGAGAAAGGGAGAGAGGGAGGGAGAGAGTCCCTATTTTATTCATCACTTTCTCCTCCGAGAGAGAAAAAGAGAGAGAGAGAGAGAGAGAGAGAGAAAGCCCCTGTTTTATTCATCACTTTCTCCCTGGAGCCCACCAACGGCAGCAGGCTCCCACAGGAAATCTGCAGTCTGGATCCAACTTTGGTCACAGCAAGGGACAACAAAGGCTAAGAGAACAGTGTGGGACCCTAGGGGCTCGACAATGTGTTATCTTCAAGTACACGCGCGACTGTATGGCGGGGGGGGGGGGATTCCTACAGATAAAACACTCCCCCTCTAAAGCGCAGACGGGCTACAATTGGACTGGCACGGGAACGCAGACATTCTTGGCTGAAGATTTTCAAGGGGTGGAAAAAAAAAACAGAAGCGATTCAGCAATACGGAACGGTATACGGCAAGATACTAGAAATCGAAATTGCAAGTTGTTTCCATAGGGATTAGAAGCAGTGCCTTTGCCTGGCGCCAGGCTGGGTAAGGAGGGCTCCACCCGCAGGTGCAGCGCGGGCACCGGTGGGTGGGGAGGTGTGCCCAGACCACTCTGCTTTGCACCGGGTCTTCTTGGGAGAAAAGTGGGAAGTGCACTGCGCCTATCCGCTCCCCTAAAAGACTCCTGGGGGGATGGCTCCGCTTCGCAGGGCCCCGACAGTGCTCCCCACCCTTCCCAGGGCTCGGGCTCACCCGGCTCACGGTTGATCTCGATGTCGAAGTGGCACTGCGGCCGGTCCTGCGCCCCCATTGCGACCGAGGTGGCGGCGAGAGCTGAGAGAGGAGAGAGGGCAGCGGTCAGGGCAGGGGGCCGGGCCTGGGGCGGAGCCCGCACACCCCGGATGCCACGACACGGCCCCGTCCCGCCCGGGAAATAGGCCTATCCGGGAAGAGAGAGCTCTTCACCTGGCCTGCCTCCAGCCTGAACGGCTCCCGGTGAGCAGAGGCGAGAGGACGGCCGCCACGGCCGCCAGCGCCCAACGCCACTAACGGAACGCCACCTCCGCCTCCTGCGGCCAGGCCGCCCAGTGCCACGCTGAGCCCCGCGAGATCCCAACAAATACCGCGAGAGCACAGCCTCCAAGGGGGCTCAGGGGGGCGTGTCCGGGAGCGCCCCGGCCTCGCACTCCTATACCTGCGCGCGTCCTGTCTGCGCCCCGCCCTCTGGAACCGCTCGCCCAATCAGGGAGGCCTGGATACGCCTGCGCCTTGCACGCCACGTCGTCTGAGGTGTGCGCGCCTGCGCGTTGCCCGCCCTGGTGCGGCGTCCTTGTGGACCCTGTGGAAGCCCCTGGTACGCCAAGTCGAGGAAGGAGGCCGCTGTGGTCCGCCCGGTGTCCCTCACTCTGAAGGCCTCTCCGGCCCCCTGGCCCACTGAACAATCTGCTTCTTCATCCTAACTGTGGAATATGTTAAAAGTTCTCGCTGCCCGGGATGTGTTAGAACGCTGGCAACTATTTTCTTGGCTTTATGGTCATCTGTTCAGACCCTGGTTGTCTTAAGCTCTATTTCATCTTGGTCATGTCTATCGGTCACTTTGTGTGTGTGGTTTGTGCTGAGAAACCCCTCCCGAGTGTTCCTCTGGAAATGTTACAGGGGTCGTTTTGACATTTGACTCCATGGTCTACCAGGATGAAGTCAGACAACAATACTTCCTAAATAACTAGGCCTCAAGTGCTTCTGAGGAAATCAAATCAAGATAATTACCGAAATGCCTTACCCTTGGCTGTGGCTTCTGTTGACACCCAGAGAGTGTCAGAGTCAAAGACTCCAAAAGCAGAACTTGGGGCCAGAAACAAGTAGTGGGGTCAACATTAAAAGGAGTGAAGATTCCAGGAGGCCCCAGAAGACACTTCGGAAAATAAAACCATGCTTTAAGATAAGTGAGAAGAAAATGTCAGGAACATGCCATGCCGGTGCGGTAATCACAATGTGAGGAGGCTCAGTTCACAGCTGCTGCCTCAGGCCCACCTCTGACTTGCTCGATCCACTCTAAGCTGAACAACCCCAACTATCTGTGGACTACAGATGCTACCAGCCTCCTGGACTGCAACCACAGGAACAGGGAACTGGGCTTCTAAATTTGGGTTCACTTGGGCCCAGCAGGGTGGCCCAGTGGCTAAAGTCCTCACCTTGAACGCGCCAGGATCCCATATGGGCGCCGGTTCTAATCCCAACAGCGCTGCTTCCCATCCAGCTCCCTGCTTGTGGCCTGGGAAAGCAGCGGATAATGTCCTAAAGCACTGGGACCCTGCACCAGCATGGGAGACCTGGAAGAAGCGCTTGGCTCAAGGCTTCGGATTGGTGGATTTCTAGCCATTGCAGCCATTTGGGGAGTGAATCATCGGGTGGAGGCTCTTCCTCTGTCTCTGCTTCTCTATATATATCTGACTTTCCAATTAAAAATAAATTTGGGGGGGTCCACTCACAAAACATCTTTCCCACTCATTTTAAAGATTAGTCTCAATGAGGGAAAGTTTTTTTGTTTGTTTTGTAGAACACAGCTAATAAAAGAAGGAATTATAAAATAGAAAATCCCCATTATACAGTTCTTAGTGAATTAAAAAAAAAAATCAAAGCTGGGTAAGTAGAAGACTTGGGAACTTGGAAATAAATCATTCACTTCCTGATGCAAAGCAAAAGCAGGTATCATTTCCTACAGTGTGTCTTAGTGCCAAAAATTATTAAAGCTTAAATCTAAAGAAGCCTCTAGATTTACCTGTTTACAAGAAAATGACACTGAGACATATTTAATAACCGCAGAAATACAACTGGATGAATCCAGAAAAAGATTCTGTGGCAAATGACCTAGGTTTTTCAGCAAACAGCAAAAATGAGGGAGAGCTTTCAAGTGACAACAGAATGCAGTAAGTGACTGCTGCTTGGATCCCGATTCAGATATCTTGCGATGACTGAGGAAAACCGAGTGTTAGCTGTGACATCACCACATATTCAATGACATAAGGAATCACTATTTCGTTGGCAGTGACAACAATGCTGTTATATAGCTTACAGTTTTAGTTTTCCTGGAAAACCAAATGGAACACTAAACGAAATTGTGTAGGCCTCCTTAACAGTTTTATTCCTGGGAAAGCAAGCTTTGTTTCAAAGCATCCTGAAAACACTCATGGGAGGACCTGTATAAACTGGCAGGAGGGAGGGCACAATGGCATGTCCATTTGGTAAGACCAGAGTCTGACCACCACAACCCAGCTGAAACATTTTTTTTTAAGATTTATTTATTTTTATTGGAAAGTCAGATATACACAGAGGAAGATCTTCCGTTGATGATTCACTCCCCAAGTGACCACAAAGGCCGGTACTGCAACAATCTGAAGCCAGAAGCCAGGAACCTCCTCTGGGTCTCCCATGTGAGTGCAGGGTCCCAAGGCTTTGGGCTGTCCTCGACTGCTTTCCCATGCCACAAGCAGGGAGCTGGATTGGAAGCTGGGCCGCCGGGATTAGAACCAGAGCCCATATGGGATCCTGGCGCATTCAAAGTGAGGACTTTAGCCACTAGGCTGCCACGCCGCCAGGCCCCCAGCTGAAACTTCTTAAGGTGCTACAAAAATGTGGTCTTGAAGATGCCCATCGTGTCTGTTATCCAAACATACTTTCGTTTCAGGAAAGACGACATCTGAGCCAATCTCTTGACAGTTCTGCTTGATTATGAAAATCAGTATTTACATTGAAAACATAAGTTAATAACCTTCTCCATATTTTTACAACAGTGATTTCATTCACATTCTGAGTAGCTGAATTGGTAATGATCTTGTGTCCATTTTGTAGGAGATGGATTATATCCAGTTTCTTTTCACAATAGTCATCTGGAAGATTATTCGTCTTTTGAAGTACTGGCTGGACTGGCATCTGCAATGGTAGCTAGATAAATGAGATTTCTATGTAACACATGCTGGTACCTATGGATTTAAAAAAAAAGCAGGCAAAAGTCAGGTTTGTCTTCAATGAACAAAAACTGGAAAAGAATTTACCTAGTATAGAGAAATGGCTCATCCATTGATGAGCTCATTCAGTGTTATCAATCTTATCCACATGTTTATGATAAAAGTACCCGGAATCTCACCCATTCTCATCACAGCTATTGGTCTAGGTCAAGCTCTATCAACCCTGGCTTAGACTGTTACAAGTTTCCTAACTGGTCTCCCAGATGCATTTTTTTCACCCCAACTTTATTTTCCATAATACAGCCTGTGTGGCCATTGTATTATAACCAGTCCATTCTTCACAAGTTTTTAAATGTTCATTTTCTTTGAAAGGGAGAGAGTCATTTTTCATCTGTTGACTCACTTCTTGAAGGCAAGTTAACAGCCAGGGCTGGGTACCAGTGGATGGAAGCCAGATGGCACATAGAACTCCCTAGAGGAGTTCCACGTGGGTGGCGAGCATCCCACTGCTTGCCAACTGCCTACTGCTTCCTTATGCCACCATGAGCCTCCTGGTGACCAAGATAACAATCTCTCATTTCCTACAGCTCTCCCGTGGCCGAGTTCTGGCCATAATGGCCTTTCTGTTGTCACTTGCAGCCTTCCAGAATATTCCCATCCACTGAATGTCCTAAGTACTTCTCCCAGGGTCAGGATTAGCAGGACGCTAGATCTGAAGCAGAGGGTGGCCACTCTGACAGGGGCTGTACCTGGTGCAAAGCCTGGTTCACTCCATCACCTGGCTTTCCTGAACATTTCCTCAGCACCCGAGTAATACTGTCCTCTAAGAGATAAGGTGGAATCCTGGACTCGAACTGGAAAAGGGCTCAATGCTTCTTGTGCTGGCTTGATCCATCCACATGGCTCACTGGGAGGGCACTTCGCAGCAGCCCACTGGCCAGGGGCGAGAAGAGGACACTTACTGGACGCACTCGTGGGCTCGGCCCTTGTTCTGGTACTCCACGATGCAGCGGATGAGCTGATCATTCTCCTCCAGGAGCTGAAAGAGCAGAGAGAGGATGAGGAGGACGGTGGCGAGGGCAGGTTCCGCTCCCATCTCGCTCCAACCCCCTGAGCCAACTCCAAGCCTCAGCAGGGAGGCTTCCCGTGCCCCGCAGCCTCTCGCTCACCCGCTGGATCGTCTCCTGATTGATCTCAGCACTGCCCCGGAGCCAGTCAGGAACGAAAGCCACCGACATCCCAGGGAACCTGGCAGGAACTCGGCTTCGGGGCTCCGCGGGGCAAGTGGGCGGGCTGACGCTGCCGACGGTGATTGGATCCTCCCTCCCGAGCTGGAAGGATCGTCCGTTGTGATTGGATACGCCAGGGGGACGTTGACGTCCTCTTCCGGGTCCCGCCCCTTAGGGCGGGGGCGTGCGCTACGCGCTTGCGCAGCCTGGAACGTGAAGCGGGTCCCTGGGTTGCGCCTGTACCCCGGGTCACACAGGCATGGTGACTGGAACCCATTAATGTGACTGGAGATCTACTGCGCGTTCGCCTTCACTGTAGGCGCACCAGGCGTGAAATCTGGCCAAACTCTGCGTGGGCAGGGGAACGCTACAGTCAGGTTTGAGGGAGAGACTCAAGTGTACGCCTCCATGTCCTTTGGGGTAGTCATACTGCTGACCAGGTTTGCAGTCCTGAAATGCTCTAGTATTTTCTCCATTTTACACACGAGAAAAACGGGTTAAGTAACTTGCCCGAGTCTCACAGCTACTGTCAGCCTCACTAGTCACAAGCAATTTGACTTTCCCACCCTCGTTCCTGACCTCTCCCACACTGCCAAGGGGAGTCGATGACAAGGCGCTAGTGGGAAGTTGGGTCTACCCTCCTTGTGGCCCACCCTCTGAAGTGCGGGCAGTCTTCTAGCCCATTATGGGGAACTTGTGACAAGACCGGGCTTCCCTACAGCATGGATGTGGGGAGAGAGTCCCTGGGATCCTGCATTCCTCAGAAACACAGCTTTCATTTCCTGGAGGGCTGGTTGTTTCTGAGGCTTGTCCGCTTGGCTTTCTGACATCATCCCCATAGTGTAGCCCTGTTGGGGGAATCCCTTCTGAGACTGTTCTTCCTTCAGTGAGGGAGGCACCTGGAGGTCACAGAGCAGGATATCTGGGGAGACAGCTGACTTAGCAAACAAGGACTGCCAGACTGGCTAGAGGAAGCAGATCTAGTGCTGATCTGTGTGGTTGTGACATTGGGTCCAGAAGCACTCACAGCCCAGGAGCAAGTTCAGAGAACACAGAAGTTGGCTTTCTCTCTTTGTTTCTCAGAAGTGGAGAGCTGCCATGCAGATGTAATGGATGTTGACAACGCAAGGGGCGCAAGCCTTTCGGGAAGAAGGTGATGAGATTACTGGACCCTGGACTTTCAGTTGATGAAGTGAACTCTGGAGGGAGCTGAGAAATGCCATGGGGAGAACACCTGGAAATTTCCGCAAGCCAGGGGGAGGAACTCAGAGAACATATCAGAAGGACATGTCACACACCAGGTGCTGCTTTCCTGACTCCAGACGTCAGCTCCTGTGTGATGAGGCAGAGGTCCAGGGTCCAGGAGTGAAGAGAAAGCTTGCAGGAGTGCATTCTGAGCCTGGAGCCAGAGTGGCCAATGGTTGGAGATAAAGGCTAGGACTTCCAGTGCCATATCTCTTCCCTGTCTCACCCCTGTTGGCCAGTTCATCGCAGTGCTTGAGGTGTCCCAAGAGCACTTATGTTGCAGCTTCTGAGAGTCCAGGAATTCAAATCTGAAAGCTCCAGGATTTTATAGGTACCAATTTTCTGTAGTCTATACCAGAGAGTTACTTTTATCAGCCTGTGCTGGGAAGAACAGTTCCAAAGGGAGTGTGTGTTGACAGTGAATCCTCGCCTCTTCCCTAGCATGTACACTGCAAGATTCAATTCTCAGTCCGCTTAAGTAGCCTGAAATCTCCTGGTCTTTCTCCTTGCTTGTTCCTGCTATGACACAATCTAATTCTCCTTTGTCATACAGGCCAACCCCAACTTATTATAGGAGGGAACTATACAAAGTCCTTGGGCCCCGTGTGATAGCCTAGTGGCTAAAGTCCTCGTCTTGCATGCACTGGCATCCCATATGGGCACCGGTTCATGTCCTGGTTGCTCTGTTTCCCATCCAGCTCCCTGTTGTGGCCTGAGAAAGCAGTAGAGGATAGTCTAAAGCCTTGGGACCCTGTACCCATGTGAGATACTGAGGAGGTTCCTGACTTCTGGCTTCAGATTGGCTTGACTCCAGTTGTACTTGGGGAGTGAATCAATGGATAGAGGGTGTTTCTCTCTGTATATCTGCCTCTCTAATAAAAGTAAAGAAATCTCCTGAATATCAGGAGGCAGTGGTAGCTTGGAGACCATCTTGAACTCTATCACAGCTTGCTTTTGTTTTTAGTAAGATTTTTTCTTTTTTTTTTTAAATTTATTTATTTATTGGAAAGTCAGATATACGGGGAAGAGGAGAGACAGAGAGGAAGATCTTCCGTCCGATGATTCACTCCCCAAGTGAGCGCAACGGCCGATGCTATGCTGATCTGAAGCCAGGATCCAGGAACTTCTTCTGGGTCTCCCACATGGGTGCAGGGTCCCAAGGCTTTGGGTCGTCCTCAACTGCTTTCCCAGGCCACAAGCAGGGAGCTGGAAGGGAAGTGGAGCTGCTTGGATTAGAACTGGCGCCCATATGGGATCTCGGTGCGTTCAAGGCGAGGATTTAAGCCGCTAGGCCACGCTGCTGGGCCCTGGTAGGATTTTTTCTTTTGGTTAAGTAATATCTGCTTCTATTTCCACTGATGTGATGATGACTTTGTAAAGGCTATATCCTGTCTGGACCTCCACATTGGACTACAGTCTGTACATCCAACTATCATGTTGACATCTGCGTTCATCAGGGTTCTTCAGAGTAATAGAATAGGAACTCTATCTATCTACTGATCTACGAGTGTATTCACAGGGGATTTACTAGGGGAGTTGACTCACATGATTATAGCAGCTGAGAAGTCCCAAGAGCGGTCATCTGTAAGCTGGAGAACCATGGGAGACAGTACTGTGGCTCTGATTGGTCCACCCTGACTTGGATGAGGTCTCAGAGCTGAGGGAGCTGAGGGCTGGAGACCTTGGGGGTTGCTGGTACAAGTCCAAAGATGAGAACCTGGAGTTATTTTTTTACTTATTTTTTTAATCATAAAATTCCATAGGCTGTGGGATTTCCCTTACCCTCCTCCGCCACTGATTTCCCCCATATTATTATAGTAGTATAGTCCTTCATAAGCAGTCGTAAGTCCATCATTCTGCTGTTTAAGTGTATCCTGTCATTGCAGATATGGACAATGGTGGACAGTCCAGTGCCGGAACCTGGAGTTCTGACTAACAGCAGGGCAATGGTGTCCTGGGTGTAGAAGGCAGAGAATTCACATTTTAGTTCGTCTGGGCCCTCGGCTGACTGGGCAGTGCTGCCCACGTCAGGGGAGGGCGGAGCTGCAGATGGATCCAGACAGAGCGCTTTACCATCTCCTGGGCTAGCCCTCAGTCCACCCAGCAATAGCCATCATGGTAGCTAATGTCTAAGATGGAGCTAGTAGCCAATCTTCCCTCTCAGAGAGCAGATCCTCTTCCAGGATTTCCTTGAATTCCTCCATCGCCATCCGTTCATCCAAGGCCAGACTGTCACATGTCCTTGAAGAGACTTCATTGCCAGCTCCCATTGCTTTTGTTCCTGCAGTTCCCTGCAGTCTACCCACCCAGTCTTCTTCCTCTTTGCCGTTAGCCAGTCCTACTCCAGTTCTACCCTCTCCCATGGCTCCTCAGCAAGGCCACCACGGCTTCTTAGAGTCTTCCCCTTTGGCTAATTTTATCAATGAGCACGATCTTGACAACATGCAAATTGTGTCAGATTTTTCATTGTCCTGATCTTCCACTATGGCCCTATCAGATCTGCCCCCAGCTATTCTCTTTAGTGGCTGTCACACAATCACTTTGGTGTCTAATGTCTGAGTTCCTTTTTTTTTTTTTTGTGGTAAAATACACAGAACATAAGTTTTACCATTTTACTCCTCTTTAAAAAAGATTTATTTATTTTTTTAAAGCTTTCTTCTTCTTCTTCTTCTTTTTTTTAATTGGAAAGGCAGATATATAGAGAGGAGAGAGAGAGGAAGATCCTCCGTCCGATGATTCACTCCCCATGCGGCCTCAATGGCTGGAGCTGAGCCAATCCAAAGCCAGAAGCCAGGAGCCTCTTCTGGGTCTCCCATGTGAGTACAGGGTCCCAAGGCTTTGGGGCCTTCCTCAACTTCTTTCCCAGGCCACAGGCAAGGAGCTGGATAGGAAGTAGGGTTGCCAGGATTACAACCAGTGCCCATATGGGATCCTGGTGTGTTCAAGGTGAGGACTTTAGCCACTAGGCTACTGCACCAGGCCCAAAGATTTAACTATTTTTATTGGAAAGTCAGATTTACAGAAAGAAGAAGAGAGAGAAAGATCTTCCATCCGCTTGTTGATTCCCCAAGTTGTCTCAACGGCTGGAGCTGAGCTGATCTGAAGCCAGGAGCTGGAAGGGAAGTGGAGCAGTCAAGATACAAATCGGTGCCCATATGGGAACCCGGCACGGGCAAGGCGAAGACTTTAGCCATTAGGTTATCATGGCTGGCGGCTGATTTTTTTTTTTTTTAAGTATTCAGGTCAGAGTACATTGATCTCATTGGGTAACCGACATCGCCGTGCATTCTACCCCTCAGTGGAGTCTCTCCTGCCTCCCACACTGGATTCCTCGCACAAGATGATCTCTCTAAAACACACTTCTTTGCCCCTGCTTAGCTGTCTCCTGGTCACTGTCGCATCCTTCAGGGAAGTCTCCTGGGACCATACAAGTCCTGACCGAAAGCCCTGCTCCGCTCTGAGGAGCATTTTGTGTCTACCCGTGTTTGACGTGTACCTGCACTCTGCCCTCTTATGAGCGGTTCGTCTAGAAGAATTCTTGCCGCGCCCCGGACCCTGCCCATCCAACAGGTGCATACCCGACAGGAAACTTTGCAATGAATTACCCAAACTCCCTCCAGCCAGCCCTCGGCCTGGGGCGTGTCCCCTCAGGGCCGGACTTTGGCACCTCATCCAGGTTGGCAGCTGGCCGAGTTCCTCGGGTCGCCACGCCTCCAGGTGTGCGTGCTGCTGCTCGCTGCCCCGGCAGGTACCGACCTTCTCGAACCTCCGGGAGGTGAGGATTACAGATGCGGACTTCACATAACAGTGGGGGAAGAATCTGGAGGCGGGAGGACCCCGGGGAAGCGCGCACCCCGGTCACGCCCCTCTATCGTGGTGTCGCCCCTTTAAGAACTGCTTCATTTGCGGCCGCGCCGGGACCGGGCTGTGCAGGCCGGCTGGGATTGGTCGGTTTGGGTGCGCGTGTCGCCTAGCAGCCGCGAATGCGGTGGGAGGGGCGAGGCTCGCGCACGCGCAGCGCCGCCTCCCCGCTGTCGCGCCCCCCGCTGTCGCGAGCCAACCCGGCCCGGTGGGGCTGAGGTGGCCTAGGAGGCGGCGGGTGGCGGTCGCCGACTCCCCCGAGGCCGCCGTCCCGGCGAGGTGAGGGGCTGACGGGCGGAGGAGGAGGAGGAGGGTGAGGCGGGCCGTTAGCCTAGAGCAGCCGGGACCGGGTGTGGCGCAGGGCGGGCCTGGAAGTGGAGGCGGCCCCGGGCCGCCCCGCCCTCCTCGTCCCGGCCTAGACCCACCACTGGGCTCCGGCTGGCTTCCAGGAGTCTGTCCACCTTCCCCCGCTGTCCCTCCCGGCGGCTCCCTGAGACTACGCCCCGCGCGGCCCGAGGCAAGGACCCCCTCCTCGGCGGACAGCTGGGACAGTGGGAGGAGACGGGGAGTGTCCGAGATGAGAGGGGACCGTTGTCGCCCGAGTGTCTGCTAGCCGAGCTCGCGGCAGAGTACGCTGTTTGTGAGACCAGGCTTACCAGGTCCTGTGTTTTGTGGGACCAACTTTTCTAACAGCAGGTGTGATCTTAACCAACAGGTCCCTGGTTAGTTTGTTAGTGTTCCAGAAATTTGTTTTAGGCGTAGATGCATGGCCCCATATTGTTCCCAATATGTTCCGTATCTGCCTCGGGACTTTGGATTCCAGCTTCTTGTTGATGAGAACCTGGGAGTGGAGACAGGAGGCAGTAATGCCACCCCCCACCCCACCCCCAAGTGAGTTCCTGCTACTCACGTGAAAGACCTGGATTGAGTTCCCAATTTCCGCCCAGGATTTGATGGGGACATTTGGCCAATGAACCAACCCACAGGACTGCTCTGTTTCAGCTCTGCAAAAGAACCCTTTTGCAGCAGTAGAGTAGTGGTCAGCTTGAAGGTTGGTTTTAGAGAAGCAGGATGTGGTGGGAAGACCGTGGGCTTTTTGACTTATTTCAAATGAGGAAGTTTGGGCTTGAATCTAGCTAACATCTGTTGAGCCTTTCCCACCTGCCCAGTGCAAAATAGGGCCTATGTTAGGGGTAAGAGCATTCAGTACAAACATGAGTGCCACAGAAGGTCCTAGGTTAGTGGCCGCATGCACTGTCCTGTCTTAGTATCCCTGGAGTTGGTTTCAGGACCCCTGTGATAACCAGAGTCCACAGTACTGAAGTCTGTCATGGAAAATGCAAAACCCATGGACTTTCAGTCAGCTAGCTCTAGATGACTTATGATACAGCTAGCTCAGTGCGCCTGCTGCATCAGTTGGTATATGACAAGGAGAACGTAAACCATCTGTTCCATGTCAATGCAATCTGTTTTTTTAAATGTTTTTGATTTGTGACTGGTTGAATCCTCAGTTGTAGAACCCCAGGATATGCGGGGCTGACTACTGTTAGTTCAGGTCCCCACTTTTCTGACTCCTAACAAATGACCTCCCTCACTAGCAGCCTGAGAATCTCCAGATCAGCTGCTGAGTCCCTGAGCCCCGGGGCAGAAGGCAGATGCAGTTAGGGTGGTGTGACTGCTACGTGCATTGGAGGAGGGAGCAGGGTGCCTTTCAGGGAACACTTGGGGTTGAATGAAACTTGTTCTGCTAGTTTGAATTCTTCCTTTGCCAAGCTTGGTCCTCTCCGTCTCTCTTACCTCCTGAGGTGAAGAGCTGGGTTGGCTGAAAGAGGGAGAAAATCCTGTGAACAAGGGTGACCTCTAGCGTGGACAGTCTTTGAGGGTAGAATAGGGTCAAGCTATGAGCAGGCAGTGTGTGTGAACAGATGAGAGGAGAAGGATTTATAAAATGGGAAGACAGATTGAAAAATGTTAAAAACAAGGATCTTGTGCATTTGATTACTGTGTTAGGTTGGACTTAGTTCCATCTCAATAACACTTTGTGGGAAAATGTCCAATGTATGAATCAGAATTATCGCACAGAATCTACAAAGCCATGTTTATTGTTTCAGTGTGCAAATATAAGGTATTTCTTAGGTCATTCGTTTACCTGCTTAGCAGATTTTTTTTGAAGGGCTTTTCTAGCATGTGCTAGTAGGTGTGTGGTACCAGGCCCCAGTTCCGTTGCCTGTAAGACAAGAAAGCTGTACAGTGTGCTCACGGGGAGCAGTCTGAAGTGCTTTTATGCTTGGGGATTAGTACTAATTTTCTTCTGCAAATTGTGGCATGATTTTCCAGATTCACACCACAGCTTTCCTTTTTCAAATGGAAAACTAATTGTGCATGAATAATATATGCTAGATTTTAATGAGCCTCAGATTGTAATTTTTTCCAGTTTGGAAATGTCAAGTAGTTACCGAGCTGTTCAGTATAAAACATGCCCTTCAGCATTTGTGTATAAATCATTGCAACTGCAGCTAATTAGCAGATAAGATTATTGTTCTGGTAGAGATGTTTTAAAATGCCATTTAGTCATAAAAAAGAAGTAAGAGCGTAATAACTGTGAAACCTGAGGACCTTGAGCTAATTCTCTTTTCTTTACTCAACTTGTGTTTTAAAATCATGAAAGGCACAGGAAGTTGCAAAAGATAGCACAGGGTGGTCCTGAGTACTTGTCACTTGCTTTCCCCGCCCAATAAATCTTTGATAGCTGGTCCAATGTCAAATTCAAGACATGGACATTGTTATAAAGTGTGCATACAGGACTGGGCCGGTGCTGATTCAGCACAATCCAGACACAGATTTATTCCATCAGCACAAAAATGTCCCTTTACTGTGCTTTGTGGTCATACTTGCATCCTTCCTGCCCCCTATGCCACACATCATCTATCTGTGTTTTTTGCTCATTTCAAGGTTGTTACTTGAAAGGATTCAAGTAGAATATAACCTTATAAAACCTGGCTTCTTAAAAGCAGCAGCAGACGCTCGAGGTTTGTCCAACTAGTTGTGTGTTGGTAGTTCATTGCTTTTTCGTTGTGTAGTACCCTGTGCGATGAGGATACTGTGACTTGGTTGATCATTCGCTGTGGAACAATCTGGCTGTTTCCTGTTTTGAACTCTCTTCTGTGGGTTTCTTCCTTGGTGCACACAGTGTCCAGGGCTGGGCCGAGCAAGATGCCAGGACCTGAGGATTATGTGGGCTCATTTTGGACCTGCAGCTGTTTTTTCCCACAACACGCTGCCCTGCATTTCAAGGGAAATGTAGAAACTAGACCTTCTTTCACATCTTTCTGCCCTCCCCCATTAATGGGTAGGAGTGTTTACTCCCATTGAGAGAACCGTATCATGCATATTAAAATGATTGCTTCCATCATCAAATGTAAACTAGGAAACTCATGAGAAGAGTCATCTATTTTCTGTTGTCATCTTTTCACTCTTCTGTTGTTTTCTTCCCTCTTGGTGTTCCCAGGTTCTTTAAGAGCGAGTGTGCTGGTGACACGGCCGTTCAGTGTTCTCCATGTGGGCCTCGTCCCCTTGCGCCTGCAGAGTTCTGGATTGGCAGTTCTTTCACCACTGACTGTGACTTCCTTTTAGTTTTTGTGGTTTTTATGAGAACTATTCTGACATTTGAATTGCTTCCCTCCGCATGAATTTTAGGTATTGTTTTGGTCTTACTAGCTTCGAGATTTTTTCCCTTTCAGTTTTTCTGAGTTTGGCTATGCTGGCGTGGGTTTCTTTGAGTTTATCCTTTTGGGGTTTGTTGAGTCTTGAATCTATAGGCTTCTGCCTCTCACCGAATTTGAGAATTATTTAAGCCTTATATCTTTGAATACTTTTCCAGCCACACTCCCTTTCTGTCCTACAGGACTCCGAGGATATGAATGGCAGCTTGCTGAGGTCCTGTGTGACATTTTTCAATGTGATTCCACCCTTAGAGTGTTCTGGCTGTTCTGTCCTTCTCCTTTCCCTTCCATTTCACTGTCCAGTTTATCAGTTATTGTTGTTTTAAAGATTTATTACTTTGAGAGTGACACAGAGAGAGATTGATCTTCCATCTGCAGGATTCACTATGTAAACAGCCTCCAACTGCTAGATCTGGGCCAGTCTGACTCCAAAGGCGGGAACTCCGTCCTGATCTCCCTCACGCGCAGGCATCGCTGTCTTCCTTGTGCGTTAGCAGGAAGCTGGATTGGAAACAGAGCAGTTGGAACTCGACCTACCACTCTGATATGGAATACCAGAATCACAAATAGCTGCTTAATTTGCTCCATCACAATACTGACCCATTGGATTGTTTTTAATTCTAAATGTTTAAAAAGGATTGATTGATTTAACTTCTTTGAGAGGCAGAGAGATGGACAGAGATCCCCATCGACTAGTTCCTTATCTAAATATTTGAGACTGCTGGAATTAGGACAGGCCAAAACCGAGAATTCAACTCAGGTCTCCTGCTGCTGCCTGGGTTGTGCGTTAGTGGGAATCCAGAATCAAGAGCTGAGCCAGGGAGACAGATCCAGGCCTGCAGTCCCCCAGGCCACCACTGTCCTGGACGGTCACACACCTGCATGCCGGCACAGATGCTGCTGACAGTAATCGCACAACATTGCCTTCCTCTAAGCATGTGCATGTATTTTTAAACATTTCATAGAAAATGTTTGTAAATTTCATAAGTTTGCAGCACTGGTAACTTAATAGAACCAAAAAACAGGACATGTTTGTGCTTCTCTTCCATGCGAATGTTTGCGGGAAAGCAGGTTTAATTATTGGGAATAAACAGGATAGAGAGCCAGGAGCGGTGGAATTGGCTGGCACACTGACCATGCCTTGGGAATGTCACCACTGTTTTTCTTATCAGTCAAGAGCAGTGTCTGGTGTGAGTGTGACGCCTGCGCTCTGCAGGGCCTGGGTAGGGTTGACTGCTGGAGTTCACGCCAGCCTCGTCCCCTCTGTGTCTTTGTGTGTCGTGGCCTAGAGCTTTCATGGGAGTTACCACTTAGCCCCTAAGCTCTGGTCTCAACTTAGTCTTATATCTATAAATCCCTGTCTATATAACGGCCCTGTAACTTTTTTTTTTAATATAAGAAATGTTTTTAAATTAACTGTGTCAGACATTCCCCAGAGAATAAAGGGTGAATGTGAGTAACCTGGTGCTCAAGGTGGGTGTGGAGCCCAGGGTGCCTTTGGGCTGCTGGCCTGGCCCTGCCAGCGCTGCATGTATGTGGGTGCAGTTTCCTAGAGCCTTGCAGGGTTTCTCATTTCCCCCATGCAAGTGGAAAGTGTAGAAAGGGGGACAGAGGGCCTGTGCATTCCTGCAGTTCCTGAATGTGTACAGTGAGAATCATTGTTTTTCCATAACAGATGTGGTCTTTGTTCTTACACTCGGGTAGTAGAAATGCTAAACCAGTAAGGGGACAAAGATATGTTCTTCAGGGAAAGAGGCCATTGTTGTAGCACAGTACGTTAAGCCTTCTTCTGCATCCTGTATGGGTGCTGGTTCGAGTCCCAGCTACCACACTTCTAACTCGGCTCCCTGCAAATGTCCTTGGGAAAGCAGGGGAGGATGGCCCAGGTGCTTGAACTCTGGCACCCACATGGGAGACCCAGAAGAAACCCTTAGCTTTAGTCTGGCCAAGCCCTGGCCATTGCTGTCATTTGGAAAGTGAACTAATAGATGGAAGATATATCTCTGTCCTCCTTTGTGTAATTCTGCCTTTCAGTTTTTTTAAGTCTTAAGAGAGGGAAAGTGCTGCTACCAAGGCAAGTTTGGGAAGAAGGTGGCTCTGAGTCAGTCCTTGCCTTGGATTTGGACGAGGGGACATCAACAAGTGACTGTGCAGGCAGGTACAGCGTGCGTGGAGGCCCAGAGGCCTGTGTCCTGAGGGTTTCCTGCAGAACAGATGTAGAGCTGCAAGGTGGAGCCAGCTTACATTGCTGGCATTCTTTGGAAGACACGCCTCTGGTGTTCCTCTGAGCATCCTGTCAAGCAGGGCACCTGACAGCCAGATGTGTGGCTGCTCGGAAAGACCCACAAAAGCTGTAATGGCCACCACACTCGTCCCATCCCAAGTTGAGGGCTGCCACACATGGCGGTGTGGGCGGCTTGTACAGGCACATGCCGTGTATAGGCACGTGGAACTGAAGGGAGCCTGCAGCCCAGCCAGGCTCCACAAGCAGCAGGCCTGGTTCCACCCTGAGGGGCACTTTTTCTAATTTGCAAAAGGCACCAGGAGGGCTTGGGTGTGTTTCCTTTTGTTTCCTAATGGTGCTCACATGTCATGGCCAAATATTTAATGTCTTCCTGTACTATAATCTGCTAAATGACTTCCTCTAGCCATCTGTGGGACGCAGTCATCCTCTTGAGGCATGGCTCTGTGTCAGGCATTTGCAGACATCGAGGAGGATGCACTCAGTGGTGTTTTTTGCCTTCTGTCTCCCTTGCTGCCAGGATTAAATCACAGGCTCAGGGTCCTCCACTCTTCCCCAGCACCTCCCTGCACATGAGGAAGTGGCATCTGTGCTGCCTGGGGCCTGGATGGATGAGCCACTGCCCCCAGTTCTTGCAGCTTCAGGGAGAGGAGTTTCCTGCCCTCTCGGGACAGTGGGTCACGCAGCCTGCTTTGCCTGCTAACGTTCCCAAGCCCATCTGCTCCTGCGTCCTTTCTCCCTCATCCCAGTTGGCTTAGTTCGTCCTGGGAAGGGGAAGAATCATGGGCGCGAAGAGAAAGGAGGGTTGTAAGTGAAGAAGAGAGAAGACCATGAAGGGAGAAGGGGTAGGTGGTGGGGGGGGGGGGACGGGAGCTGCAGTGCAGTTGAGGGTGGGAAGAGAATAATAAAAACTACATCAGCCGTGAGCGGGGTGGGGGTAAGAGAACCTAGGGTAGAGTGGGATGCTTGTGCGCCATCCCCTGGCCCTCAATAACAAGGCAATCGTCCTTTCCTCAGGTGTCCTCATGCCTCCTCCCGCGGACCATGTCCATGATCTTTTTTGCCACCGTGGTACGAGTGAGGGATGGACTGCCCCTCTCAGCCTCTACTGACTTCTACCACACTCAGGATTTTGTGGAGTGCAGGAAGCGGCTCAAGAAGTTAACCCTGCGACTGGCCCAGTGTCCAGGCCGAGGCTCTGCAGAAAGCTGTGACTTCAGGATACAGTAAGCCAACACGCTCACCTTTGCAGAGTGTCAGCTACACTGGGGTTCCTTTAAATGCAGCAGAACCCCTGATGCTGTGGGGATGTCACCTCACAATCGAAGTGTATGTGACAAGTACTGCTAGTGTCAGGTGGTAATCTGGGGTTGCATGTATCCAGTGGGTTTCCCCAGAACCTCCAGCATGGCAGCTCTAGCCCCTAATCTCTCTTGGTGGGGTACCCTGAGCTCCGGAAGACCTGGGGTCAGCTGCGTTTCATGCCATTTGTTTCCCCTGTAGTTAGATGTGGGGCAGAAAGAAAGATGAGGTGGGAGGAGATGCCGGATGAAGATGTTGGGAGATGGATAAGGAGGGGAGTAAGAAAGCCAAGGAGATAAGGAAAGACTTCTGTTATAGCTCTTGGCTGCTGTTTTTAATTTTCAATTTTTCTTAACATTTCTGAATGGTTGTAATTTGCTTTTTTATTTGTTTTTCTCACTTTTAGTTTTTATACTTGGTAATTTGCATTCTGTGGCAAGAGCAGGGACACAAAACATGAGTGAGAGTGAGTCTGTCATAAGGAACTTGGTCTGCTGTGAAATACAGATGAGAGCCCAATACAATGGGGAAAAGGTTCCCATGGCGGTAGGATTTCATGATTATATTAACAGCTCACGCATTCGAGTGCTTTCTGTGTGTCAGCGCTGGTCTTGTGCTTTCCTTGTGGAAGAGGTAGGCAGTAGCTTTAAATGTGTTTCATAGAGGCGGCCGTTGGGGTGAAAGGAGCAGTGAGTTATAGGTTAGTGACTGGCAGGGCCCAGGTTTCATGCAGGCTGTGTGCCACCCGGGTCTTCTCATGCACGGGCTCATCTCTTCCTCTAGAGCTTGGAGGAAGAAGCAGCTGTTCTGTAAAGGGGTCAGAAGCAAGATGGGTTTTGAAATGTCAGAACAGCTTGTGACAGATCATGCAGCTGTGCTTTCTGGTAGCTGGACCCTCACTCACTAAGTCCCCTTTGTTCTTCTGGAGCAGCACATTTGCACTTGGAATCCTTCCAGGGAAATCCAGTCTCAGGATCACAAAACAAAAGGAAGCATCCAGGCCTGACTCCGGCTAGGTAATATGCCGGGTGAGAAGGAGGAAGGGTCGTGTCCCACAGTTTGTGCCCGCTGGCTGGCACCTGCGCCTGTGCTCTGGGCTCAGGGTACCCAGGAGCCAAAGTGTCAGGACACCTGTCCACCTGTGCAGCGCTTTCTCTCGTGCCCCTTCCTCACCATGCTGTGATGAATTAACCCATGTTGTAGCTCAGATAGGGAGTATTTTCTCTATTAAAAGCTCTTTTTCACAGCAAAAAAAGAAGCTTATAGTTTCAAAATGAAATCTTGGGTCATGTTGTAGTCTTGGGAAAAAGCAATAAAAACTGCTTCACCCATTTATATTTGGAAGGAGTTGTCCACTGTTGTTTTTGCAGAGGAAGCTGAAGTTTTCTCTACTTACAGGTGAACTATACTATAGCTCTTCTTATTTGGAGAATTGTTTTATTTCCTAGGCCTGTCATGACGGATTACCACTGATGGACTTCAAAAACAGAAATCTGTTCTGTCACAGTTCTGAAGCCCAAAAACCCTAACACTGGTTCCAGTAGAGCAGGCCACCCCCTGCAAGCTGTGAGGAAAAATCCTCTCCATCCCTCCCTGCTTCCTTCTGGTGGCTGCTGGTGTAGGCTCCAGTGTAGTCTTGGCCCCTGTGATCACATGACTTTCTTCCCTTCTGTGTCCAAATTTCCCTCTTCTTGCATTAGGCAAAGGTCCACACAGGCGATGCAGGACTTTGTTTTGTCTTGGTTACACTGTGGAGACCCTAGTTCCCAATAAGATGACATTCACAGGTGCTGGAGGCATACATTGAGCACAGCCAGGATCCTTTGTCATATAGAAGCACTTCCATGCTGGAGAGGTGTAGCGCCTTCTGACAGATTCCTCCCACGTGGAGGGGACTCCTCCTCTCTTTAAATTGGAAAAGTTTGTATAAAGAAAATTGCAGCTGCAACAAGATGGTAAAACAGTACCCTGCCCAAAACACCTAGAAATATAGCAAGCATTAAAAAAAATATTTTTAGTAAATAGTTGAGCTTGGAAGAAACAAACCTCAAGGTGTTGGATGAAGGAAGGGTAGAATACCAAGGTAGCAGGTGAGTGAGCTGCCTGAGGCTCCTGGGTAGTTGAGGTGGTGAACTTGGATCTTGAGCTTTATAGTATGCACGAGGTTCCCCCAGTAGAATGGGGTATCAGATGAGACCCCACATAAAGGAGATTCTTGTTGAGCTACAGCCCTAGGGAGACAAGTCATTGACAGTCTGCTCATTCATACACCAGAACTTATTTCTCCTTGACCCTGGATAGGAAGGAAAAATAAAACCTTTCCTGGGAACCTGAGACTCTGCTTCCATGCCTGCTGCGAGGTTGGCCTTGGAGCTTATGTTCCCTGAGGTCTAGGAATTCCCAGACCCAAGCTGATACCTCAGTCATGGTCCAAAGCTGATGCTGCTTCTAGAGTAGCTGGCCACAGCATGTGCAGAGCCACTCTGGACGAGGTGTGCCCCAGCCAGGCTGCCAGAGAGAGAATTCCCACCGAAAGAAGCCCCACAGCCATGAACACTTAGCAAAACAGGAAGAAACTCAAGTGGGAATTAGTAGATACCACAGCCTGGGGAACTAGAGCCCCCTTCACCTCCAAACTTGAAATAACAGTATGGCAGTCTGGAAGGAAATAGAAAACAATGAAGAACCTTGCATTTAGCTGATAGAGAACTGAATAACCTAAATAGCAACCAAGTGAAGACAATAGAGGAACAGAAAATTACAAGCCATTCTTAGTTTGTGTGGACGCAAAAGTCCTAGATTGAACATCAACAAAATAGATCCAGCAGTAGTAAGTATATGGATTTGTAGCAGCTTAGAACCAGCAAAGTTTATTTCAGGATACCAGGATGGTTTAACATTAGAAAATCTGTTGATGTCAATTAAAGAGGAAAACCACTTTCTTGAGTAGATGCAGAGAAATCTGGGGCTGATTCCCTTGTGCGTGAGGAGGAGGGATCCCACGCTTTCAGCGGCTAAAGCTGCTAGACCTTTGAAGGGACGTGTGAGAAAGAGTCTCAGATGTAGGGCTAGCTGAAGAGATACCATCCATGCAACAGGCAGCCAAGGGCTGTGTCAGACCACGCAGGGACAGACATGAGGAGGCCAGGGTGTGTCTGGATGTGGGACGGGAGTACATGGTTCTGTTTGCTAGTCATACAGATGCCCCCCTTTTGTTTCAGTTTTTCAGCTTCCGGGGATGTGGCCTGCATGGCTATCTGCTCGCGCCAGTGTCCTACAGCCATGGCCTTTTGCTTCCTGGAGACACTGTGGTGGGAATTCACAGCATCCTATGACAGCACCTGCATTGGCCTAGCCTCCAGGCCCTATGCCTTCCTCGAGTTTGGTTTGTAACTCTCTTTTGTGTTTACTGTTCTCTCTGCCACTGTATATGTAGAACTTGTAGTGTAGGTTTAGCTTTGACCATGAAGGAAAACATGGAACCTTCAAGGATGTGACACTGAACAGCCTTGGGCCTTGAGATGCCACAGCAGTGGAGCAGCCTGGAAAGCTTTGTGACTTGACTGGCTTTTCATCTCTCTAGAACCGGGGGCCAGGTAGATGATGGGTAAAACCTATACAGATGGAATACCTGGGGTCATTGGCTTATGACTGATGGGGCCAGCTGGTTGGTCTTATAAATTTAATGAAACACGGCCACGCTTCTCCCTATCCGTGTTGCCAGTGGCTATCTTCACCCTGGGCAGCAGAACTGAGTCGTTAGATGGACACCAGATAGCTCAGAAACGCATGGTACTTACTGTCCAGCTCTTTGAGAACTGTTAGCCAACTCGTGCTCTAGAGCAGTGCTGATCAAAGGGGTGCTTTCCTCACGAGGTAACTACAGAAAGTGAGGACCAGTGCTTAGTAACTTGGCATTCCTGAAATGTTTTTATTGTATTTTATCAAACTGTCAACCTGCAGCAGTTTGGAAATAAGAGGAAACTGGGCCTTCCCTCAGAGGTTTGATTCGCTCTGCCCTGGGAGAGGGTACTGTGCTTCTTTCCTGGGCTCAGCCAGGAAGGCTTTGTAGAGGCCCGGGGCCATAATCATGGTGTGGGACTGCTTTTTGTCATATGTGGTCCTTTTGAACTCTGAGGAGGGCAGGAGGAGAGATGGGCATTGTGTTCTGTGGTCCCCATGTAGACTGCTGCTGTCTGTAAGCTTCTTGCAGGACTGGTGGTCAGATACACAACCAACACCTGGACATGTTGCTGTTGCTTTCTGGCCAGTCCTGCCTTGCCCACGTCTACCCTCCATGGTCTGCTGACTGGCCCATCAGGAATGGGCGGCACTCTTTTTCAGTGTCACCCAAAGGTGCTAGGGGACTCCTTGGTAGGCAGACTGATCTGGTGGCCCTGTGATCACAGGAGATGAGGCTTAGGTTAAGGGCTGCTCTCAGCCCTGCTTCTTCCCATGAACAGGGCCTGCTGTCCTGAGCAGACACAGCCCCACCATCCCCTGCTGACAACTGCCCAGGAAGCATGTTTCTCCCCTCCTATCTGCATGTGCCTTCCTTCTAAAGCAAGGTGCTCAGCCTGCCCACAGCCCTGCCCCAGGGTCGTATTTGCTCTTTATGGAGTAGAACTAGAATGAGTCAGGGATGCTGACTCCTGTGTGTTGTGACTTAAAGTATGTATGAAGGTTCAAAAACAAGATTTAGCAATGAGTTCACATTAAAATAAAATAGTTAAAGCCTTTCAAAGTCATAATCCTAGCTTATACAATGTATTTGTAGTAATTTATATATTTTTTTCAAATAAGCCTTTTTTATATATGAGATAATCAGATCAGGAATAACTATCCTAATTTTGTAAGCTTAGAGGTATTCTTTAAAAAATGTTTTTAAACTTTACTTGAAAGGCAGAGAGGGTTCCCCATCTGCTGGTTCAGTTCCTAAATACCCTCAGGAGCCGGGGCTGGGCTAGGGCAAATCCAGAAGCCAGGGACTCAGTCTTGGTCCTCCATGTGGCTGGCAGAAACCCAGATGCTTACTCCATCTTTGGTTGCCTTCCCAGTGCACAGGAGCAGGAATCTGGAGTTGGGAATGGAGCCAGGACACCAACCTGTGCCTTCCATGTGATATCTTAACCCTCGGTGCTCGCACCCAGCCTGCTTTACAAGTAGTCTGGGAATTGTTTGGGAAGGTCTGCCAGAGTGCATGAGTCAAGATTCAAGCCCCTTCCCCTGACTCTTCATCACGGAGGGTCAATGGTGTGTGTTTGCCTTCTCTGCAGTCACGTTTTGTTCTGTTTTGAAGAGGTTGATCAGATAGTTATTGATATGTAGCAATCATTTAACCTTTATGTTGAACTTGAAACTGTTCAGAAATTGGCTCACTTCTGATCCTGCTTAGAAATGTGAAATTCAGGACCCAGTGTTATAAACTAGCAGCTAAAGCCTTGCATGCACCAAGATCCTATATGGACATCAATTCTAACCCCAGCAGCCCCACTTCCCATCCAGCTCCTTGCTTGTGGCCTGGGAAAGCAGTTAAGCAGTTGAGGACAGCCCAAAGCCTTGGGACCCTGCACCCGGGTAGGAGACCCAGAAGAGGTTCTGGGCTCCTGGCTTCAGATCAGTGCAGCTCCAGCCATTGTGGCTGCTTGGGGAGTGAATCAATGGATGGAAGATCTTCCTCTCTATCTCTCCTTTTCTATGTATATTAGACTTTACAATAAAAATAAATAAATCTTTTTTTTTAAAAAAAGAAATGTGAATTTCATTTTGCTCATAATGTCCATTCCAGTGAAAATACTTAGCTTGTGTCACTCCTTTTTGCAGACAATGTCATTCAGAAAATAAAGTGGCACTTTAATTGCATAACCTCCTCCCAGATGAAAAGCAGCATGGAGAAAATTCAGGAGGAGCTTGAGGTCCAGCCCCCCGTGGTTCTCACTCTGGACGACGTGGATGTGGCAAATGGGGTGGTGAACGGTCACGTGCCGATGCACTTGCAGCCTGGTGAGTGGCCTGCTGCTCTCTGATGTGGAGGAACGCCAACTGGTGTGATGGATTTCAGTTATTGTCAGAGGGACATGGCTTGTTATTAGAAAAATGTCTTGTATCTTAGTGTAGGAGTGAGAGGCATGTTGGAAAAAGTACTTACAAATCCTGTTTCCAAAAGGCTATTTTAATTAATTTGATTGTTATAATGGTTGGTTTAAGGGAAGGCTATTCTTTTTTATTTTTTGAACATTTATTTTATTTGAAGGGCAGAGTTGAAGAGAGAAAGAATCTTCCATATGCTGTTTACTGTGCCTAGATCTCAATGGTTGAGGCTGGGCCAGTCCAAAGCCAGGAACCAGGAGCTCCATCTGGGTCCCATGTGTGTGGTGGCCAAAGCTGTTTCCTAGGCACATGAACAGGGAGCTCAATGGGAAGTGAATCAGCTGGGACTCAAGCTGCAGCTTAACTCACTACAGCACCAGCACTGGCTCCAAAGGGAAGGCTGTTATTGAAGGACATTTAGGAATTGAAAAGTACTCAGGGGCCTTGGCTCAATTGGCTGCCTGCAAGGGCTGGCATCCTAAATGGGCTCCAGTTCGTGTCCTGGCTGCTTCACTTCCCATCTAGCTCCCTGCTATGGCCTGAGACAGCAGAGGATGGGGCCAAAGCCTGGGCCCTGCACCCCTGTGGAAGACGCAGAAGGGCTCTTGGTTCTTGGCTCCTGGCTCCTGGCTTTGAATTGGCTCAGCTCTGGTCATTGTGGCCATTTGGGGAATGAAGCAGGAGATTGAAGAGCTCTCTGTCTCTTCCTTTTCTCTGTAACTGACTTCCCAATTAAAAAAATGTTTTTTTAAAGTGACTTGGCAGGTGTTTTCTTACAAGGTTATAGTCTATACATTTAAATGGTAAAAGGAGATACATTCTCTTTTGTTCAGAAGCACCTACCAAACACTGCAGATTTGTACTGTAGATTGTACATTACACGTATATTATATACACAGGCATTTGATTTGGACGTTTTGGCTACAGTGGTTAAGATACTGCTTGGGACATGTGCATCCATTTCAGAGGTCCTGGGTTCAAATCCCACCTTCCTGCTAATGTGCCCCTTTCGGGGGCAGCAGTGGATGTCTCAAGTAATTGAGTTCCTGCCAGCCACATGGGAGACTCAGATTGATTTTCAAACTCCTGGCTTCAGCCTGACCCAACCCCAAATATTTTAGGCAGTTGGGGGCATGAACCAGTAGCTGAAAGAACTCTGTCTCTGCCTTTCAAATAAATAAATATTTTAGAAATATGTAATTAAAATGAGTCTTGATCTCATCTTGTTAGTTGCAAATCTCCACTGAGAAACCTCCCCTCCCTCACCCTCCCCGTCCTGAACCCTCGCTACCCTACCTTGCTTTATGGGAATGAGGCCTATGGGAAAGAGAGTGGCCAGGGTGAGGGCGTTTCATGCCTCTTTGTCTGGGACCTGGGCAGCTTTCCCTTCCCTGTGGATCTCAGCATCCCCATCTGAGGTCCCAGGTGTTGGTGAATGTGATCCCAGGGCCTGGCCTTCTGTGACTGTCTGGCATTAACATCATTAGTCACTCAGTGCTTAGCACGTAACAGTGCATGCTTTTTTGTGTTCTTGTCTTACAGTTACATATAATTAAACTGATTTAATTAAAGTGGATATTTATTTACATCCTAGGAATGCTGTCCTAGTTTAAGAGCTAAGTCTTCTTCTGAATGATAGAACAGTCTACATAATAACAGTCCAACTATCTTGATTCTGTTATATTTGACTCATTACTTGAATCTTAACAGTGCTGCATTAAAGATGATCACGTTTTTGGTCTAACTTTGGATTTGGATTTTATCCATCTCAGCCCATGAGTTCCTAGATGGGCTATGCAGGCAGTTAATAAGTTGTTCTGATTTGAGTGTGAGTAAACTTAAGTTTTGAAGAAGGTAAACCCATTGCTTGTCTATTGCTACACATAATACAGATAACTAACTTTGTAATGTCTGTTTTTTTTTTAAATGCTTAGACAAGAGGAACAAGTCCAGAAAGTGTCAACCTGCCTGTATTTCTAGGACAGTTTACTGGCGGTTGACTCATTCTATTTTCCTGAGGTTAGAATCTTTCCAGGTAGCATGTTCTGTTCTCACAGGGACTTTGACTTACTTAGTGGGAACTGACATACTAACAGGCTGAAGTTGGGTCGTGGCTAGGGGTGTATGTGTGTGAGTGAAATGGAAGGACAGGAAGGATTTTTTTTTGAAGAGTCCTGCAAGAAGATGAGCAGGGCATCATTTTGTTGTGAAGAGTAGAATCAATTTCAGCAGTTTTGTAAAGTAAGAATGTCGTTTTCATAATTCTGTTAACCACTTAGAGTCTCAATTATCAATATTCCAGCCTTTCCCAATTATTTTAGAATAAAAAAAATGCACTTGGTGTGATTTACTCCAGATGCACAAAACAGCACCAAGTATCGTTCTCGTCATATTAAAGTGAGGGTTAATTTACAACAGAAATACTTTCAGAATTTGACAGCAAGTTTGGAAATGAAGCCATGGGCCTCTCTAGTAGACAGGGAATTGAGGGTTTCCAACTGACGCCCACTGACATTTTTAATTGAGATGATTCTTTATTGCAGAGGCTTATTCTGTATGTATAGGGCATTTAGTAACTTCCCTGGCCTCTACCCACTGGATGCCAATGCCACCTGTCTCTGGTTGTGACAGCCAAAAGTGTCTCTACAGTCATGACCAGATATCTACTACTGCGGGGTAAATCACCCCAAGTTGGGAACTACTTTATTTATTTATTTTTATTATTTTATTATTTCATTTTATGACACGGTTTCATAGACTCTGGGATTCCCCCAACACCAGGGAACTATTTTAAAGAGAAAGGATTATTGAGTCCTTGCCAGAGAGAGGACCTTTCTGGATTTAACTGAAGGCCCAGATCCATCCTGTCCTTCACTTCTTGTCTTTCTTTCCTCTGACTTCTGCTACCCTTAGAATTAGTGCTTTTGTAATTCTGTCTAACATCATGATCCTCTTGCCAGTAGAGCTTGTTTTAGTGTGTCTGCTTGGCTTTGTTTCATGCAGACGTCATTTTCACTAGATGCTGTTTTCTTTCCCTGGAGAAGCTCCCCATGTCCGAATGGAGCCGGTGACCGCCCTGGGCATCCTTTCGCTTGTCCTCAACATCCTGTGTGCTGCTTTGAACCTCATCCGTGGGGTTCACCTTGCAGAACATTCCCTGCAGGTAAGCTGCTCAAGAACAAAATTTCACAGTTTCAATTGACGGACACCTGATCAAAGAAACTATCAGGAATACAATTTATTGATAAGATTATTTTGCTTTCAGGTTTAAATAATTTTCAAGTTCAAATAAAAATTTTTATTTAAATTTTATTTTTTGTACTGAATTAAATGTATAATGAAAGTGTTTTTTTTGTTTTTTTTTGGTGGGCGGGGGTGGGGATCTGTTGTCCTAAGATCCTGCTAGAGTATTGGTAAGAAATGAACAATGTGGTATAAGGACATCAGACTACTCCATGGCCCTGGAGTCCACAGAACTTAAAGCCAGATTATTGACTCAGAGAAGAAACTTGATTCTTGAACTCAAAAGTCAAGGCTCTTTTCCTTAAAGAAAAAAAGATTGTCCCGTAGTCTGACTTGTATGCTACAGATGCACACGTTCTCTGTGACTTTGTTTAAGAATTATATATATTTAAAAGAATGATATGCGTAAGAATTTCCATTGTTGGGTTGCATATCTCAGAGCTACTTTCTGGGATGATAACTTTTTAAAAAGTACAGATATTATCATTAGAGATGGAGCCATGCTCGATGCATCATGGTCACACTCAGGCATGTGGTGGCTGAAGGCTGAAGCTTCGCTGATACTGAACCGCCACAGAGCTGATACAAACGACCTTCTTGGAGAATGGCAGAGGGCTGTGTGCCCAGAGTGGTAACCATGCGTTACCACAACTTATCCTTAATGTGAGCTGTGGTTTCCCCTCCGGTTGGTTATCATTACTCAGAACCAGATACTTAACCATCTGTTTGTGCAACTAGAATAGGCACTTGGCCAACACAAGAAGGTTAAGACACAGTGTCTGCCTCAGGGACCTTTGTGGCACAAAGTAGGATACACTGGCAGCACTAGGAGGTAGCAAGGTCATGGTATTGGTTGATGAGTAGGGTTTTGAGAGGTAAAAGGGCTTGGGGCTCCAGAGATTCATGGGGACAGGAGGGTGCATGGTGTGTCCAGGCTCTGAAAACAATTGTGTGCCAACTCTGACCTTGTGCATAAACAGGGACTTGTAGTTCACTCAACGGGGGATTTGGTACTGTAATGTTTGCTTTCTTCTAAATATTCCTTCCCTTGTGTTCCTCATATTTGTTTTAGGTTGCCCATGAGGAAATTGCAAACATTCTGGCTTTTCTTATTCCTTTTGTAGCCTGCATTTGTCAGGTGGGTGAAACATTGATGTGAAGTCCATGACCTGCTTTTCTTCTCAGAACCATCAGCAAGTTTCTGAGTCCCAATTTTTTGTTCTGTCAAGGTTTCAGTTCAAATCATGGTCCTGATCAAGCCCATTGTGAAAGAACTTGATGCCCCTCCTGCTTTTTACAGAGGAAAAACTTTGGGCTCAAGAGGGAAAAGTCATTTGTTTAAGACCACAGGGCCATTAACTGCAGCAGAAAGAAGCCGAGAGTTTGAATTTGACTCCCCAGAAGGGAAGGATGAGAATGCGGTAGGATTGGCTTGGTCAGGCTAGCATGAGGTCAGATACAGCCCTGTACTTATTGTTGGGATAATTGAGATGTTGAATTGTCCTTCTATAGAGAGAACGTCTGTGTGTTTGTGGTTGTTTAAATGCAGAACTAAATGAAAAATTTTATTTTTATAATTAGTAATAATATTACCTTCCAATTTCACTCTATCTTTTAGGAGATAAGGCAAAAATAAAAGCATGAACTAGAGAAATTTAATAATTGTTTCTTTTCAGATAAGCTGGGTAGCATAGAAAGGGACCTTGCATCTTTGATAGGCAGTTGATTCTCGTGCTCACCTGACTAGTTTTCCTTCGGTGCCCTCCACATGGGCCAGGATCTCCACGCGTTCTTTGCATGCTTAACGTGTTATTTGGTTTTAGTTAAAATTTCTATTCTCAGAGCATTTCCCCCTATTCTTGCCTATATGGAAGACTTCAAGAAGTTTGTGGAAAATGGAATATAAAATATAACTTTACTTTGGTGCAAAACTTGAAATCCCTTTGTGGTTTTTTTCTGTAATATGTATTTTCCTTGAAATTTTGGAAGAGCATTTGCATATCTTAAGAATGTTTTAATTTTGAGAACTACATGATTGTGCAAAGGCAGATTTTTTGATACAAGATTGAAAACACACTTACTCTTTTTTTTTAAGATTTATTTATTTATTTATTGGAAAGTCAGATATACAGAGAAGAGGAGAGACAGAGAGGAAGATCTTCCGTCTGATGATTCACTCCCCAAGTGAGCGAGTGAGTGCAACGGCCAGTGCTATGCCGATCTGAAGCCAGGATCCAGGAACTTCTTCTGGGTCTCCTACATGGGTGCAGGGTCCCAAAGCATTGGGCCGTCCTCGACTGCTTTCCCAGGCTACAAGCAGGGAGCTGGATGGGAAGTGGAGCAGCTGGGATTAGAACCAGCGCCCACATGAAATCCCGGGGTGTTCAAGGCGAGGACCTTTAGCCACTAGGCCACGCCGCTGGGCCCAAAAACACATTTATTCTTTAGAAAAGGGGATTTCCAAAGCCTTGGGCTGAGTGGTTTCCTGAAGCAGGCATCCCATGGCTTCGGGAATATCCGAGCTCCTCCACCATTTCTCAGCTGCTTTCCTCTTGCATATCTCTTCAGCGGGACACTGTCTCCCTTCCACTTGAGTGGTTGTTGGATTACTCCCTGTTCTAGGAATAGGCTCGCTCGCTCTCTCTCTAAAATATTTATTACTTATTTTTATTGGAAAGGCAGATTTACAGAGAAAGATCTTCCATCTGCTGGTTCACTCACCGTATGGCCACAATGGCTGGAACTGAGCCTATCCAATCTGAAGCCAGAAGCTGGGAGCTTCTTCCAGGTCTCCCACACAAGTGCAGGGTCCCAAGGGCACAGCAGGGAGCTGGACGGGAAATGGAACAGCTGGGACATGAATGGGCTCTTTAAAGATTTATTTGTTTTTATTGGAAAGGAAGATTTACAGAGAGAATGAGATACAGAAAGATTTTCCATCCACTGGTTCACTCCCCCAAGTGGCTGCCATGGCCTGAGCTGAGCCGATTCAAAGCCAGGAGCCAGAAGCTCTGGGTCTCCCATGCGGGTGTAGGGTTCCAAGGAATTGAGCCACCCTCTACTGCTTTCCCAGGCCACAAGCAGGGAGCAAGTTGGGAAGTGGGGCAGCTGGGACATGAACTAGAGCCCATGTAGGATCCCAGTTGTACAAGGTGAGGATTTAGCCATTGAACCATCATGCTGAGACCAAGAATGGGCTTTTTTAAAAAACTGCTTTATATTTATTAGAAAGTCAGATATGCAGAGTGAGGGAGAAGAAGAATGTTGTCTCTGACTGGACGTCCTCTTGCGGTCTCATTTCAGTGTTACCTGTACTTGTTCTACAGTCCTGCCAGGACTATGAAGGTCGTGCTCATGCTGCTCTTCATTTGCCTGGGCAACGTGTACCTGCACGGGCTGCGGAACCTCTGGCAGATCCTTTTCCACATCGGAGTGGCTTTTCTGTCTTCCTATCAGATACTGAGCAGGCAGCTCCAGGAGAAGCAGTCGGACTGCGGAGTGTGACGACCACACCAGGCAAGGAGCGGATCCTTGGGTTCCTGTCTAGAACCCAACCGTGTTTCCTTTCAAGCTTCTCAACTGCTCCTTGAGTTTCCTTCCTTGAAGTTTTTTTTCATCCAGCCCAGACTGAGACACCAAGAATGGTGGATTTTTTAACAGAGCCAGTACAAGCTGTAAGTGCACCCAGGACCCAACTTGGTCTCCTGAGGAGCTCGTCCACCTTCGGATGGAAGAGCCTGCGGCTGGCTCGGAAAGAGTGTGATTACAAAGGCCGAATAGAAGTCTTTAGGACACAATAAACCACTAGATTTGCTAATGCTAGTGCTACTAATTGGCAATGGTCTCCGAGGAGCCACTTTACAACCTGAATGTGACTTGGTGAGTTGTTTGTAGAGTCCTACAGGGTGAATTAGAAACTTTAAAATATGGCTCCTACACATCAGCTAGCCACATTTCGTTTACATTTTTTGATAAGTTTGGTTCAGTGTACCTTTGGAATATTTAAATATATTTTTGGATATAAATTGAACTTCACTTAGAGTAAAGACAGACTTAAGCTGAGAAAATGGTCAAGAAATCCGAGTTTAATTTATATATTACCTGTGATGGTAGTGAGACTGTGTAGGTATAGAAATGTTTTGTATTTACATGCCGAATAGGTCTGAATATTTTTATAGTTAATTGAGTAGCCAGTACTGCTGGATTATAGGGTTATAAGTTTGAAGAGAAATGAGAATTTCAGAATTTCTTACAATTGGCCACAAACTGGAGTAGGTGAGTGCTAGGGATTCAGTGATACCTCAGTTGCATGAGTTTCAGTGACAATGAATACTTGGTCCTATATGCCTGTTCCTAGAATTCCCAAATTAATTCCCCCTCTACACCTTTCCCAGGACTCCTGATTATATCAAGGGCCTCACTTTTGGTTTTTATGGACAGAGTTAAGTCACTGTTAATTTTCTAAAGCTTTATAAAATGGACCTCCCATGTACTCTGAAATGTTACTTTCTTTCGTTGTCAAATAATGTTCATCGTGGTCTCCAAAATATGTTTCTGAATAGGATCCCTTTGGTCTCCAGAAATGCCATCCTGAGTCACACCTGGGAAACCACTTTAGGAGTTTGTCCTTTGGAGCATCTTTGGTAGAAGTCTGGAGTTGAAATAGCTCATCCATATTGCGTGGAATACTTTGGGTAGAATTGTGTGGTCTTGATATGTTTTTTAAAATCCCTGTTTTGATGTGGTTTTTTTAAGTGGAAAATTACTTACAGTAGTTTATAAGTAAGTGGGGAGAGCAGGGATGTAGTTTTTAAGAAATTTATTATATTTGGTTATTATTGGTGCGGTATTGTTACTGAGCCACCTTGGTATCATGTTAAGAAAAACAAGTTTATGTGACTGGAAACTGTTGGGGGAATGTTGCCATAGGAACTATTTTCTTATAATAGAAGTTTCTATTTTTAACCAAACATAAAATATCTGGATAGGAAAATTATATTGGCAATATCTGCAGATGTAAACTTCAAAGTTATCTCTCTGTTGGTCTCTCATCTGCATAATTTTCTGCCTACCGAGCAGGTGAATTTTTAGTCTTCTGGGGAGATAGTTTTGAGAAGGTGGTAGAGTAAAATGGAAAACCAAGGAGGGAAGGAGGACAAATTATTTCTGAATAGGAAGTTCACACAGACACTCGCACATACAGCTTTAAAATTAAAAAGCACCTCAAATGTGTCGCTTTTTGCTTTGAGCCTGTGTGGTATTGGTGTGGCCGTGGAGTCATGTAGCACAGATGCTTCAGGGCTCTGAGCCTTAATCACCTTCAGCAAGCAGTGAATACACAAGCCTGGAAAGTGAAGCTTCCTAGTGAACGCTGGTGCCCACTGGAACACACCTTGGTCTGCAGCATCTAACTGTGATTGCAGATTTACTTTTGCAAACAAAAGGAGAAAAAGATGCACATGAGAAACAGCACAGATAATAACCACAAAAGCATTGTTGAACCGAAATCCAGCTACAAGAAACCTCTGGTCTCTGGAAGAGGAGACCGATGACCAAGGTGGAGCCCCATCTAGGGAAATCCCCAAGTTAGGGTCAACCTCTAGGTTTGTGGTCTGCTGCGGAACCCTTGATGTCAGCAAGCTGGCCCCACAGTCCTGAGTTATTCTCAGCCCACAGCCGACTCATTGCTCTTTCCAGAACCTTGGTTTTCCCTGTGAGTTAGCACTGCCTGCCTAACCGACCTCATGGGGCTGGATCTGGGAGCTGAAACCTTGTAGGCGCCTTCTGGCTGTGAGACGCTGCAGGATCTTAAGTGTGGACGTGTGTTAAGTCCTGTGCACTGTCTCAGTGCTGTGGAAATGGGGCTCAGTGCTCTGAGCTGAGGCTTCCCACGCTGGAGCCAAAGCCCATGGAGCGAAGGCAACAAGTAGAATCTGGTTTTCTTTCCCAGGTTAGTCTGATGTGATGAAGGGCGTGTGTTTACTGTGTTCCATGTCCCTGGTGGAAACAGCTGGGACACATCTGGGTACCATTCTTACTCAGTCCCATAGGTCCACTGCCTGCAGAAGCAGGAAGGTGAGACCCAAGGCCCTGGTTTTGCTGTATGGGCTTGCATCCCATTATCATTCTGTGGATGTGCACCAGGGCCCAACATTTCAAAGTTTTTTAGGGTGGTTGAGGCCAAAGGTGTCACAAGAAACTCTGAAATTAAAACATGTGATCCTTTCAGTTGGTCTCACTTTGGGCGCCTCTGATCTTCTGTTGGCGCCTCCCTCTACCCCCATTCTTCACCTCTTTGTACCCCTGCTCCCACACTGCAGCCCTGAAGACAAGGCTTGAAAAGGGGTCTCTGGGTGGGGGCAGGGGGTGAAATCCACCTTGAACTGAATGACTACAATGGGTAGAGGAGCTTCAGAGTGGGAGCTGTTGGCATTGAAGTCCAACTCTCTGACCCACACCAGGTACCAGGTATCTGGGAAGAGGAGAGCTGTGGTTATCAGCACTGCTCAGGGTGAGACACACCAGCTAGTGGCCTGGGCATGGGAAGTGGGGGGGATCCAAGGGGAACAGAGCTAGGGGCTCACTCTGAGATGCCCACTGTTGCCCATTGGCATGTGGGAGTCATATGCTGTGCTTTGATCCAGGGCTGCCTTTTGCTGTTCCGTGCAGACTGTCGGTCACTGTGACATGCTGGACCGTGTTGCTTGTAGTGCAAGGGAGGACAGGCAGGGAGGGGAGGGTTTGCAGCATCCTGTGTGCCCAGCACATCCATGCTTAGACACTGCCCACATGCCACAGGTCCTTCTATGGGTCTGGGAAAGCTGTGCACTGTGTTGATGGTGGAGGAAGGGAGAGTAGATGAGCCCTTGAGGGATGAGGTAGGGGAGCCGATGAAGAGGGGAGCACTGGGTGCAGGAGGACAAAGGCCCTGAGTTCACCTGGGACACACAGGCTCTCCAGCATGTGTCAACACAGGACAGCCGTGTTTGGCCTCCAGGAAAAGGCCTTATACGGCACTGTGGTGTGCACAGCCCCATTCTTTCATTCCAGAAGTATATTGGCCTCCTGCTTCCTAGGCCTAAACCCCTTGGTTCCATGAAGGCTTCCCAGTTGTATGGATTGGACCAAACTTCACAGCTTGTCCTCTACCAAACTAGGTAGGCTCTGGTTGTCCCATGTGGGAGCGGTGATGTCGAGTGTTCGTTGCTGGGGATACCTTGTCGGCAGGGAGCCTGTGGAAAAGGGCTTGTCAGGAAAACCTGGGAATGGCAGGACGTGGAAACATCTGCCAGTGTGTACCGATGGCAGGGCTGTGGCCCCCAAGCACCTTCTGTTTAGGCTAAAATTAAACCTGTTCTGTTCCGCTAACCAGTGCTTTGTACATAATGACCTTCTTTAACCCTTGCAGGAATCTGGAGTTGCTGCACAAGTATTATTTAATGAGCTGTTGAATCGACTTAACTCTCAATATTCTCTTGTGTTTAATAGACATTTGCTACTTACAGCATTAAAGATTGAAACAGATGTAGCCAGGGCAGGCCACTGGGCTACTTACATTGGCGTTGGTGTGGAGTGCTTGCTGGCTGTGCTGTGCAAGCTTCTGGCTGTCTTCATACAATAGGCAGGATGGATTCTGAGTGCATGATGGGTCCTTTTGAACAGACTTTACATGGATGTAAAACCCTAATCCTATGTTAAGGTGTGTAAAGAACATTGTAGAGCTGTTTATATACTATGTATATAAATTTATATAAATTAAGCGAGGTGGCTTCCGAAGTGAGAGAATAAATCTAAGGTGTTCGTTAAATACTCAAGCATGATTGGACTTCTGTGAAAAACTTGGGGCTGCAGAACCTTCGTCCGACTCCACAGGAAGGAGATTGAGAGTCTTCTGGCTCAGTAAGTACTTAAAGTGAGGGTTCTCCTGGCCGCAGAGCTGCCAGCCAAACCAGCAGCCACCACGCTGCCCCGGGAGCCCAGCAGCCTGCCTCCTTGCAGTCTCTGTTCCCTCCCGTTTTGCTGTGTGCCCCTGGGTGGGCACTTTCCTGCTCATACAAGGGCTTTGAGGCCTCTAGTTCCCAGGACCAGTCTGGTCACTGAATGGCCACCAGGAGGTGCACTTGCCAGCCACATCCTCCAGTGCCCAGCCCTGCAGATGGTCCCCTTTGGCAAGGGCCATCCAGTAGCAGCTGATCAAATTCCCAGCAAGGAAGCAAAGGTACCGGCCCCTGGGACCGTCTCCAACACATGGCGAGTGTCTGTACACCTGTCCAGAGTCGGACTCTTTAAAGACGTGAAATAAAATGTCTCTGAGGTTTAGAAGCTGGCAGTGCCTGCAGATAGCGACTAGTTCAGGGTCCTCATTGTGTAGGTGGGCCGGTACTGGAAAGCTAGGGACAGGGCAGCCCAGAGCTCCGTCACCTGGACAGGAACAGGAGCGGCCTGCCACTTGGCAGCGTTCACAGACAAGAAAAAAGGATAGCCCATGAAGATACCCTTTGTATTCCCCTAGCAGGGTTGGGTAAGAACTTCAGACTGCTGAGTCGCCTGCTGTTTCTTTGGGCCAGAGCCCTTGGTATGGGGTAGGGGGTGGAATGCTGCTAGGCATCCTAGGGCAGTGCCAGCACAAAGGAGGTTCGGAGAGGATGGGACCCAGCCTAGCACACCTGACCCAACCGTGAGACAGGTCGGATCAAAGGGTGTTGGCAAAACGTCCGTTGTTCCTTGAAGAACCCGAAGAGTGTCTTGTAGTCTGGGGTAGCAAAGTACTTCACACACAAGAAGTACTTCTTAAGTACTGTTTTACTTATCTAGAAGGCAGAGTGACACAGAGAGTGGGCAGCTGGCTCGGAGTTTCCTTCTGCTGGTGCATTCACCAATTGGGAGCAATAGCCAGGATTAGGCCCGGCTGAAACCGGGACTAGGAGCTTCATCTGGATCTCCTGTGCTTGGGTTATCATCTGCCACCTGCCCGGGAACATGAGCAGGAGGCTGTTTGGGAAGTGGAGGTGTCATGTCTCAAATTGTCTGTTCTGGGAAGCTGGCATTGCACGCCATGATTTAACCAGTTGCACCATAACATTGGTCCCTCAGAAGTATTTCTGGACATTCCAGATGCAATAACTGATGAATTTGACTATGTGTGAATTAGGATTCCAGGAGCAACGTTTCAAGATTGGGAGATGATTTACAATGCCTGAATCGAACAAGAGATTTATAGGGAAGCATGTCAGGGAAGTCAGCAAGGAAGACAGCCACTCCAGAGTGAAAACAGAAGACCATTAAAAGACCAAACCTGAAAAGCCATGATACTTAGGAAGAGATGCAAAACCATCAGGCACACACAGGAGTCTGGGAAAACAGAAAGCTCGGAGGCTCCGAGTGCTAAAGGGGGTAGGGTGTGGACCTCGGGCCTTGCTGGAATGCCCACATGCCATTATTGCACTGCTGAGACAGTCACACCTCTGCTTCCAGTCCAGCTTCCTGCTCCTGTGCCTGGGAGGCAGCAGCTGACGGCCCCAGGGCTTGGGCTCCTGCTGCTCCTCTGGGAGAACTGGCTTGGGTCTGGCCCAGCCCTGTCTATTATGGCATTAGGGTTTTGAACCAGATGGAAAATTCTCTCTTGCCGCCTTTCAAATAAACAAAACAATTGTATTTTTTAAAAAAATGTATTTATTTTTATTAGAAAGGCAGATTTACAGAGACGTAGAAAGATCTTCTATCTGCTGGTTCACTCCCCAAATGACTGTAACAACCAGAGTTGACCCAATCGAAAGCCAGGAGCCAGGAGCTTCTTTCTGGTCTCCCGCATAGCCACAGGATCCCATCCTTTACTGCTTTCCTGGGCCACAAGTAGGGAGCAGGACGGGAAGTAGAGTAGCTGGAACACAAACAGGTGCCCATATGGGATACTGGCAAAGAAAGTAAAGAAGACAGAAAACAGGGACAATGGCCTGGCATAATAGCCTAGTGGCTAATGTCCTTGCCTTGCATCTGCGCTTGGGGAGTGAATCAGTGGACAGAAGATCTTTCTGTCTCTCCTCTCTTTATATCTGCCTTTCCAATAAAGATAATAAATCAACTGTGTAAACATCATCAAAAATAAAATAAAATTTAAAAACATAGGGAAAAGCCCAGAGACAGCCATCAGATCCCTGGGTGGCATGTCTGGCCTCTAGAGCCCCAGGAGAGCAGACTGCTGTTAAAGCAGCCAGATTGTGGGACATGGTGACGGCAGCCCTAAGAGCAACAGAGCTGCCTGTCCAACTCAAGTGGGCACTCACCAAGTGATATTTTTATTTTGTATTTTACTTTTCATGATACAGTTCCATAGGCTCAGGGATTTCCCCTTGCACCATCTGATGGGGAAGTTTCGTGTTTGTCCACATGTCCCGGGAACATTCTTACATGATCCTTGGGGGACATGTAGGTGTTGGTGAAATGATGCTGTGTGCAGACAAGGTGGTCCGACCCTCAGTTGAGCACCGTGAAGCAGGCAGAAGGAACGGGCAGTGTGGATAGAGCTTCAGAACTTCAGAAGACTTCAGTAAACAATAACCTTTGACAAAAAGAATTATTCCTCTAGTTCATACTTCTGATTCTTAACTATTTAATATTTCACTTATTTGAAAAGCACAGAGATTGAGATCTTTCCACTGTCCATTTGGTTCACTCCCTTAAAATGCCTGCAGCAGCCAGGGCTGGGCTAGGCTGAAACCAGGAGTGAGGAGTCCAAGCTGAGTGTTCGTGTGGGAGGCAGGGACGCAAGCACTTGAGCCATCGCCCGCTGCTTCCCAGGGTGCTCCATTAGCCGGAAGCTGGGATGAGGAGCAGAGCTGGGACTCAAACCAAAGGATCCTGATATGGGATATAGACATCTAAGTGACAACTGGCTGAGTAAAATGGCCATTGAAAAAATAACTTTTATATGATTAAAACATATGCACACAAATTATATAAGTAAGGATGCACAAATACATATGTTACACACGTTTGAGTGCTTGTCTACAAGAGGCTAAGAGTGTGGGAGTTAGATTTAGGGACTAGTAAGGACTTAAAGCCAAAAAAAGAAAAAAAAAATAAAAAATAAAAAGTTGCTTTAGTGGAGTCAGCGGCCAGGTCTGAGCTGGATGAGCCTGGAGCACAGGACAATGCGTTTCCTTGGGAGATCTTGCCAGGAGTGCACCCAGCCATGGAGCTGTCCCCAGGCTAGCAGAGAAACCAACCCCGGGGGCAGGTGCTATAGAGGCTCCCAGGGCTACCCCCTGGGTGAGGAGAGCAGGAACTGGGTAGCTGAACAGGGTGTCCTCCCAGGAGTCATGGAGACTGAACAAAGAGATGGCAATGAGGAACGGACTCAGTGGGCAAGGCGGGCAAAGTGGCTGATGGGAGCCGGCGCTGGCCCTGGGGGACTCCCTCCTCCAGGGATTCAGGCCATCTGGCCTGTGGTTTCCTGGCCGAGTTGTGTTCCCACGGGGTGCCGATCAACTCAAGGGCTCTCAAGGAGGACAGAGAACACAGCTGCAGGGGCAGAGGGTCCCTAAGACCAGTCCTTTGCTTCTCCCTAGAAATAGCCTGTGGAGGCCCACCGAGCTGGCGGGTGATCAGGACCGTTGTGGCTCTGGGGGCTCATCCGAGGCACGCTTTCTCAGATCCCAGGGACCCGAGCAGCGGCCAGGAGCAAGGAACGCAGGGCCAGCCTGGGACTGAACTTTCTCACGGAGCTGTCCAACCAGGGTGGGGATGGTGGGGATGGAAGGGGCAGCATGCTGGGCGGCAGGCTGGCTCTCCTGGAGGTGTGTGCAGGAGCGGGCGAGGTGTGTCGCCTGGGCCCTTGGAACATGCTGTCCTGGCCCGCAGACCTCGTCCGGCCCCAGCATCGGCACTACACGCTCAGACATTGGCCTATCTCCGAGTGCCTCCTGTTGTATCCATCCCGTGGGGCGAGCCAGACGCCAGTAGCAGGAAACAGCCTGTGCCAGGTCCCATCTGAAGAGTAAATATTAGTCTTCTCAAGAGCTGCCTGTTCCCTGTCACTTGGCACCGGGGACATTGAGCCCGGGCAGGGAGTGAAGGGGGGTTGAAATCTTTTGATCCCTGCACCCACCTGGAGTCCGGGGCTTGGGTCCGTGCTGCAGTGGAAAGCATAATTAACTGGCCTCAGTGTGGCCAGGTGGGCAATTCCACAAAGGCTTGGCAAGCAGCTGGCCCCCGACCCTGGCACCAAGGCCCAAGCCCTAAAGCACCCAGGGCCCCCTCAGCCCTGCCCAGGCTGCTTGTCATGTTTTTGACTTTGTTGTCAGGGTCTCTGGCACCCAGTTCTGATGGGTGCGTTCAGCATCCTTTGCTTGTCTGGCCTGCTCCCACTCCACGGCAGGTGCTCAGGACACCCTGGGATCCAGTTCCTCCATTTTCTGCTTTTCTCCTTCCGCTATTGCTCTCACTCATTTTCTGTCTCCACCATGAGGTGCCCACCGTGTGTCCTGAATGCTCGGTGACTCTTTGCTGACTGGATGTGGTGACAGCATCAAGCGGATCATTTTTGTCTTCTCCTCTGTGAATTTATCAGAGGTGGGGTGCCTTCTCTGGCCGAGGAATGGAGGATGAAGGAGAAAAAGGAGAGGCCCTGTAGGCCTTGAGGGGTGCAAAGGAGAAGGGGTCCCAGACTCATTCTGTGGGATACAATCTTGCTGGAAAAAAATTGAAACTGTGAATATAAGTTCCTTAGGTGGCTCTCTGAGTAAAAACAATTGAACTATTGGTGGCGAGCTTGAAGGTGCCAGCAGGAACCCTGCCTGTAACCCGCCA